TTGAACCTCGACGGAGGTGATACAAAAAAGAGGTATCTGGAAGCAGGTACAGGTGCAACTTTTCCACAGTGGAAAATCAAACAAAGGCGAGTGGAGCTGGTACCGTGCGGCGGAAAACTTCAGGTGGTCGAAGGCGAGGTCGTGTAGATGCAGCTTGTCCTTCTGCTTCCACTGTTAACGCACATCTACATATTTTCGTAACAGGTGGCGTCAACGAATCGGTTCAGCTCTAGACTCTTTATCAGCTTCAGTTTGTAGAAAATCTGTGACTGTTTGTTCCACGTCTGAAATCTGTTTCACTTCCTGTCTGAACACTTAGAGAAAAGATCTGCAGCGTGACCAGCGCCTGTGAGAAGTGTGTGTTTAACCTGCTCTGTGTGTGTGTGTGTGTGTGTAGCCCCTGATGAGGGAGGTGCTGGAGAACAAGGTGGAGATCACCAAGCAGGAGGCCCGGGACCTGGTGGAGCGCTGCCTCAAAGTGCTTTACTACAGAGACGCTCGCTCCTACAACAGGGTGAGTTTATATCTGCTCGCTTTTAGCCTGATGTCTCTTTCTGCCTCCTGCTTTTGACACACTTTGAGTTGTTTAACCTTCGGACTTAAAAAAATAATGGCTGTGGTTTGACGGGTGATTAACGAGGGGGTCGGTAGTCTCGAAATGATCAGTTGAGAAATCTGAAGAACTTTATCGTTCATTTAAACAAACAGAATTGAACACAATTAAAACACTTAAAGCTTTCACACTTTTCAGTTTGATCTGAATTAGGGCTGGAAAATAAAACAAAATAATTATTTTCCTCAATAACAATATAACAAATGTATCCAACGAAGGTTAAAATGAAGGGCAACTATGACCTGGATGACTGAGAATCTTCATAGACATCAATATAACAAATGTTTGATTTTACATCATGAACGAATCAGCATTTAATGTTTCTATTCAAGAAATTTGTTTTGAGGAAAAAGGGAGCGAAACTAACCGGATAATATATGAAAATATTTGATCATAATGGTTTTTAATTTTCTGCCTCAGATTAAAGGCCCATATACACTCCTGCGTAGCCCCGTAGCCTACGCCGTCACTTTGACGCAGAAGTATAGTCTCTGAGAACTGCGTTTACCAACTCAGACAAAGACCTTATGTACCGTAAAACTAAAATTAATAGCCGAGTCCCAAACAGCCGCCTGCTGTGGGAACACATTTGGACAAATAAACGCAGGTCTCCATTAAAAGCCTGGTCTGGTTTTTATAGAAGTTCTCTGGATGTTTAAAACCTTTTAAACCCTGCGGGGTCGCCGCTTTAGCTGCTTCTGAGCTGCTCAAACTGTTAATCCACATATTTAATGTTTAAACGTGTGACCAATGTGTCGGTGTGGACACGCTGCACATCGTTAGATCGGTTACATTCTCCACGATTCAGTTGTTCAGTTCATTTAACGGAAACAACGAGCCCCAAAGTCTGATTCTTAGAGATTTACAGGTGTAACCTGATGGTACAAGGGATGAAAAGTGCCGACTCGTGTTACCTTTGAAGCCTCGTTAATGTGTCCGTTCCCGATTATTTATCTTCCTTCAGTCTGTGAGGCTCCACCCATCAAAAGAACCAGAACAGCATTTTGTAAAAATGAATCCAAGTGGTGAATCCTGTCACGTGAAGTCCGTCGCTCTCTGTCTGCTAACTTCTCTCCTCCTGCAGCCTGTTGTTTTCATTACGTCGCTGCCTTCAAATAAGACGTCTGTCGCAGCAAGATCAAATGAATGAAGCCTGGGCTACTAATCAAAGTTTTACGGTATTGTATATTTGGAAAGCAAATATTTAAATGTGCTATATAAGTAAACGTTAGTTGATTTGACGAGTTGTTTAAGTCCAATAAATGTAGAACAATCCATCAGCAAAACACAAGTCAATCACTAAACAAAGAGAAAAGGAAGTTCAGTCTGCAGACTTAAGGAATGTTTCTCCCATTTTGAAACCCTCCTTCGCTTTTACCCTGAAGCTGGGACACAAGACGCCTCCGACCTCCTCGGTTATTGATGAGCAAACTGAGACCCACACTGTGCGTCTCACTGCAGCTACACGACTTCACTGCCAATCCTTCCCTTAATCCGATCGTCACACTACTTTCACTTTCTCAACCTCCACGCGGATGTGTTGAGGTGATAATGAGTAATGTGATGTTGTGTTTTTGTTTTAGCACGAGATCGCCATAGTAACAGAAGAGGGCGTAGAGATCATTGGTCCGCTGTCCTCTGAAACCAACTGGGACATCGCCAACATGGTCAGGTAGGTTCAAAGGTCACAGACGAGTCAGTGGGTTTAAATCCACCTCAGTAACCTGTAAACCAGAGACTGGCTGCTGCAGAAGCAGCATCTTGGATCTCTAAGATTCACTGGGATGCAGCCCACCTGAATAGCTTTATGAAAGTGGTGAATTTGCAAGAAAATAACTTGTAAATCCTCTGAAATTAAAGTCACAAAAAATCCAGACCACTGATGTTTTATTTTGAATAGACCCGGTTCCTGAACCACCCCCCCTGTATTTTAGAGAGTTTTTCTCATATTGTCAGACATTGGACCTAACGTTCAGTTTTACCTTTACACCTTAATCATATTACACATAAAAGAAGAGATAAATAAAATATTAAATAGAGAATTACAACACAAACACTGAAGATAATTACAGATTTACTGCATGCACTGCCAACCAGCTTAATCTGGATTTGCTGGCTGACACGGTGTGAGATTCGGACACCTGGGCTAACAGTCTGAGCCTGTCGGTGTATCGTCACAAAAAAGTTTGATTAATTTAAATCATGAACAAATTAGCACTAATTTTTTCTATTAAGATATTTATTTTGTTGTGGAAAAGGGACTGAAAAAAGATTTGACTTAATTTTACTTAAAATCTTTTTTTTAATATACTTATCTTGTTTCGAATGTTCTTCCTCAAATGTGTTAAGTGATCCACTGTTTGGCAAGTTTTTGTCATGTTCTGATCATAAAGAACCGTTTAAAACCACAATTAACGATCTGGTTTCATCAAAAAGCAAAAATCAGCATTTCAAATTGAAAGAAATAACGATATGATGACATTTATCGTGATAATTATCAATATCGAATGGTATGATTCATATTCAGGGTTGGTTTAAGTCACTGCATCTCCAGACACAACTCCATGGCTTTATGTAGGCGTTACGTAACAAATCTGTGACTTGTTCGGTGTGTTTTAAAAAATAAATAAATAAAGTTAACGGTGATGGCCATAATCTGAGGGCTTTGAGCACAACCGACAGTGAAGTAAATGGAGAATATTTACTGTTTGGTGATTATACTTTTAAAGATGTGAATGTTTTGACTCCAGCAAAAACACATTTTGATAATATAATTAAATCTGAGTATTATTGAACCAAACAGACTTAGCATTGATTGTTCTTCTTTTTAGGACATGTTGATGCCTCTAAAAATAAATAACCTCTGTCATTGGTTGAACTGGTCACAACCGGTGTTGTGAACAATATATATGAAAATAATATATAAAATTTCTGATTAAAAGTTCCTGATGATAGAAATATTATTTGTTCTGCACTGATTCATCTTTCTCCTGTTTGTCTGCAGCGGGTTTGAATGAAGACGTGCTGCTTCTCCGCCGAGTCAAAACCAACCTATCTATCCCAGTTTATTTTTTTTCTGATGTTCATTGTAACTTTTGTATAATGGAAAATAAATGTGATAAATCAAGTTCTTCTGGCTTTATTTGTGAGTTTTATACAATGTGGTCACCGCTTGAACTTTGAAATGTCTGTCCAGTAAACAACTCATATCACACTATATATTTGCCTACAGTTAGACTCGACTTTATGATATTCAGTAGCTATTCTTACTTTCGATTTCAGACTGATCATGTCAGATTTATTTTCTTTTGTCTGTTCATTTTTAGTTAAATGAAATGCACATTAAACGCTGATTGTTTACGTCCCCTAAGGGATCCTAATATAAAATGGATATTTGGTCAAATTAGACCATAAAATAATTCATTTTCAAAGAAAACACGATTGAATAAATTGGCCTGCTATAATAGATAGCGCTGCACTTTCTAACCTCACGCCCTAAATATAAAACCTTAAGAGAATAACATTTCCCAAGTATACCCCGAATTTAAATGTCTATCCAATATAGAAACTTCCCTATTTACTGGGAGAAATGCCGAATCATTGCAGCAAACTATAGCTCTACAATCAGAACAACCAGTGCAAACTCGTAAATATATTAAATAATTATATTTTCTAATTACTGTCATTGTTATTTTAGTAACTGTTCCTTTTATTAGTTGTTTAAAAATTCACATTTTATATTAATTTTGTAGTTCTTTGTTTATTTATATTTGTCTATTAACACACACACAATGTTTTATTTGGTTTAATTTGTAATGTTTTTTTTTAACACACTTATTTATTTATTTTTACTTTTTTTAACACAAACACGTTTCCTGTTTTACTTTTTTTTTTAATATATATTTTTACTTTATTTTTATATAAATGTTTTTCACACACACTTACTGTTTTATTTACTTATTTAATGAAATGTTTGAAATTAATTGTCGGCAATATTGTTGTTTTACACTCACGCCCATAAAACAGACAGACGTGTTTAGTATATTTATAAAATGTCCATCTGAAGTGCTGTCACTGTCTGAACCAGGCGGCTGTTGCTATGCAGATTGTGCGAGATAAATTCATCTGTATTGTAACTGGGCAGACCAGGAAAACGCGTCCAATCAGAATACTCCCTGTCAGAAAAATAATTCTGCTCGACCAGTGGAATTTCACCCACTTTGGGTATCCGGGTAGATTTGTGACAGCCGGCCAATCAGAATCGACGTTGGCTTTGTAGTCAGGCAGACATAACAAAGTCATCCAATCACAAAAAAATCTGAAAGGGGATTTTTGCTGTATCTTGGCTCAGGTACTTTCTTTTTCTTTTTTAAAATAAATACTCAAACGAGACTCACCGAACCGATCATAAATTAATACCAGAATAAATCAACTATTATCGGGCATTATTCTGAAATAACAAACAGCGTGTAAAAACATGTTAAACGGGTGTTTCAGGTGCTTGCTAGCTATTGCTACCTGATCTCTACTAGCTAGGCTAGTTAGCTAGCTAGCCTCTTAACGGTTAGCAGCGTCTAGTTATCTAGCCACGTAAGAACGCGGCAAACGTCAACGTTAGACAAACTAATATCTCTTTCTTTCACGGGAAGCAGGTTCTCGAGTTTCTACGGGTGTCAAATGTTGTAATAAATCCAGCTAACGTGTTTAGGCGTCGCTGCCTGTGACAGCTAACGCAGAGGCTGCCTGGTGTTGTCCGCTAGCCTGTTAGCTCTACATGTTGCGCCGTGTGCGTGTGTGCGGTGATAGTAAACGGCAGCACATGACCACCGGCGCTGCTGTAAACACGGCGGGCAGACATGACACCGGGAGCGCGGCTGTCACATCTCGGCCGCAGCCGCAGCTACCGGCGGCCGGTGTGTAGGTCAGTGTGGCCGGCGGGCTGTGCTCCGCGGGAACGTGCCAGCCGCTCCGGTGCTTAGTAGTAGTAACGTTTACCGTGACAGCCGGCATGTGCCGTTACCGGGCGGCCTTTTATACCGGCTGTCAGCGCGACACCGGGCTGAAATCTTAACTTTTAAAACGTAGTAATGGCGTTAAAATGCAGCCGCTGCAGTGACCCGCCTGTCTGACAGTTACTGACCCCGAGCTGGTAGAAAACAAACTCATGTAGTTCAGCTAATGACTAATTCCTGCAATTATCTACATTTTAAATCCATTATTTCTTATACTTGAACTTGCTGAAAGGTTTTATATTATATTATTCCAACTATAAAACAAGTATTATAATGACCGCGATGTAATTTCGCTTCAGTAATGTTCAAAAAATGTTTAAATCATTTGAATCACAAACGAATCAGCTCTTGATTTTTCTATGAAGATATTTCTTTTGTTGAGGGTTAAGGACTGAAAAAATGCTTTATTTTAATTTAACTCGTGCATGTTTGTTGAATAGTTCTGAATGTTCTGCCTCAGATTTGTTTATTGATCCACCGTTTGGCATCAAGTGTTTGTTCTTAAAACCACATGAACTTTCACTCAGGAGCAAAAATCAACCTTTAAACTGAAAGAAATAATGATTTCTCATTTATTCATATATATATCCAGATATCCAATTATATCGTGACAACATTATCACCCAGCTCGAGTTCTAACCTGTCCGACAGCACAACATTATTTCCAAGTATTATTTTACTTATTTTATAAATGCTAGACAAGGACATAAACCTACAGATATATTGACTATTCAATATAAATATCGAATAAACAGATGCAAGAACTATGTGTAAAAGAAAAACAAAACAACATGGCAGATATTTACGTGTGCATGACTCCGGATTTGTGTTGTGCAGACATATTCAGAGAGAGAGGATTTGATATTAAGATAGACAAAATCCTATGTCAGAGGGAATAAAATGCTTTTTAAAGATGTTCCTCTGCGCCTGTGGGACATTTTAACGCCGACCTGATGGTACTGAAGGAGGTGATGGTGGTCCTGCTTAATCAGAGCGGCTTTCCCCCATTTAAATTATCTCTAAAACACAATAATCACGTAAACTGTGCACTTCCAGTACATAAACACATCTGTAGTGTGAATATAACCCTTGTTCTTATTTTTCTATTCCTTCTATATTGTATTTTTTCAACTAAAGTATATTTGTGTGGGATCAATCAAGTTTAACTTATCTTATGGCTGTAAATCCGTTTTTTTTAAAGGACATAAAGGTTTGGGATCTTTGGGATCTTAACTAGAATATTAAATAAAGTTCTGCAGGTTTGAGCAACACATCTTGAGTTTGTACTCGGGCTGCAATTAATAATTGTTTTTAATTTATCATCAGCATCAAATGTAAGAAAATAGTGAGTAGGCTCCGGCAGGTTGTCGGCACTCGCGCAGTCCGAAACACGAAGAGATTCTGTTCACGCTGATAACATTTGAGCATCTGAGAAACAGGAATTTTCCTCAGTTGCCACTGAGACGACTCGTCGTTGCATGAAGTGTAGAAACAAGTATTGTGACCAAGTGTTTTTTTTGCCTGTGTCCTCGTCAGATGGTGCTACTCAGCACCGGTTAGTTGGTCCAGATGTCGGAGGACCAGCGGCACCGGCGGGGGGAGGCCGGTCTGGAGGCGGGGGAGGGCGACACAGAGCCCAGCATGCTGCTGCAGAAACTCAAGAGCAACATCTCGTAAGTCGTCTCGGCCGCGATGGCCTAACATCTGGTTCTATTAATGACATCCATCCTTTGAAAAGACTTCTTCAACTTAAACTAAGGCTACAACCACACAAACGTTATGGCGTTTTGGCTGCGTATCAGTCCGGATATCTCTCGGTATTAAAACGAGCGGACGTTCGCGTGCACATGCCAGAGTAAACAGGAAGCAGATCGTCTACTCTGAAGTTGCAGAAGCACCTGGTTCATATAAATAATATGTAAATTGTTAAGCTATGAGAAGAGGAAAGGTCTTCCAGCCGCGAGTGGAAAGTGGAGGATTCTTTTGGCTGAAGTCTGTCAAGCTGTAGCAGTTATAACCCCGTCCTCTTGGCTCCAGCTGAACTAAACATCACCGCCTGGCTGAGAGGGAGTTTGGGTTTTAAGGTAGAGGTGAGAGACACCGCTGTAAAGGAAAGGGTGCGCTGGATTTATAACACAAGACAAAACCAGTGTTACTGTGAAACAGCATGTGGCACACAAATCGTTTTATCTTACGTAACTTACTTGTTTTTTAAGAGTTAAAAGTAGGGGATATCACGTTACTACATATTCTGCATACCAGTTCGACACCACGGTAAAAAAACAAAAACAAAACATGAAACCCACGTACTTCAACACGCACTCCTTCAATAAAAACGTCTGAACAACTAGCAGCTGTGAGAGGAACAGATGAGAGGTGGTTTGATGTCAGTATATTCAGAAATGAACCAGATGTTGAATCTACAGCTTTGCACTGTCAGGGTTTTTCTGAGTCACCTTAAGACCGAAATATATGCAATTTCTTGTCATTTCTGACCATTTGATAAACAAAATATATCCACAACCTGCAGGAGTAAAGGTATAAAAGTAAAGTATAATGTTAGTATGAGAATATATTTACAGGTTACACTTGATTTGGATAATCTGCCTACAGATAGTTTATCAGTTGAGAATCAGCTGTTTCACTAATAAAACCTTGATCTGATCTCAGCCTACAGGACTGTGGTGAAGGTTTGATTAGAGCTGATGTTTGTGCAGTCATTATAATTTCAGATAATAGTACAGCTCACCATTAGTAGCCTAATATTAATTCCAGTTGGACAAAACAGTCGTTTGATTTTTGCAGGTGGTTTTCAGTCATTCAGTTATTGTGCAAGACAAATGCTCTACCTGGTGCAAAGTATCCTACTAACTGGTCAATAATAATAAGAACCGTGCTTACAGAACCACAAGTTCAGCATCTCTAGTTAGCTGTAGCGCCGCAGCCTTTTTTTAATGTCCCGCCTCCTCCTGGTTGTGATTGGTTGGTTCGCGAAAAGTGACTTAATAATATTAAATTAATGACTTTATTTCCTTAACTTTTCTTTATAAGAAGTGTTTCGGGTGGCTTCTGTCTGTACTGGCAGCTGTCTGAGATGTTTATATTGAAAAGGTTATATATATAACTCCTCCTACACAGACAGACGTTCAATGTTCAGGTGGTCAAACTGTGAAACGTGAAAATCCAGGTCACTGCGCTGTTGAAGGAAACAGCCGTGAAACTAACTTCACCTGGTTTCCAAACTCTTTTCCGTTCGAAGAGTCGAGGCTGTACTGAGCGAAACCCGACGTGTTTTCAGGATTTTGGTATCGACCCGGTCCAGAAGTATCAGTCCTCGTGACATTTGGTGAAATTTGATCAACTGCACAGTCCTGGTGTGACTTTCTTAACTATAACAAATACATGAAAATCCGTCTGAAGCCGTTCTGGTTCTGTTCCCCGTCCTCCCCTGAGCAGCTTTGTGATTGGTGTGTTCTCTGTCTTACAGTAAGAGCGTTCAGACCAAAGTGGACCAGATCCTGGTAAGAACAGAACTCACCTAGATTTGTGATGTGGTGGTTTGGGGGGGGGGGGCTCACCTGAGGGCTCAGGTGTGATTTGTTCCGTTGTGCTTTTTAACAGCAAGATGTTCAGCGTTTCTCCGACAACGACAAGCTGTACCTGTACCTCCAGCTGCCCTCTGGACCCAGCTCCGGAGACAAGAGGTCAGAGCGGCCGTAACGCCTCGTTCACGTAGATTTACAGGAGGACCGGTGTGTGTTACCTGCTGACTGTGTGTGTGTGTGTGTGTGTGCAGCGGTGGTGACTCCAGTTCGTTCAACACAGCCGACCAGCTTCACACCTGTAACTGGATCCGCAGTCACCTGGAGGAGCATTCAGACACCTGCCTGCCCAAACAGGACGTCTACGAGACCTACAAGTCAGGAGACTACATTTCCCCGAGTGTTCTGTTGGGTCGTGTGATCTCTGTCTGACTTCCTGTGTGTCTCTGTCCTCCAGGAGATACTGTGAGAACCTGCAGCATCGCCCGCTGAGCGCCGCCAACTTTGGAAAGATCATCAGGGACATTTTCCCCAACATCAAGGCCCGACGGCTCGGCGGCAGAGGACAGTCCAAATATCCTTTCGCCTGCTGTAGAGACGGGAGGCAGTTCAGTGTGCTCATTACAACAAGACATTTCAAAACAATAAAACATTAATGCAGTGCAGTAAAATGTGAATTTAAGTAACGCGAGTGAACAACAACCCGCAAATATTGGCTTTTAAAGTGTTTTTACTACAGCGGAATGAACCCAAACTAGACACTTTGATTTATTCACGTGACGACAAGCAAACTACTTTTAAAACGCTTGTTTTCTGAATGGAGTTTGGATCCATCAGGGCTACGCTAAAGGCCAATTTATACTTCTGCGTTCAATCCATGTCATTAACTTGTAATGCCAGTCCTCCACAAAAATGTAACTACACGTTGCGTCGATGCAGACCGCAAGTCCTCCTTCTTCTGCCTCAACATGAGCCTGATCCTCGCCGTGACTTCCCTGAAACATATAAGTTCACTGAACAGTTACCGGGACATTAACCGAAGGGCGTTTGCATGACTAGATTTATCAGCTAGATTAATAATAATATTATAATATAATAATAAAGCCTTTAGTCACTTCACTATAAAGTAACCGCCGTTCAACATCGATCAGCTCCAACATGATCCGATCACTTTCAGCCGCCGCCGTTTTGTAGTAGCCTACACCAGCGAAGAAGAAAAGTCAACTGCATCACAGGAACGCTGCTCACGACGGCACGCAGCCTACGGCAGCGGAGGTCAGAAACTCGGTGCTGCAGACAGGCTGACATGTTTAATTTATTTAAAAAATGCTCCGGACCAGAGAAGAGTCCTCTCCCCTCCACACATGCACGTATCTTTACGCTTTACGTAAAAACGCTTCTTCGCCTTCACACTGTTTCGCTTCCACTCCTGTGTGAACACGGTCAGATAACAATCACATTTTATTTACTAAAACGAGGACGACGACAGCGATTAAATCTTCAGATCTTGTCCCGTGTGATGCAGAGAATAAACTCTTCACGGCTGCATTTGTATTTTCTTTTAAAAGCAGGCATTTCTGTCCGTATGATATCTTGGAATTAGAGCCTAGAAATAGTTTTTTTGTAGCGGCAGAAAGTCAAAAGAAGTGAGAGTCTCTGCAGCCCTGCAGTTCTTTGGGAGTTAAAACCTGGTGTTGACGGGCTTCATGAGTCTGTCAGGGTTGCTGGTTTGATTCCCTAACCGGCTGATACGTACTGCTACAGCGGCATCAGGAGGAAGACGGTCCTCAACATGCCTCTGCTGCCCAACCTGGACCTGAAGAACGACCCGGTACACAAACACACTCTCTCTGTAGATGTTGCAGGGGCCCGATCAGTTTTTATTCACCTTCTTTGTCCCGTCTCTGCAGAGTCTACTGGGCTCTGATCTTTACTGGAAATCATGCCCTGCAGTAAATACTGCATGTGGAATCAGAGTAAAAATGACGATTCTCAAAGTAGTTGGTGAATAATTTAATCTGCAGCTAATCGTTTGCAGCTCTGTACGACGGCACGGCCGCCTCGGCTGAGCGGAGCCCCGCTGACGTTTGCTCCTCTTTGTGTGTCCAGTCGGAGCTGACTGAGCTGGTCCAGACGTACAAACAGGAAGTGACAGAGGCGGCGTGCGAGCTGATCTGCGATTGGGCGCAGAAGATCCTGAAGCGTTCCTTCGACACGGTGGTGGAGATCGCTCGGTACCTGATCCAGGAGCACATCGTCAACCCTCGCTGCAGCCAGGCCGAGCTGGTCACCTCTGCAGCGCTCGCAGGTCTGTCAGTCTCATCACTGAATAAGTAAGAGCGGAGTCAGAGATTCTGATCCAGCACTCGTCTTTTTGTCACGTGCAGTGAAGATCTCCTCGCTGGCTGTTTGTTCTGTGCTGAACCTGGTGTCTAATTTAACCTTCAGGACCCGTTGAGATAAAGACAGAACCACTCTCCCTCTCTCTAAAGAACACAGAACCTGCCTGAGCTTCCCAGAACAAAAAGCAGTTCATCATGCTCCTTCATCTCCTAAATGTTTTGGCTGTTGCACTTTTTATAGTTAAAGTAAATTTCTACAGATGCTGTTTGTTCTGATTTTGTAGTTTATTCCACAGGAAAGCTATAAGATGTTCGCAGTAACCAGGCTGCTGTGGTTTAAGTCTCTGAGACAGAAGGAGTGGAATTTGTTGCCCGTGTTTCCCAAAATAAACAGTCATGATACTTTATCATCTGTTAATTTTGATACCTAGTACATTATTTTTAGGACAAATTAAATAAATATACAGTATTCTGTATAATGCTGCGTGATAAATAAAAGGCTTTAAATGGACCCAGTGATCAGTGTTGGGCAGTAACGTTACTGTAATAATATTACTTTCCCCAGTAACAGTAATATTATTACAGTTACTAATGCAAGTAACGCTAAAGGAAGAAAAACCTGAACGAGGGAGAGGCGTTCTGTCCACAGCTGGAAGTAGCTGCTGCCATTATTGTGTCACAGTGTAAGACGCAGAGAACACGGTCGTCTGCTGTAAACTCTGTGCGAGCAGCAAAAAGCTTTCTGCATCTGATTTAATGAAGCGTCTGCAGAAGCGGCGACGTGAAACGTAGAGAAAGAAACTCACTGATGCTCGTCGGGAGAGAGCGGCGTTAACGTTTTCTAACTGCTCTTATAAACAGGCTACAGCTGTTTAAAAGTCGAGATTTACTGGCTTTATTTTTTCTTTTCAGACGGCGGCGTTAAGAAACATCAGGCTGCTGTTTTCAAATAGTTTTTTACTATTTCAAATTTTTAATTTTGCATTTAAAATCCTGCTTGATTGAGGAGCATATATTCGTGCTGCACCTCCTCGCTCGCTCCCTCTTTCTCTAATATAGTCACATAACTACTTACTTTCATCACCCAGTAATAAGTAGTGTAATAATATTACTTTCTTAAGGAGTAATAAGTAACTAGTAATATCTTACAAACCCTGATCGGAGCTCCTCTACTGAGACTGAGTGTGGCCTGAAAAGGATTTCCTGTCTGAGCTGCTGTGTAACATTTGCAGAACAGCTGTAGCAGCGTTTGTTTTGCGTCTCTGTTTTTCGCTAACTTACTTAAAGCGTGTAAAACGTTTCAGGTGGTTTGAACTAATATGCGGCGTTTAAATTTGAGTGGTTCCTTTTGACGTCCGTCGTTTGTCTTTGAATCCGGTTCCTCAGAACTTTGTTTCCGTCGGGGATTCATAAATGTGTCTGTTTAGCGTCGCTGGGTTTCTGTCATTCAGACACATTGTGGATCATAAAAAACACATTTCACGCCGCCGTCACACGATGTCCTGCCCGCCTCCTCGTTACAGAGTAACGCTCGCGTAGAAGAACAAACTTCCTGCTGATGCAAACTCAGCAGAATAGAGATCTTAGCTGACGAAGGCAGAAGTTTACGAGGTGATTGACAGCTGTGTCGTCTGTCTGTCTGCAGGAGGTCCAGCGAAACCTCACAAGGTCATCAAGAAAACTCCCGTCATCTCTAAACCCGAGGGCGACGGCGCCGCCGATCAGAAGGTGCTCGCCTGTTTCTGTATGATGACTGTCAGGTAATCTGTCGCTGCTGCTCACTTCTCCCTGTCTGTCTTCAGAAGGAACTCGGAGACTCTTCCTCCTCGTCTTCACTGAAGCCGCCGCCTGGAGAAAAACCAGCCGCGGCAGCCAAACCTTCCTCCCTGGATGCCGCTCCTCCTCCTCCCTCCTCTCTGCGTCCTGCGGTAGGTTGACACCCGGTTTCATTTTAATCTCCGTCACAGACGGTTGTGTTCCTGTTTTCTTGGAGCAGATAAACGGTCGATAAGTGACGTGAATAACTGATGTGACGCAGGTGGAAGCCTTCATGAAGCAGTTACCCAGAATCCTCCCTCGGAGCTCCATCCCCGATAAGACCCAGCTCTCGGTCCGCTCCTCTCCGCCCTCGCTGGCTCCCAAAGACGCCTCAGGCATTGGGGGTGCGTCAGGACCCGGGGGCCCGGCCGCAGCCGCCGCCGCCAGCGGTGGTGGGGTGAAGGTCATCGCCATGGCGACGCTGCCCCAGCAGCAGGGCGGGCCCGTCCCGCTGATGATCCTGCCGCAGAGCTGTCTGTCGTACGAGAGGGAGAAGGTGGCCCCGCCCCCGCCGCCTCCTCCCCAGCAGCAGCAGCACGCCCCTGCAGCCCCCACCTCTGTGGTCCAGAAAGCAAGAGGGAACGCCAGCAAGCGCCCCCTGGAGGTGCCGTCAGGCGGTGGATCTGCTTCCAACGCCCCTCCGGTGAAACGGAAACGTGGACGACCAAGAAAACCTCGGCCAGAGGACGCCCTGCCTCCTGCTCCTCCTCCTCCCCAGCCTCCCCCTCCTGCGCCTCCCTCCCACACGCCCATCATCACCTCCATGACCGGCAGCGTCATCCAGAAAGCCTCCTCCTCCTCCTCCTCTTCCTCGCAGCCAGTGCTGGAGCTGGTGATCCAGGACCAGCAGGGGCTGGTTCTGAGTCCCCTGCCGGCGGTGTCTGACCCGGCTCACCGGCTGGTGGAGCACCGCGGGGTGGTGGTGCAGTGTCAGCCGGGCGGGGCGGGTGAGCCGGACCACCAGCCCCGGCCCGTGCTGCTGTTCCAGAGTCAAGGAAACCACTGCTGGGAGCTGGCGGCGCCGGGACGGACCCCGATGGTGGAGGTCATTCAGAAAGCTCCGAGACCGAGCAATAACAACAGCAGCGCCGCTCCTCCGCCCGCAGCGCTCCTCCACGCTCCTCCTCCTCTGCCCACGCTGCACGAGGAGCAGGGGGAGGTGGAGATAACGTTGACGCCGGTGGAGATGCACGACGACGCGCCGCTGCCTTCCACCTCTTCTTCTTCTGCTGCTCCTGCATCCTCTCCCTCCATCTGCTCCATCACTGTGATGAAAAGTGAGGAAGAGGAGGCGGGAGAGAGCGGCAGCACCTCCTCACAGGGGGAGGGACACTAACTCCCGTCACTCTTCTTCCTCGTCTTTTTTTATCAGCCCCCCCTCCCTTCACTCAGCTTTTACCTCACCTGCAACAAACCTCTCCCTTATTGGTGGAAATCCCAGATTGGCGAGAGCAGAGAGCCAATCGAGGTGGATACATGAAGCCACGCCCCCTCGACTGTCCTTCCTCTCGTCTCATTGCACTTGTGAACAGACTGGACGCTTTTAGAAAAGACTGTCTGTCAGATGTGGCTGAAACCAGAAGAACGGACTCCTCAAGTGGCCTCGCATCAAACTGTCCTCTCTTCCCTGCTTGCTTCCTTCCTTGCCTCCTCGTATCCTTCATCTCCAGGCTCCTCATTTTCTGTGCTGAGGTTTGCTCGTCCGCTGCATCGCTTCCGCTGCTTCAGATCGATTTATAGAGAAATAAAACACAGATAAAGATAGAAAAAAGGAAGGAGGGTCGATGGAAGAATAATAGGAAGAGGGGAAGGAGACATGTGCTCAGTATTGAATCAGGCCCCAGACAGAGTTCAGCCTGAAGTATGTGGATACAGCAGGTACTACGGGTCAGAGCCTTGGAAAGGTTCTTTGTGCTAAATATGAAATATTTAACAGAGTTCAGCCTCGATTCACCTTCAGTTCATGGAAATCTAAGATGTTTCTGGATGTTTTCAAGCCGTGAAAAACTTCCCTAACTCACCGGGAAGGCGAAGCTAAAGGCGCTTAAAAGCTCAAACGTAAACAGTTTTGGTTTGAATGTGAATCGAAGTCCGGCTCTGCTCTCCTCTTTGAAGAGTTCCTCTGTTCTGAACGGCTTTTGGTTTGTTGTGTTTGTGTTCAGTGGATATTTCTGATCGTCCTGTGTGAGAGAGAGAAATATTGTGTAAAATGAGCCGTGCGAATCTAAATTATTTATTTATCCAGATTAGTCGAGGCTAACAAGGACATTTTATCATTAGACTCGTTTCATTAAATTTAAGGTATTTCAGGTCCAAGTCTGTGGGGGGCGGCGGCCACGTTTGTCAGTTCAGCGAAGCCATTTCGGATCTGGTTCCTGTTTACCCCCAATCTCTAATCGAAACCCTTTATCTGTCTTTGATTAGCAAAGAGACGAAACATTTAGGTGCCTGCTTTTCATTTCAAGCCGCCAAACAACCCCGGCAGCAGATCCTATCAGAACTTTAAACTCTGAGGCGACAAATTTAACGGAATGTAACGGCGCTGAAGAATCACGAGAGCAGAATTATGTTTGTGCAGACCGAACCGTTAAAACCCTTCCTGGATCAAGTAAGCTTGAGATGACAAATGGTGCGTTCCGGTTGTACTGGGAAGACGGAAAGTTCCAAGTCGGAAATTTCAACAGGAACGGGCCCTTAAATTGGATTTCCAACTGTACCCCCAACGTCGTGATTCAAGATGGCGGCTCTGAGTATCAACGGTTAGTTAAAGCTGCCAAAATAAAATCGTGATATAAAAACAAATTAATTTACAGGCCAGTCCTGCTCGAGTAGCTTATACATTACCTTGTCCACAAGAACAAAAACTTAAACACAGTCTAAATCAAAGTATTTGATTAAAGAATCAGAAACAGTATTTATGGTATTGGGTACTCTTTGCTTCGAACACGGGCCTGCCTACCACAGCGAGACCCGACCTGTTTTCATTTTTAGTTATTTTTTTGTTCGTCACCTTCCCTTTTCCCTCCAAGCTACTTTACCCCGAGTCCTCTCAGTGTTTCTCCTATACGCATTGAGCAGCGGCGGTGAGCAGCGTAACTCCTGGAAGGAATCAGGAGGCGCGTAGCGAGCGTTTGATTGTCCGAGTGGCAGAAAGTGACAGGTTTGTCTGTTGTTTTCTCACATGCTGGAAAACATCTCTCCTCCCCTGCAGACTGCGCAAAGAAGGGAAGCTTATACTGTAGCCTAGGCTGCGTCTATTGGCTGCTACGTAACTGAACACTAGCTCAATTTATAGAGAGTATAAATTCTGTTGGTTATTTATTATCTCCTCTATTTGTTCAGAGATATGGTGAAAATACATATTCTTCATTGGAAAACATAAGATTTTCTTGGGGGAGGATCCCCAAACCCCCCGACCACCACGAACTACACCAAAACATTCAGCTAAAGCTCACATTAAACTGGGAAAACACTGAAATTTTAAGCTGTTCTAAGGTGCAGACACCAGAGCAATGTTGCTGAGACATGTTGTGTTTGGGTTTTATATTCTAACAGAAATATTGCTTCACCTCCGCTGCTACAACTCCATCCTAGGGGAAACACTGCCTCGTGAGACTGACATTAGCACTTAAAGTGTCTCCAGCCTCCGCTCGCTGGGATACAAATGTCAGTAAATGAATAATTTGTGGCGTCTAATCGCAGCCAGAAAAACAGGTTTAAAGTTTCCATGTTGACAAAAATGGCGTCAGCTCAGGCAGAAAGAGCAAAGCACAAAGTTACCTGCCACGTAGCGAAAAAAAAAAAAATGTTATAATGCAGTAAAAAATAAAACATTTATTAATGAGGGATATTTGCAGAAAATTAGCTTCTGTAGCACTAAAGTTTAGTCTATGTGATTAGCCTGCTTAGCTGTTGTTGTATGTTGCCATGCGCCCTTTGCACTAACTCTTCGACCACCTCTTGATCACCACTGACACACTGTCGGATCAGCAATGTGACACGACCATGTTTGAAGACGTAACCTGAGACACTCTTTTGGCTTTCCCGTCAACTCGTTTGCTTTGGTACGAGCTCGGAGACGCTGGCTGTTTTTTTTTGTTTGCTGCTCATGCTAACTACCCACAGTTCTTCTTTTTCAGTTTATGGCAAACAGATGAGAAAAGCAGAATACATTACTGTCCCTGCAGGAAAGAGAAATCAAAGAGTGACTGAAGAAGTTTTTATTTTTGGAGGGTACATTTGTGTAAAATGGGAAAAGATAGGTACTCATTGAAAGACACAAAGATAGAAAAGAAAGATGCCAAAAATGACATTTAAAAGAATAATTTTAATGATTTTTTATAGCTGAATTTAATCTCTGTTGTCCAAGGAAGGTTAAAACCAAGAGTCAGTCCAAACTGAAGAAGCCTCTTGGAAAAGACGTCTTCAGGGAACCTTGATTTAACCCTCTTTGGATAAGTAGGACTTCAAGAAAAACCTTCAGTCTTAGAGGTGCAGGAAACTTTATTTAGAACATTTATACATTTTATATGTATAATTCACTTGGAAAAGTATTTAGAGTTGCAGAAAAGTCCAGATGCCAGTTTTGCATCCAACTAGAAGTTACTCTCCACATAAATATCTCTTTTCTTTGTCACTTGGAAAAAGCTCAGTGTTTGATTTATGGTTAACATCTTACCCTGACATACATGTTTCACCTGTAATAGTCAACAATCAACAGCAGTTGAAGACTGAAAACGTACAACAAAAACCTATTTAGTTACTAATTCACAAGTTTCCTGCACCTTTAACCACAAAAAACAGTTGATTGATTGTGTGAAAGGTTCGTCTTTTTGCTGATGATCTCATGCTGTAAAGGAAAAGTATAAAGGATTAAAGAAATACATTTAAATAATACTGATGAGCTTTCCCTTTAGGCTGAACCTCACAATCCACCCAGAACAACACAACAAGTTAAAGTTTTCCATCGTTTCACAAATAGGTCGCACACTAGGAAGAAAAAAAGCACTGAAAACACAGAATCATTAAATGCATAACCTTTTGTGTCAACCTGGAATATTTTGAAAAGAAACTCCAAAATAATAAAAAGGCACTTGTGTTCGGCAGCTGGGTTTTGGTCTGTTGGTCAGACAAAACGAAGACTTCCAAGTTGGTTTTCACAGTTTTCAGATATTTCATTGCCCAACGGATTTATCTGTTCGTAAAGAAAATAATCCACTAATTAATCAAAAAGGAGTTGCAGCCCTAATGGAAACTCTATAAGCAGACACCATCCATCTTCAACCGCTTATCCGGGGTCGGGTCCCGGGGGTAGCAGCTCCAGCAGGGGACCCCAAACCTCTCTTTCCCACATTACCCAGCTGTGACTGGGGGATCCTGAGGCTTTCCCAGGCCAGAGTGGAGATATAATCTCTCCTCCTAGTCCTGGTTATTCCCTAAAGACCATAACGCCATCACAAGTTGTATAAGAATAAACAAATCTTTGCTCAGCTCTACTAGTTAGTTTTAAAGAAGAAGCAGGACCATTAAACGTGCATGACATTCAGTTACAAACCTCGTTAGTCAACCACGAATAAGTTAATGAGTTTCTTCACGACTAAGCTGACGAAATTATTCGCTCTTCCTCCTCTTCTTCTTCCGTCATCATGGTAATGCCACATTGCTGACGTCTGTTCTTCGCCTCTTGCCAAACATGCCTCTCGCTCCACGTGAGGGCGTCTTCTTCATCGTTGGTGCTACAAAGTGCAGGGCTCGGCGCCGCCCTCGGCCCTCGCTGTTTTCCATCCTGTAATCACAGATTTAGTAAAAAAAAAAAAAAAAAAAAAAAAACCCACAAACTACAACTTTTTGTCGGCACGTCAAGGTGTGAATAATGTGTGTGTTCTGAGTGTGTGTCCTTGTTTCCCTCCGTTCTGTGACAACGAGAGCTTCAGGTCGGTTGAAGGGACGCCGAAACATGTTACGACTGTTAAGTACAATAACTGTTGCATGATGGGAAAGTGAGTTCAAGACTTTATCCTTTGCCATGAAGTGGCTGCAGCCGAGCTCGCACCAGTACCTGTAGTTTATAATTAAAAGGAGCACTAATGATGCCATTAAGTCTTTGTTTAAGTGCCAATATTTAAACTTTTCCACTGGTGACTAAAATGTCTCGGCCTCCCTTTAAGCGCCAAGCCTCAGCCCGCACAGAGCTGAAACAAATGAAAAGTTGCACTGTTTAGAATTTAAAACAAGAGAAAGTCCTGGTATGTTATGAATTTATTATCATATGCATTGAGAAAATACATTGACGAGTATTTATGAGTGATGTAACGTCCTGCTTTATGCTTGCACACGCTAGAGTCCGACTGAGCAGTTTATGGCAAAACTTTCATCATAACAATAATAATAATCCTCGTTTAAATTGCTCAGTAGTGAGTTCAACAATATGAATAAACACATTCTGTTCTATTGAACAGATTAATAGACTGAACTAGAAAGGCGGGTTAAAGCAACATTTCACTTGATGGCTAACGTCTACCGCTACAGGGAGCGCTCGTTCGTACGATCGCGTCTAAAGGCAAGAACCATAGGTGTGGACTCGACTTGGACTCGAATCATGACCGGTGACTTTAGATCGGACTTGACAAAATCCTAGAAGACTTTGACTCGTGACTCTCCTGGGAGCCCAAATGTTTAAAAAAATGTAGGTTATAAAGAAAGTGTGCCGGGAATCAGCAACAGATGTACTTCAGCTTCCAATCACGTCGCACGTGCAGGAGGTAGTGGTGTGTTAGTCTAATCTGCAGTCTGGCAAGTAACTTGTTTAGGACTTGAACTTGACTTGACACGACACTTGTTGGTGTTGACGTGGGACTCGACGAGAAACTTGGTTCGGTTGTGAGACTTGCCCTTGTTATTACTTCCGACATTGGAAAGATGGTTTTAGATGCTGTTGGATGATGCAAAAAGGACTTTGTTTGAACTTGAATCAGGACTTGTTGGTTTTGACTCGGTACTTGTCAGTCTTGACGTGGAACTCGACATGGAACTTGGCTCGGTTGTGAGACTTGCCGTTTTGATTAATTCTGACATTGGAAAGATGGTTTTAGGGGCTGTTGGATGATGCGACAAGGACTTTGAACTTTACTGAGCACTTGTTGGTCCTGAAGTGGAACTTGACTTGGAAACTTGTTGGTTTTGACTCTGCACTTGTCAGTCTTGACCGGGGACTCAACAAGGAACTTGACTCGGTTGTGGGACTTGCCTTTGTTATTACTTCCGACATTGGATATGTGGTTTTGGATGCTGTTGGATGATGCGACAAGGACTTTGTCTGAACAGGACTCGGCACCTGTTGGTCTCAATAAGCCAACCAAAACCTAATTTGAAGCTTACTGAGGCCTTGCTCCTGGCGATCAACTAAAGGAGAGCAACCAGACCGTCAGGTTGTCCAACAGGTTGTCCGAGTGGTCGTCAGCAGTCCCCACTTTGACTGAGTTTATAACTTCAAACGTCAAATTGGCCTTTTAAGGTTAAGAAGTTGCATTGCGTCAATAAAACAGAAAATAATCTTCCAGAAAGCAGCTGAGACGTGTCCCGCTCCTGATATCAAAGTGAAATGTTGCTTTTAGCATCTTGTCGGGAACCTATAGCCGATGTAAAGGTTTCAGAGTGACACCTGAGGTTCCCTTTGCAGGACCTGCTGGGCCAAACTGGGCTAAATATGAAACAAGTTTGGAAACGTTCTGGACATGAAAGCAATCTAAATGAGTTCAACTGAGGGTTCAATGTAAGTCAGTGAAGGAAGCCTCAGGTTGGACCACCAACTGGACCAATTGGAGACGCAATGTTTCCTGTGGACACATTCGGGAAGGGACTTCTGCATCCAGAAGGAGAAAAAGTTTATCAGCCATTCACACATGGTATGAAATCCCGGTTTTATGCCATTCATGGTTCTTTAACTGGGCAAACTGGATATGAACAGTTTCCTTTTATAACTGTAGATGTTTGTAAGGAGCCTGAAACAGGAACAGGACTGTGGACGATCCAAAAATAAGTCAGAGAAGTGGTTTGTGGCCGGCTGACTGGGCTAACTGGACATCTGAAGTTTCCTTCAGAACCACAGTCTGGGAGTTCAGCTTTAGAATAAGTTTGAGATTAGATCACAACAACAAGAAGCCCTTGTTCAGCTCAGTTTGGCACTTTATAATCTATGTGAATATGGAAGAAGCTTGGAAAATCTGCAGCACTCTGGAAGTCCAGATCCAGTAGGAGACCACGAGAGGGTTGAAGGCAAGTCACTGACGGGACTTTGGCCCATTGACTGGGCTGAAGAAAATGTGTGAACGTTTAGCAGCGTTGTGAAAGTCAAGATCTGTTTGGGAAATGGTCAAGAGCGAGTCAGGAATTGCAAGAAGACCCAGTTTGACTCTGATTAGCCCTTAAACTGGGATAACTGGACCCGGTGGTGTTTTGCTGAGAAAGATCGGATTAAGTTGTCTGGGAAAAGCCTCGACATTCAGCAGATTTGTGAACGGCAAGATTTAAAGAGGGTTCCAGAAATGGTTCAGAACAAGTCAGTGATGGCAAGAAAACCCCAGTTCGGCCCAGTTTGGCCCAGTTCGGCCCAGTTTGGCCCAGTTCGGCCCGGTTAGTTGCTGCATTAGGAACCTGGGTTTGAAGGTGGTCGTGGGAATTTTTCACTGTGGAGCCGTGTTGCTCAAAACAAACAAAAAACACCGTAAACGGGTCAGATAATCAAAGATTAAAGGATCGGGATTCGGGTAGCGGTGTGTTGACCTCCAAGGATCAGACTCAATGACACAACGTCCTCTGATGTCACTTCCTGTTGTGGATCCGTCTGTGTTTTTTTTAAGGCGCTACCTGCATCGCTTTTTAACTTTTTTTTACTAATTAATTTGCCGTACTGACGCCTGATGCAGTTCACTGAAGACGTTTTTTATTCTGATTCTCATTTGTGACGCCTCTTAGCTGCTTCTGTTCCATCTTCTGTTCTGATTGGTCTTGAGTCTCAGACGCCTCGACCTCATTTTGGGGTCGTCAGAGTCAAATTAATCAAGTCGTGCTCTGTGCAGTTTCACTGTAACGAGTGTCAGCTGACTGTCACGTGACCCTCAGCTGACGCCAACATGTGAGCGACTCAGAAGAGTTTAAGACGCGGAAGATTCAAAGAAAGAAAAATCTAACTTCATTTTCCTTTTATTTATTATCGCGAGACGTCAGTGAACAGAAAACTGCTTTTATTACATTTTAAACAAAAGAGAAACGTGTCATGAAGCGAAGCACTAAAGTTTAAATGAGTTGAAACGCAGATGAAGTCTGGTGAGCGGCTTGAAGGTGACGAGATGACGAGGCGTTTGTACGAGCGAGCTGGTCGGGGTCAAACACCGCAGTTATTGTGAAGGTGATGATGATGATGATGATGATGGTTAACTCCCAGTATATACTGAAAGTAGCCCTGTTTCCTGTCAGAGACCCACTCTTGAGTTTTTATAATTTCACCTCCTGAACTCCTAAATGTCCTTTTTTTCCAACTGATTTTGAGACGTTTCAGGTTCAAACCTGAAGAAAAAAGGGAATTCTTTCTGTTATTGTTGCCCTGAGTGAAGCCTTCCAGGCGCAGCTACCTCTCAGGCTCAGGAACTCTGGGTAATGGAGTCCTGAACAGCCCTGAGTGGGACTCTGACACCAAACAGCACGTTTAGAGCTCCATGCAGCCATTTTCTGTTTCACTCTGTGGAAATAAGATTTGTTTCACCATCGATGTTTTTACTAAATCTAATACGTTTGTTTATTTGTTGGTCGGTCTTTTGTTGTTGTTGTTGTTGTTTTGTTTGCTCTTTCCTGCGGTTGTACAGCTTGTTGATGTGCAGATTTTATTATTACTGCTATGAAGATCTTTTCAGTGTCTTTGCTTTGTGGAAGACGCTGCCGGCTTCCTGCATGGTTTCCTGTGATTGTCTGTTTTTGTATATTATTAACTTTTGTTTCCCTGTAACCTGCTGGCTTTGTGTTGTTGTTGTTTTTGCACTTTACTCTTTTTTATTAAATATGGAAGTTTTGGGGGTCGACGTCGGTCCAAGAACACGACCCTTCCCCGGCCACCCTTTGGTTTGAAAAACCCCTGTAATCCGTGAAATGCACCTTTACCACACTTTGTTTTCCTCCAGCCTGTTTTTGTTTTTGTTTGTTTGTTGTGAAGAGAAACAGAAAAGTGACGGAGGACAGGAGCCAGAACATTAATGTGAATCTATTTTCCTACGCTGACTGGAATAAAGGAAGTGACGATCACTGGCAGGAAGGCCTCAGTTTCCTTTGCTTCTTTCCTTTCCTTGTCCTCTTGCTTCCTTTCCTTGTCCTCTTTTGCTTCCCTTCCATGTCCTCTTTTGCTTCTTTCCTTTCCTTGTCCTCTTGCTTCCTTTCCTTGTCCTCTTGCTTCCCTTCCTTGTCATCTTTTGCTTCTTTCCTTTCCTTGTCCTCTTTTGCTTCTTTCCTTTCCTTGTCCTCTTGCTTCCTTTCCTTGTCCTCTTTTGCTTCCCTTCCATGTCCTCTTTTGCTTCTTTCCTTTCCTTGTCCTCTTGCTTCCTTTCCTTGTCCTCTTTTGCTTCCCTTCCATGTCCTCTTTTGTTTCCTTTCCTTGTCCTCTTGCTTCCTTTCCTTGTCCTCTTTTGCTTCCCTTCCTTGTCATCTTTTGCTTCTTTCCTTTCCATGTCCTCTTTTGCTTCCTTTCCTTGTCCTCTTTTGCTTCCCTTCCATGTCCTCTTTTGCTTCCTTTCCTTGTCCTCTTTTGCTTCATTTCCTTGTCCTCTTTTGCTTCCTTTCCTTGTCCTCTTGCTTCCTTTCCTTGTCATCTTTTGCTTCCTTCCTTGTCCTCTTTTGCTTCCTTTCCTTGTCCTCTTGCTTCCTTTCCTTGACATCTTTTGCTTCTTTCCTTTCCATGTCCTCTTTTGTTTCCTTTCTTTGTCCAATTGCTTCCTTTCCTTGTCATCTTTTGCTTCTTTCCTTTCCTTGTGCTCTTTTGCTTCCTTTCATTGTCCTCTTGCTTCCTTTCCTTGACATCTTTTGCTTCTTTCCTTTCCTTGTCCTCTTGCTTCCTTTCCTTGACATCTTTTACTTCCTTTCCTTGTCCTCTTGCTTCCTTTTCTTGACATCTTTTGCTTCTTTCCTTGTCCTCTTGCTTCCTTTTCTTGACATCTTTTGCTTCTTTCCTTTCCTTGTCCTCTTGCTTCTTGTCCTCTTTCTTCCTTTCCTTGTCCTCTTGCTTCCTTTCCTTGACATCTTTTACTTCCTTTCCTTGTCCTCTTGCTTATTGTCCTCTTGCTTCCTTTCCTTGACATCTTTTACTTCCTTTCCTTGTCCTCTTGCTTATTGTCCTCTTGCTTCCTTTCCTTGACATCTTTTGCTTCTTTCCTTTCCTTGTCCTCTTGCTTCCTTTCCTTGACATCTTTTGCTTCTTTCCTTTCCTTGTCCTCTTGCTTCTTGTCCTCTTTCTTCCTTTCCTTGTCCTCTTTTCCTTTCCCCACTTTCTTATCTGCTCTCTTTTAATCTTCTCCTTGTTTCCTCTGTTGGTCACTGGGTGGCGCTCTAATGCAGCTTTAATATAAATATAAATATCCAGATAGAAGTAATTAAAAAAATAGGAAATCTATAAATATTATGTAATATATAATATAATAAAGTCCTTACATAATGTAAGTACATTTTGACATGTTATTAACTGATTAATTATATAATATTATAAAATATTTTCATTGAAAAGAAGAAATTAATTTTATTTTTTTTACTAAATCCACCTGATAAAGTAATAAAAGGTAAATGTGACGGAATTAAAATGGTTTTAAAGGAAACACTGTTTATTTTAACCAAAGTGGAAGTAAAGTGGGCGAACGGCTGAATTTAATATATTTAATATACAACCGGAAACAGAACCAAAACCAACGGCGCTGTCAAGGTAACCTGAGTGAAATCGGAAGTGATGTAGTCTGGTCTTCAAATTAAAAGCTTTGTGAAAATGTCAAAATAGGTTCAAATAAATTCAAATGCAAGAAAATAAAACAGAAGCATATTCTGTCGTGCTATTAAAATCTGCAGGTCACATGGTGGTTCGTTCAAATATAAATATCAAAACTATTTTAATTGATTATTGTCAGGTTTTATATATTTAATATTTTCACTTTTTGTCTGGTACATGTAAAAGTTCTGGGGAAAAGTACAAATACACACAGGTGGTACATTTGTCATGTATAATTTAATCTGTAAACATGCTTTTCAAGTTTAATAATTTACATTTATATTTTCTATAAGGTCTATGTGTGGCCCTGCGATGGCCTGGCGACCTGTCCAGGGTGGACCACGCCTTTCTCCCGATGTCAGCTGGGATTGGCTCCAGCCCCCCGCGACCCTGTACGCAGGATAAGCTGTTGATGACGGATGGATGGATTTTCTGCAAGACTTAACAGTCTTTTATACATAAAAAATATACATTACATATATACATAAATACTTTTTGTACAGTGAAATGATAAATACATAAATACATGGCAGCAAGTAATGATTGTTTTCGCTATTCATTAATATGCAGATGATTTTCTGGACTAATCAATATATAATGTGAAGCACAAAGCGACGTCTTGAAATTATTTGTAATAGTTTCCAAGACTCTCGACTGTTTTCAGGTTGTTTTGTAAGTAATTATCATATGTTAGAAAGTAAAAGAGGTGAAAATTGTTTAACTTTCGACTGATCGACTACTTTATTGACTAATCAGTTCAGCTGTAAACATATATAAAATAAGTGTTGAGGTTTAAATCTGTTTTTATACAGATTTATATTCAGGATTCTTGAAACAGGAAACACATACTAGAAACTTATCTTTTACATAAACATGAATAACCGACAAAAAAAAAAACATGTTCAAATTCCTATTGTTTTTTTGTGCTTTTATTGTGTAAACATTTACCGGAAGCTCCGGTCGTTTCGGACTGCGGCTGCCTTGACGGATGTTGCGTCACTGCTGCTTTTAAAGCAGGCAGAGTCAAACCCGATCCGAGCGGAGCCAGGCCAGAAACCCCGGACCCTATGGATCGCATCAGAACCTGAAGCCAGGACTACATCCTGGATTAAAGTCCTCGATTCAACTCGGAAACTCCCGGGACGAAACGCGGATTACAGCCCGAGTGTCGGGACGTTTAAACCGGAGTGAAGACGCTTCAGTTACCCGGTAGGTCTCCTCCCGGACCGGCTCGGTTCTCCTCCGGGCTCCTGTTCGCTTTCTCGGTGTGTGTGTTGGATTTTACTCGGTTAAACTAGCTGCTGGCCGCCCGGGTTCAACCCCCGGGCCGCGGGCCTGCTGCAGCCCGGCTCTCCGCCTCCTTCCTCCGGTCAGTTTCCACCAGGAGGGAGCGGCTCTCCGCCTCCTCCTGCGATTATACTCGCAAATATCTCCGTAATACTCAGTGATCCTGCGCGTTTAGCTCCTCTGCTGCAGTACTTCTACAGTAAAACTGCAGTATTAAGCTGTTTCCAGAAGTATTCACCGTGTATTTGTGGTACAATGTGTCCATAATACCAGTATAAAAACATCAACATGTTGCTGTGGGACTCCAGCTCACAGCGGAGGATCAATCACTTTGATTGTTTTGCGTGGTCCCGTGTCTCAGCTGTGACGTAGTGATAATAAACTTCACACTTTGCCCTGAACTGCACACGTCACTTCGCGTCACACCTTCCTCCAGACGCTGCGTTTGTTGACGCTCTGTAAAACTCAGCGTTCAGGTGGGAGAACCGCACACCTCTGACCGGAAACAAGATCAAAGCCTTTAAATCTCATTTCACCACAAATAACGCGTTAGTGTGATAGCAGCAGTTAGCTTAGCATAATCAGCCTCTATTGTGAACTTTATGAACGCCACTAACTCACAGATCCGTGTGTGCAGACAGAAACAAAACTACATGTACAAAGATTTATCTCAGGCTATGCCAACTTGTGATGCATTGCTCCCAGGATGCATTGCTCCCAGGATGCATTGCTCCCAGCTGCGGTCGTGCGCCTTGTAAACATCAGTGTTTGTTCGGCAGAGTTTCAGCTCTGTTGGCAAAGCTTCAGTGTAACGAGCCGGCAGGAACAAACTGAAGCTGAAAAGTGAACCGGTGGCTGCTGAAACCTGAGTCTGACGCCGCGCTGTGATTGGAAGATTCACTGTCTGATGCAGGTGTGTGTGACATCATCAGTTGCACACCTTCCTCTTCTTCTTCTCACCTTGCACCAAAAAAGTTTTGAACCGGCTTCAGCTGCAACGATAATAAAACAGGATTTCTGTGATTTTTAAGTTCGATACCGATTTCGATATGTGAGATTTTTAAAATCCGATCGCCGATATTTCGGCTGATATTGGGGGTTTTTCCCCCCTTGTTTTAAGGAACTCGTGACATAAACAAAGATTATCCCTAAACTGTTATGTTGAAACCTCCCTAAGACACAGGACATAATGCAGTGTAAAAATACACTTTTTCATCGTTTTAAATAGTACTTTGAACAAAAGTACAACAAAATATATCGTTTTGATGAATAAAAGTCAAAAACTACAAAACATGTAAAAAAAAAAATATCTTTGTTATAAATTATGGAGTACTACTACTAATGAACATTAAAGTAAATAGTGTATTCTGGGGGCAGCAAAACAGAAACTATAAAAATGACCCATATACCACTACTGCTATTACTACGAATAATACCACACATCACATCTAATGTCATTGCTATAATAATGATAATAAGCAGGGCTCTCCTACAGAGGCAAATAATTATATATATATATATATATATATATATATATATATATATATATATATATATATATATATATGTCATGCAGTAGTTCTGACCTTCCATATAATCTGCCACGATGACCACTTTCTAAAACATGTTGTGACCCAGAGGAAACGCTGCTGTTTAATTAATCTAATGCTAAATGACGGTCTACAGTTAGGAGCAGCAACTCTGAGATTTCACACTAGCGTTTCAAATTCAAAAGAAGAGGCAACGTTACAGAACTTCGTTGTTAGATTCTGGTTTAATCATTTCTGACCCGCCGACTGTAACTAGAGACGAGCAGCTCGCAGATATATTTAGAATACGTCAAACGTTACAGTTTAATCTGGGGCTGGACGATACGGCCGAAAATGTTATCACGATAAAAAGTTTCAAATCTTTCGATATCGATAATTATCACGATAAGTATCAAATAGTTTTTTCTTGCGTTTAAAGGCTGATTTTTGAAGTTGAAGAAACCTGATGGTTAATTGTGGTTTAAACTTCTCTTTATGGTCAAACAGTGGATCAGTTCACAAATCTGAGAGAGAACATTCAAAATATTCATGATAAAATCTTTGTCAACAAATATCTCCAAGTAAAATTAAGTAAAAGCTTTTTCAGTCCTTTAACATCTAAATAAGAAAACTTTAGTCCCAATGCTTGTGATTGAGCGGGTTTGTCACACAGGGACGACAACGGGATGAATCTGTAACTGTGTGACTGTTTAAAACGATTTAAAAGGATGAAACGGTTTGAAATGAAGAGGCTGTGTGAAATAAATCCAAAGATCCCGTCTGAGTATTACAGCCGTTCTGAATAAACAAACACCCGTTTGACTGACTTTGATTTTTTCCCCGAAGTGCGCCAAAAAAACCCACAATTTAAAATCATTTGCAGCCACAAAAAGATCCAGATTCAGGATCTTAAACACAAACTGAGATTCTGTTTCTGCAAAAGAGCCTCAAATATGTTGAATCAGATTAATTAATACTTTATTTATTCTCCTAAACAAGGTGAACAGGAGACAAATTACGTTTAAACTGATGCCGTTTTCAGTGCGTCAGTCGAGCAAATACAAGAGTTTCATGTACGATATTACGGAGGTGACTGCTTGTAAAAACACGTTACGTGACATAAAACACGGTTTTATTTCTTCACTGAACTCGTCTCGTTCAGCGAGTCGACTGTTTGTGTGAATAAATGTTTAAACTCAGAGGAAGTCATTTGGTTTCCTCTCTTTTCAAACGGGGACTCCAGATCAGTACCTGGGTCGTCCCTGTGTGGCCCCTCCAGCCGGCGACGTCACTACTCAGAGGGAGGCCCCTTCCTGCAGGTCGGTTATAAAGGGGCGGAGCTCCGGTGCACAAGCATTGCGTGAAAGTGCGTTTTTGTTTTTTTTACCCAATAAACAGCTTCACCAAAAGGAACGTCGGCGTCCCTGAGTTAGATTCAGAGTCCGCCTCCTTTTCTTCCTGCAGTCAGGACGCGTTAATATTAACGAGCTTCACTGAGCGTTTGGAGGCTCGGACATGGCGCTCCCTCACAGGCGCCACATTTCAAGTTGATTGTGATTTATAAAGGGAACTTTATACTTTATAAGTGTGCGTACGCTCAGTTTTACAAGTCTCACGTACACTTTTAGTGAGGTTTCTACTCCGTTTTATAAATGAGACCCCAGATGTTTAATTAACGTAAACCTTTTTAATCGCCGTCTTCACAATTGGCTAATTTGGATTTGAAAAAAACGTTCGGCCCTAAACTGCATCGATTCAAAACTTTCTGTACCAACGAGTCATTTCAACACCAACATTTAGACTCTTTAGATTTGCTGTTTGGTTACGTACAATATTAATTTCTCTGATGTTAGAGGAGGCGTTCTTCCTCTTAAACGCTTGTTTCTCAAAGTGTTGACCGACGTCCAGCCGGAGTCTCGATAAGAACGAACTCTTTAACTCAGTTCAGAAACACGGACTCTTCTCTGACGTGAAGTTATCGATTGATTCAGAACACGTCACCTTTTTATTGTTCCTGCAGAAGAAGAGCTGATAAAACGGGACCGAAGGTCAGAAACTTTCTACGCCTCAGTCTCTCTCCTTTTTTTCCAACGTGACGACCAATCAGCAGGTCAAAGGTCAAACAGCAGTTACTCATTCAAAACAGTACTCAGATGTCCCTGTGTAGAAATACTACTGGATTAGTGATGCATTCAGGTGCAGCTGGTGAAGGAGGAGCTGCTTTATATTCCGCCGGCAGCTTCGTCAATAATATATTGTTGCTTTAAATCATCGTTTATTTTATTACACAGTTTTCCTGGTTTGGAGTCTGCGACGCTTCTTAGTCTCTCATGACATCATGCTCAGCCCCTCTGTGAACGCCGCCTCCATGGCAACGTGTGTGATGGTTTCCAGATGTGATGCGTGGGCGGCGGCCTGCTTCACCCTCCTCCACACACGTGTGATGACATCATGCACGGTCTCCCCACATGTTTGTCAGATGAAGCTGCTGCCGATGATGATGATGTCATCAGGATGAATGTTTTTTTAATGTCTGAAACAGATTTTTTGGGAAAGTCTTTTTTAACGTTGCTGGAACAGCTGGAACAGCTGGAACATGGCGCCAGTTTGTTAGTTTACCATTTACAATCGTTGACCGTACCTTTAAAGTAAAACTTCCAGGTACTCGTACTTTTTATTTTATAAATAAATATAAATATGCGAGCCTAGCTTAGCACAAAGACTGGAAGCAGGGAGAATATGCTAGCTTAGCACAAAGACTGGAAGCAGGGAGAATATGCTAGCTTAGCACAAAGACTGGAAGCAGGGAGAATATGCTAGCTTAGCACAAAGACTGGAAGCAAGGAGAATATGCTAGCTTAGCAAAAAGACTGGAAGCAGGGAGAATATGCTAGCTTAGCACAAAGACTGGAAGCAGGGAGAATATGCTAGCTTAGCACAAAGACTGGAAGCAAGGAGAATATGCTAGCTTAGCACAAAGACTGGAAGCAAGGAGAATATGCTAGCTTAGCACAAAGACTGGAAGCAGGGAGAATATGCTAGCTTAGCACAAAGACTGGAAGCAAGGAGAATATGCTAGCTTAGCACAAAGACTGGAAGCAAGGAGAATATGCTAGCTTAGCACAAAGACTGGAAGCAAGGAGAATATGCTAGCTTAGCACAAAGACTGGAAGCAAGGAGAATATGCTAGCTTAGCACAAAGACTGGAAGCAAGGAGAATATGGTAGCCTAGCTTAGCACAAAGACTGGAAGCAAGGAGAATATGGTAGCCTAGCTTAGCACAAAGTCTGGGAGCAGGGAGAATATGCTAGCCTAGCTTAGCACAAAGTCTGGGAGCAGGGAGAATATGCTAGCCTAGCTTAGCACAAAGTCTGGGAGCAGGGAGAATATGCTAGCTTAGCTTAGCACAAAGTCTGGGAGCAGGGAGAATATGCTAGCCTAGCTTAGCACAAAGTCTGGGAGCAGGGAGAATATGCTAGCCTAGCTTAGCACAAAGTCTGGGAGCAGGGAGAATATGCTAGCCTAGCTTAGCACAAAGACTGGGAGCAGGGAGAATATGCTAGCCTAGCTTAGCACAAAGTCTGGGAGCAGGGAGAATATGCTAGCTTAGCACAAAGTCTGGGAGCAGGGAGAATATGCTAGCCTAGCTTAGCACAAAGACTGGGAGCAGGGAGAATATGCTAGCCTAGCTTAGCACAAAGTCTGGGAGCAGGGAGAATATGCTAGCCTAGCTTAGCACAAAGTCTGGGAGCAGGGAGAATATGCTAGCTTAGCACAAAGTCTGGGAGCAGGGAGAATATGCTGTTGCTGCTGTTTCCTGTGAGGTTCAGTGTTTCCTTTAAAACTGCATATAAAGCAGCAGACGAGTGAAGAGTCAGCAGCTTCAGGAGGTCAGACAGAAACCGGGTCAGCTGCTGGTCTGTGATCTGAGTGACGCCGGAGGAAACATGAAGTCTAACAAGGAGGAGAGGAAACAGAAACAGACATCTTCCTCTTCACAGAGAGGAGGAGGATGAAGATCACCTGCGTCACAAACACAGATTCCACACTGATTTCCTCAGATTTGTTGAGACCCGACAGGCTGAAGACGTTCAGATCATAGTAGAGATTAATAATAAAGATCTTCAGCAGCCCTGCTCGGGGTCGATGCAGGGAGATCCGAACAAAGCGCTTATCAGTTTATCAACAAATGTTCACGCCTGCCGCTTCTCGTCAGGGTTTATCAGCAGGAAGAATTTAGGAAGGTCTGTGATCGGAGCGGTCGGATAAAATGTACTTCCCGTTCAGACGGGTTGGCGTGCAGGCGCCGGGGGCGTTACATAAAACACACCTTGATGCGTGGGTGGGAGGGGAAGCAGAGACACGACGCACACACCCAGCCTCTCCGTGGTGTTTGTGTGTGAAACATTAACTGTTTGTTGACCAGCTGAAACGTTAAATAATTAATCATCTCATCATTAACATTTTTCTCCCTGTAGGCCTCCACTTCCAAAATGGCCGACGCCGAGGTCTCCCTGTCCCCGGCTCTGCTGCCGCTCCACCTTAGCCCCTCCCACTCAGCCCCACCCGCTCCACCTGCCTCCTCCTCCTCCCCCACCACCTTCTCCTGCCCCTCCTCCCCCTCCAGCGCCTCCTCTTCCTCCTCGTCTTCATCCTCCTCCTCTTGTTCTGAGAGCTCCTCTGACTGCCCTGCCCACCATCACCACCATCATCACCACCACCACCACCCCCGTCCCCAGCTGCAGCTGCCCCCGCCCCCCCTCAGCGAGCAGCCGTCCTCCCCCAGCGCCAGCCCCCGCAGCTCCAGCCCCAGCGGGAGCATCGGCAGCACCGGCAGCCTCGGCAGCAGCAGCAGCGCCAGCGAAGGCATCGGCAGCAGCGGCACGTCGAGCGGCGGCGACCCGCGGGGGCCCAGCCCCCCTCTGGATGTCATCTCGGAGGACGCCATGGAGATGGATCTGGGGGTCGACCAAGGTAACTGGGCAGAACAGATTGTTTTAGGTTGTTATCACCAAGCAGGGCTCCACAGTAATGATGGCCGGGGCCGGTGAAAAGTAACGGGGCCGGTGCAACGCCATTATTCAATAACTAAAAAATCACATTAGCGAATCAAAATCCTGCCGTTGTTGTTTTGCACCGTGTAAGAGTTGTAGTGATGTGACGAGTTGGTGTTAATGTTTGACTACTTCTCAGCTGATTTATTCCCTCAGTAAACACTTTCCTAATGAGTTTATGGTCTCAGTCGCTAGAATATGCTAGCCTAGCTTAGCACAAAGACTGGGAGCAGGGAGAATATGCTAGCCTAGCTTAGCACAAAGACTGGGAGCAGGGAGAATATGCTAGCCTAGCTTAGCACAAAGACTGGGAGCAGGGAGAATATGCTAGCCTAGCTTAGCACAAAGACTGGGAGCAGGGAAAATATGCTAGCCTAGCTTAGCACAAAGACTGGAAGCAGGGAGAATATGCTAGCCTAGCTTAGCACAAAGACTGGAAGCAGGGAGCATATGCTAGCCTAGCTTAGCACAAAGACTGGGAGCAGGGAGCATATGCTAGCCTAGCTTAGCACAAAGACTGGGAGCAGGGAGAATATGCTAGCCTAGCTTAGCACAAAGACTGGGAGCAGGGAAAATATGCTAGCCAAGCTTAGCACAAAGACTGGAAGCAGGGAGAACATGCTAGCCTAGCTTAGCACAAAGACTGGGAGCAGGGAGAATATGCTAGCCTAGCTTAGCACAAAGACTGGGAGCAGGGAGAATATGCTAGCCTAGCTTAGCACAAAGACTGGGAGCAGGGAGAATATGCTAGCCTATCTTAGCACAAAGACTGGGAGCAGGGAGAATATGCTAGCCTAGCTTAGCACAAAGACTGGGAGCAGGGAGAGATTTGTACGTCAGGAGGAGGATTTTATATTTGATCCGGGACTTAACTGGCAGCCAGTGAAGCTTCTTCAGGACGGGAGTGATGTGAAGTCCAAGTTTTGTGTGAGCATTCTAGCTGCAGAGTTCTGGACATGCTGGAGTCTGTCAGTAGTTCTTTATGTCCCTCAGGCAGTTAATAAGCGACACTGGTGGAAGGGGAGTAAGAGGTTTAGTGCTGATGTAGAGCTGGGTGTCATCAGCGTAGCAGTGGAAGTGTAGTTTCCGGGTGATCAACCTAAGAGGTGGCATGTAGATATTGAATAGTAGCTGGCCAAGCACCGATCCTGGAGGCACGCCGTGTGAGACTGGCGCCAATTCAGAGCAGATGCCCTTAAGGGTGATGTTGCCTGTTGGTGAGGTAGGATTGAAACCAGGAATACCAGTGAGGCCAGTGAGTTCGGAGAGGCGAGTGAGAAGAATGGTGTCGAAGGCTGCAGAGAGGTGGAGAAGAATTAAGCAGCATCGAACACACAGGGAGCAGATGTTGGTTTCGGTTGTTTGACAGGCTGCGTCATTAACAAGCAAGCGGCTCACCTGCTGCCGTGATAACGGGTGGCGGATGGGAAGATACGGGAAAAAGACGACAGCGTAGTCTGCCGACGCCTCCCTCTGCTGCTGGTTTAGGTGGCTGATTTGAGAGATTACTACAGCTGTATGAAACCAAAATAAATATTTTAATTGCAATAAATGGATCAAAACGATGCTGAAAAAACGACAACATGATGCAGATTTGTTAAACATGCGACTTTTAAAATGCTCGTTTTCTGAATGGAGTTCTGTACGATCAGGGAGATGCTATGCTAACTTGTTCACAGGCAGCTGGAATCAAGTTACAGACTCACCAGGTAGATCAGCTTCCTCGCTTTCTTTTCTCCGAGCAATGTCCAGTGTTTGTCGTTTTTTTTAATGCATTTTGCGTTGACTTTGTATGTAATCGCTCCGTCCCCAACCCTCACGTCGCACTTGGTCTGAAAGTTACAAACTGTTGAAGAAATATTGTGAGCGAGCTTCAGGTGTGAAGAAGTTTCGGCGTAGCGTAGCGTGGTTTATCGAGCCCGGCCGAGGAGATCCAAGAATATTCCTTAACACCGTGGTTACGATCCGTCTGACCTCTTTGTTTTCTGCTTCCAGTCATCGACCCGGAAGTGGCTCTGAAGGCTTGCCAGGAAGTTCTCCTCAAGGTCAAGCTGCAGAACAAGGAAGCGCCTGAACAACAACAACAACAACAACAACAACAACAACAACACTACACAGACGTAACAGAGTGCTCCAGCCCACAGTGGCACATCAGCCCGGACACCAGCTCCATCAAAGAAGAAGACGAGGACGAGGAGGCTAGTTCTAGGAAGGATGGGGAAAAACAAGGCACTTCCCAGCGAGACCCACCTCCTTCTGCCCAGCAGGGGTCGTCTTTACTGCCGGCGGCGGCGGCGGCTTCGTCGTCATCGTCTAAACAGTCGTGGCTGCTGCGCCTCTTCGAGTCCAAGCTGTTTGACGTTTCGATGGCGATCTCCTACCTGTACAAGTCCAAGGAGCCGGGGGTGCAGGCGTACATCGGGAACCGCCTCTTCAGTTTCCCCGACAGCGAGGTGGACTTCTACCTGCCGCAGCTGCTCAACATGTACGTGCACATGGACACCGAGGTGGGAGACGCCATCAGACCGTACCTGGTGAGTCCTCAGACACCTGATTAGTAAGGCATAGTGCGAATGGACTGTAAAGCGGGTTGGTCGTCCCCGTTTCCTTTTAAAGGCCAAAAGATGAATCTTATTTGTCAGGGGATCCCACAATCCAGCCTCTTTGGGTAAACCTACAGTCCCCTCAAAGTCTTTGAACAGGAAGGCAAGTTCCTTTGTTTTTGTTGTTCCCTGAAGACGTTTGGGTTTAAGATCAAAAGATGAGACAAGAGTTTCAGCTTTTACTTCCTGGTATTCACGTCTACATGTGTTAAACAATCAGGACAAAGCACCGTTTGTATCAGACCACAGCATTGAGCAAAAGTAAAGGAACAAATCATCTTAAAGGAAATAACATTTAATATTTGGTGGCAGAACTCTTGCTTGCAATAACTGCCTGAAGCCGGCGACACATCGACATCACCAAACTGTTCATTCTTCATTCCCCTGATGAAGTCCTTTGTTTTGTTGGCAGTGTGCTTTGGCTCATTGTCCTGCTGCACGATAAACTTCCTCCACATTAGTTTCAATGCATTTCTCTGTAAACTGGCAGACAAAATGTTTCTGTCCACTTCTGACTTCATTCTGCTGCGACCATCATCAGTGACATCATCAATAAATATTACTGAGCCTGTTCCAGAAGCAGCCGTGACATCACCTCCAGCAGGCTTCACAGATGAGCTTGTTTGCTTCAGATCATCAGCACTTCCTTTCTTTCTCCATCACTTTGCTAGACATTAATCTGGTCTTTGGTCTCATCAGTCCATCAGATTGTGTTCCAGACCTTTTGCAGCTCATCTCTGTACTTCTTTGCAAATTTCAGTCTGGCCTTCCGAGTCTTCTTGCTGATGAGAGGTTTGCATCTTGTGGTGCGGCCTCTAGATTTCTAGAGTCTTCTTCCAGCAGTGGATTGTGATACCTTCACTCTGCACTGTGGAGGTCGTTGCTGATGTTTTCTTCACAGCTCTCAACATATTTCTGTCATCAGCTACTGTTGTTTTCCTCGGCCGACGTGTTGGACGTCTGCTGCTCAGTACACCAGTATTTTCTGTCTTTTTCAGGACGTTCCACGTTGTTGTGCTCGATGTTTGTCCGATGACTCTGCTCGATTGTCCTGCTTTTCTCCCACAGACAGATCTCTGGTCTTCATGTTGTTTATCCTCTTTAACAGGAAATGCTGTCTTTATAGGTTTGAACCAAGGAGGAAAACTGAGACTAGTCATGCAGAGATATTTAATGTTTGGACCATCAAGCTAAAAGGCAACAAGAAACATCAGTCACATGTTCCAGTATGGCGGTTTGTCCTGATTGTTTAACTCATCTAGACGTGAATACCAGCAAATAAAAGCTGAGATTCTGAACTCTTGTCTCATCTTTTGATCTTAAACCCAACTGAAACAAAGGAATCTGCCTTCCTGTTCCACGACTTTTGGAGGAGACAGTGTGCCCTGGTGCTGGACAGGATTAGGGATCAGCTCATTACCATAGACGGAAGCCTGGACGGCTCATGGGACTCAATCCGCAGTCTGTCCTTGTGGTCGTACTACCGAGCCGAATGGCCCCGGGCCCCGTTGGAAAGCGTCTTGAACGAGCTGTAAGTGTAATCTTTGGTGTTTGATCTAACGTCTTTCTGCGCCTCTCTCAGATCCACCGCTGCAGAGGAAGTATAACCTTCTCGCTGCTGACGGCTTGGCTGCTGGGCGCTTACTCCTCCGACATGCACATCTCCACGCAGCGTCATTCCAGAGGCTCCAAACTCCGAAAGCTCATCCTGTCCGACGAACTCAAACCTTCTGCGCCGCCTTCCGACGCTCCCGAAGCAGCTTCGGCGTCCGTGTCCGACGGCCCGGCGTCCTCGCCGTCCCACCGCCGCTGTCACCGGAGGCACAACAGCAGCAACACGGAGTCCCCCCCCTCCTTCTCCACGGCCGGACCCGCCCCGGAGAGCCCCGTACAGGGGGAGGAGGAGGTGTTTGTCTCTCCGTCCAGGAGGACCCACCAGAGATCCAAGTCGGACGCCACCATGGCGAGCAGCGGACCCGGCTCCGGCCTCCGACGGACGGGGAGTAACCCCAAAGTGGAAGCTGTCCACGAGGAGGTGAGGACCAGAATCTTTATATCTGTCTCATTGTTGAGTCTCACGTGGGATTTATGACGGTTACGTCTGACCCTGGAGCGGCGACGCTGTTGTGTCGTCACAACTTCTCCTGAAACCAACGACCTTTTTGATTGTCGATCACTGAAACCAGCTTTTAAATGAAACTTCGGTTGTTTAAGGAACAATTAACAGTCAAGACAATAAAACAAATACTGCTTTCAAAAATGAACCTTTGACTGAGATCAGTCCTGTCGTGGACCAAATGTGTGTGAGCGCCGCTTATAGGCAAGTCGGCCGCCATCTTGGCAACGCCTCCAGGCAGCTGTATCAGACTGACCAGACCAGGCTCCTGTCTGAACGAATGGACAGAGAGCCAGAACTGCACTTTCACCGCGACATAAAAACTACGTCAATAGAATCGGCAGTAAAATCTGATGAAAATCACTGAAAAAGTTTCACAGTTTTTTGCCCCAAAATAAGGTTAAAAAAGCGTTTTTCCCGACCGGTTATGCTAATATTACGCATGCGTCACCGCTTCCGCGCAGTCGAAGTAAAACAGACTCTTACGTGAGTGGAGTCACACGATTGGCTGAAATGTTTCCCGTTTTGGCTGTTAAAAGCAGACAATTGGCTTTCTAGCGGGAGGGGCGCGATAACCGCCATCTTTGGCGTTACGGGCGTTCCCCGGAGGGACCAGGGTCTAAATTTAGTTCCAGGGTCTGTATTTTACCACACAAAAAGTCCCTGCTCGGGGGGGGGGGACTTTCCGAGACTAAAGGCTTTAACTCGAGCATGTCGACTGTTTTTCTGCGACTGCTCGTCTCTTTTCCACCGTCAGAGTTTTAATAAGCTTCCAAACTGTCGCCTCTTTATTTCTGTGTTGCTTTCTTTTAGGTTTTATCCAGTTTGTTTTTAAACGTGTAACAGACTTTCTCTCGTGTCTCCCACACAAAAAGCTGCTTTAATGCTCAAACACAGCCTGTAGTTTTTCTTATGTTCCAGTCCGATGTTCATTTATAAATGTTGCTCGTGGTTATAAATAATGATGTCTGTGCGTCGCCGTGCGTCGCCGTGCGTCGCCGTGCAGGCCTACGTCAGCCGGTTCATTTGCCTGATCTCCGCAGGTCTTTAGGCCGCGGTGGAAACGCACTTTTCACGTGTGAGACGGCGAGTTGCGTAGCGTGAACGGCCATCCGCACGAGGCTTAACGTGTTCACGGTCAAACACTAAGGCTGCATGTGGTCAAGATCAGATCCAGCTCTGACCGTTTGACACGCGACTCCGACGCCGCTCTAGAGAAGTCGTCACAGTTCTGCTCTAGATGGAGCCAGAATTAAACATGTGGCCCTTTTATTCCACCTGAGCGGCTGAGTCACCTGCGGGCTGCTGTCCGAGGTCCCGTCGCCCTCTTTGCTCTCTTTTGCAGAGAGGCCGACTGGTTTCCAGTCTGTGGCTCCTGAAGACAACTGGGGTTCATGCGTTTGAGAAAGGAGGGTGTGTTTTCGCCTGTTGTCACATTCTTGGCCGCTGGTTCAGTCACATGCGGGCCGAGGCCTTCCATTGGCCGGGAGCCAGACGCAGAGTGCAATGTGATTGGCTGAGAGCCACGTTTGGTTCTTCATGCACAAACACAGAGAGAGAGAAATATTTTTTCCTCTTTTCATCCTCCAAAAAAAGACAATTAAAAAGATGAGAGAGGGAGACGGAGGAGAGAGAAACGTGTAAACGTCTCTTCTGCTGACGTTCGCAGTTTCCTCTGGTTTTTATTTTAAGAGAAGGACGAGATACGAGCGGCTGAAGACGGAGAGTAAAACTTTAACAAAGCTCATATTATTTGACATCCTGACAAAGAGAAAATCTCCCTGAACGTGAAAAGAAAAGCTGCAGTGTTTATTTTTGAAGCAGAGAAAGTTCCTGACTGATAACAGCGAACACGTAGCCGAGAAAAGGTTTTTATAGATTCAGAGATTATAAAAGTTTATCTCAGCGGCTTTTTACCCAAAATGTTTGAAGAAGACAAAAGACACACGGCCTTTTTAAAGAGCTCAAACTGAACCCTGCACGCAGATGAAGTAATTCTTTCACAAGTCTAATTACGGTTAGAAGATTACAGAAGGCGCTCAGGGTTTGTGTAACACTCATTTCTCAACACGCAGTCAGTTTACTGAAGTAAAAAGTGTCATAATAAGAACCATCAGGTGCATCACTGCAAAACTGCTCGTTCTCTACAAAAAAAGCTCGACATTGTTCCTAAAGCCTCTTTGATTTGAGGTGATTAGCGTGAAGCTGAGAGCGAGCGACCAGGAGACCGTCTGTCTGTCTCTGCTGCTGTTAAATAAACTGTTGCAAAGAGACCCGTTCTGAACTCCTCACATATTTTAACAGTTTAAAGCTCCAGCACAGAAAAATCAGTCGAGACTTTGAAATAACAAAATTAGAGAGAAATCCTAAAGCTGAAAACAGATTGTTGTTGTTTCCTCTTCTTTTCTCTCCCATTAATCTTCGGGTTGATCTGGTGGTTTGGAGCTAACATTATGTCCAGTAGCTAAAACTAGCTAAATGTATTAAAAACAGAGCTTCAAACGTTTATCACAAGTCGTTAAAATGTTTGCAGCAGCCGCCCCTCGGCCCCAAAACCCAAACCAGCACAAATAAAAACTATTACTACTGGGAAATCTGCTAGTATGATTATTTATTAGGGGTGTGGAAAATATGCGATTTCTAGATGCATCGCGATGTGAACAGATTCACAAATGTCATCAATCTATTATCTAGAGGTCAACTGATAACAGCTCCGGACCGTCTGTGGCTCAAGATCACAATAATCAACTTACAAGACAAAAACGTGTAAATACACCAGAAGAGAGAAAAACAGGAACAGATGTATTGAGGTGGAGGGAACGTGGTTTGGTGCAGAGTGTAAATCTGACTCCATACTAAAAACAGCAGCAGCGGAGGTCAGTAATAACGCTGTAATATCTTAGCTACATTTATATAACTGGAAATATCCGCACTTCATTACTAACTACTGCTTTGGATTGTTGTTAAATACTTTGCTGTAAAAGTACCAAGTAGTCACAGAGAGAGAAAAATACATCTGTATCCTGTTTTGCAGTCACATCGTAGCCTCACAGTCGCCAGCCAAAATTAGCATCCCAGCTAACGTGAATCACAGATCAACCTTGCTAACCAAGCTGCCTGGCTCCGCCCCCTCTCGTCCAAATATGGTCACGTCTGGTTGCAAATAAAACCCAAGATGGCGACGGCCAAGATGCCAAACTGGAGGCTTCACAATGGAAGTCCGCAAATCAATATTAATGACAGAGGACGAATCCTGCAGTTTGTTCTTCAGTGCACAAACATTCAACAGGAAGTGCTCTGCCAAAATAAAATGCATACAAAGCGCTGCAGTATGCTGAAGTGGAGCCAGCGTGTAATGTTACATCTTAAAAACGCGGTTCCTCTTCTCGTTAAGTTCCTCTGATTCAATAATCCAACCTTAACATAAAAAGTTAAAGAGGAGTCAGAGAGCGAAGAAGAGAAACCTGCAGAGAAATAAAATCCTGCTGCAGAGAGAGAGAACAGATGTCTGACTCGGAGGAGGAGTGTTGGTTTACAGCCAGACACTGCAGACAACAACACAGTTTATATAACAGAGAGGCGATGAAACATCCTTCAAATCTAAATTACAGCAAACCAACAGCCACACACCAAACCCCATGTAAATTTAGGTGGTTTTTAGGGGAAGTTGTCTGCCTTGATATTAGTAAGTGACAGGAAATGACACCTTCAGATCTGTTGCACCGCAAAACAAAAAGAAAGTCCCAAAGTTTTATTTCTGGAAGTTAGAGCTGCACCTAAACGCCGATGTGTTTCAGTGTGGAGCAAAGAAAAGAACTGAGGCCCGTGACGTTAGTTTCATCTGTCTTCTCGCTCACACCTGGTCGTTAATCAAGCGGGCTCGTGCGGCGACGCAAAGGAAACAGGACCGGCGTGCTGACACCAGCTCGCCGATGGGGACAATTACAGTCAGAGGAATAATCACTGTTTCACGACTGTTATGCATTCATTAATTAACGACACCTGTAATGACTTAAGTTTGTTTCTAATATTTAATCACATTAACAATTATATTTCTATAAGTAAGGATTATTAATATAAGAGGAAACCGTTACTGAGCAGGGGAATAAACTGTAACCGTCATCAGCTGTCATGCAGTGGGATTCATTACAGTCCTGGAAGTTTATAAGCTCCTGATGTTATTGTTTTACACCTGCAACACTTTCTCAGCACAGACAGGATGTGACGCTAAATGTTCAGTGACTGAAGGTCTGCAGAGGACGACGTTCTTCCAGAAAGAACCTTTCGGAAAAGAAGCCATTTGCGCTGCGCTTGAAGCCGTTTCCTCCTTTAATGCCAAGTTTCAGACCAGATGATCCGTCGCCCTGGTCGGTCTCGACACTGCCGACTTCTGCCGTGTCTGTGGTGACCAGCCCGTGAACAGCAGCAGCCTCCAGGTCTCTGCAGGTCTCTGCAGGTCTCTGATAGGCTCGACACTTTCAGCTGCTGCACTGCTCGGGGGGGGTTAAGAAATCCAATTACATCTTTCTGCTGTTGTCTTCAAACTGACCAGTTCAGTCATGGAAAACACACGGAAAATGAGGGAAAAGATCCAATGTCCTGGAAAATCTCGTGCTGTCCTGGAAAATCTCGTGCTGTCCTGGAAAATCTCGTGCTGTCCTGGAAAATCATTTTAACCTGATGTTTAGCAGCAGCACGTCAGGTCACATGGTAGCCCAGGCTGTGCGTGAAACACACGTCCCTGCTGGCTGTGGTTGTTTTAATCAGACTAACGTTTCCTTCTCGACTTGTTTCAAACCGGCTTTAAAGTCAGACTTCAGCAGAGAGGAAACATATCGGTGCACAACCTGATCCCCGTCTGTCAAAGCAGCTGGTGAAGTCCAGGACACTGAGCTGAGCTTTGATCCTCAGTCAAACTACTGGATGTGTTCAGAGCCGAGGAAACTAACTTCTCCCGGGACGACACCAGAGCTGCTTCATTAAAACCACAGGAGCTCAGATACATTCGGTTTTTCACACATGCCAAAAAAAAAAAGCATCAAATCTTCACGTTTGTCCGGCAGATATTTTCTATTTGTGCTTCTGAAAATGACTAAAACAATAATTAGATTAGAAAAACAGCTGCTGGTCAATAATCTGTCTCCGTCCTGCAGCTGCATTATAAAGTTCTGTCCCTTTTTTAATAAAGTTCAGGCCTTTACATAATAAATACTTTATTAAACGCATTAATATTAAATAGAAACTGCTGCTTTCTGTGTTTCCTGCTGCAGAATCTGGGTCACGTAAACATCTCGTCTTCGAATCGTTTCCATGTGTCTGAACCGGGGGGGGGGGGGGGGGTTAAGCCATGTGATGAAACATGTGACGAGGTGACGCCCTCACTGACCGATGACGCCGGTCACATGACTGGACAGCGCCTCGTTTATTGGCTGGAGTTTGGTTTATGTGTTTCCAACAGACCAGAGTCTCTGGTGGATTTAAAGATATTTAAAAGAGAACGTGTGTTGGATTAAAACAGTTTTCAGATCACGAGACGTTATTGATTTGTGTATCGCTAAATAATATTTTATATAATATCTTAAGTCTGGGTAACGATAAAATGTAGGATGTGGGAAAGAAAATAGTTTATGGATAAAATAACCAGAGGAGAAATAATAATACAACATTTTAATACTTTAAGGCCTGATTATACTTTTACTGTTTACAGTGTGGTACTAGTACTTTTACTGCAGTAAATGACCTGAGTACTTCCTCCAGCTCTCTGTGTACCTGGAGCCGTGTTTACCTGGTTGTGGAGCTTCTCTGCCCTCTGGTGGAGAAACTGCTGAACTGCAGCTGATCTTTATATTTATATATATTACACTTTATTTTAAAAAAAAGGTTTCCTTTTTAATTATAAATTTTATTCTATTTCATTAATTTTATTATTTTAAATTGCATAATCAAGGGTCCAATTTCACAAATCAAAGTGCTCCTGTAGGTCACAAATACACACTGTACGTAAACTACATGTATGTAGTTTATGTACTGAAGCTTCTCTCTCGTCTGCAGAAAGAGGGCCTGAAATTTCGTCTGTTTTTCTCAACAATGTAAGATTTCGTCGTAATTTTTATTGTGAAGTTTTTAAATTCACGTTACAATTTAAGTCATGGAATAAAAAGTTGTCAATGAAATATTTGTCAAAATATTCATTGACAAAATGATCACTGCTGGCTTTTTACATTGTTCACGTCTCAAATAGGAGAAAAAAGAACCAAAACTCCTCGCAGCAGCGTTCCTCCTCCTCCTCCTAAATGTAATGAGGAAAACCAACTTGTTAAATCCCTAAACACCGAGCAGTGTTTTTCATTTTAAATAAAATCTAAAAATTTGAGTCGTTTCTTCTCAGTTTACCGAACTGAGACTCTATAGCTCAAAGACGTTGCATGTTTTCCCTCCTGATTGTTATTTCGTTGTCTCTGCGTCTCAGCCGGACCGTCTGCGTCCTCAGAGGGAGTTCGTGAAGTCCCTGCTCTGCATCGGGAAGCGTTTGGCCACGCTGCCCACCAAAGAGCAGAAGACCCAGCGGCTGATCTCAGAGCTATCACTGCTCAACCACAAGCTGCCGGCCCGGGTCTGGCTGCCCACCGCCGAACACCAGCACCACGTCTGCAGGATCCCCCACACCCAGGCCGTGGTGCTCAACTCCAAAGACAAGGTAACCGGAAACACACCTGAGCAGGGGAACACAACCTGAGCAGGGAGCAGGGGAACACAACCTGAGCAGGGGAGCAGGGGAACACAACGGGAGCAGGGGAACACAACCTGAGCAGGGGAGCAGGGGAACACAACCTGAGCAGGGGAACACAACCTGAGCAGGGGAGCAGGGGAACACAACGGGAGCAGGGGAACACAACCTGAGCAGGGGAGCAGGGGAACACAACCTGAGCAGGGGAGCAGGGGAACACAACCTGAGCAGGGGAGCAGGGGAACACAACCTGAGCAGGGGAGCAGGGGAACACAACCTGAGCAGGGGAACACAACCTGAGCAGGGGAACACAACCTGAGCAGGGGAACACAACCTGAGCAGGGGAACACAACCGGAGCAGGGGAACACAACGAGAGCAGGGGAACACAACGAGAGCAGGGGAGCAGGGGAACACAACGGGAGCAGGGGAGCAGGGGAACACAACGGGAGCAGGGGAGCAGGGGAACACAACGGGAGCAGGGGAGCAGGGGAACACAACCTGAGCAGGGGAGCAGGGGAACACAACCTGAGCAGGGGAGCAGGGGAACACAACCTGAGCAGGGGAACACAACCTGAGCAGGGGAGCACAACCTGAGCAGGGGAGCAGGGGAGCACAACCTGAGCAGGGGAGCAGGGGAGCACAACCTGAGCAGGGGAACACAACCTGAGCAGGGGAGCAGGGGAACACAACCTGAGCAGGGGAGCAGGGGAACACAACCTGAGCAGGGGAGCAGGGGAGCACAACCTGAGCAGGGGAACACAACCTGAGCAGGGGAGCACAACCTGAGCAGGGGAGCAGGGGAACACAACCTGAGCAGGGGAACAGGGGAACACAACCTGAGCAGGGGAACAGGGGAACACAACCTGAGCAGGGGAACAGGGGAACACAACCTGAGCAGGGGAACACACCTGAGCAGGGAGCAGGGAACACAACCTGAGCAGGGGAACAGGGGAACACAACCTGAGCAGGGGAACAGGGGAACACAACCTGAGCAGGGGAACAGGGGAACACAACCTGAGCAGGGGAACAGGGGAACACAACCTGAGCAGGGGAACACACCTGAGCAGGGAGCAGGGAACACAACCTGAGCAGGGGAACACAACCTGAGCAGGGAGCAGGGAACACAACCTGAGCAGGGGAACACAACCTGAGCAGGGAGCAGGGAACACAACCTGAGCAGGGGAACACAACCTGAGCAGGGAGCAGGGGAACACAACCTGAGCAGGGAGCAGGGAACACAACCTGAGCAGGGAGCAGGGGAACACAACCTGAGCAGGGAGCAGGGGAACACAACCTGAGCAGGGAGCAGGGGAACACAACCTGAGCAGGGAGCAGGGGAACACAACCTGAGCAGGGAGCAGGGGAACACAACCTGAGCAGGGAGCAGGGGAACACAACCTGAGCAGGGAGCAGGGGAACACAACCTGAGCAGGGAGCAGGGGAACACAACCTGAGCAGGGAGCAGGGAACACAACCTGAGCAGGGGAGCACAACCTGAGCAGGGAGCAGGGGAACACAACCTGACCACCTCCTCCTCTCTCTCCTCCCTCCTCCTCAGGCTCCGTACATCATCTACGTGGAGGTGTTGGAGTGCGAGAGCTTCGAGACGTCTCCTCTTCCCGTCCGGATCCCGGAGACGAGGATCCGCTCGGCTCGTTCTGCGGAGAACCTGGACTGTGGCGGTGGCGTCACCGCGGCTAACGCTAACGGCGGGATGACATCAGAGCACCGAGCAGGAAGTTTCTCCACCGTTCCGAACTACGACAACGACGACGAGGCGTGGGCCACCGACGACATCGGGCAGCTGCAGGTGGAGGTGAGACGACCCTTTGTTTGATTGTTAGCGTTATATTGATTTGAACTCGCGATAACGGTTTACACACTGCATCAAGTGTTTACAATGTGTTAAAGAAAAGGTCCGTAAATACATGAACCACAATAAAACAGTCACACCTGTGGACACCTGAACAGGTGTTTCCACAGCTGGTTAACCTTTTCAGTGCCCAAACAAAAAGCACGCCGCTAATGAATAATCCGTGACAGGTTTTTGGTGAAGCAGGAACAGCTAAATATAAAGTGTGTGTGTTGCAGGGGGAGGCTCAGACCAGCAGCAGCGATAACATCAGTCAGTTTTCAGTCGACAGCATCACGAGTCTGGAGAGCAAAGAGCCGGTTTTCATCGCCGCCGGAGACATCAGGTACGTTGCACGCCATGTGACCGCGTTGAAGGTCTAACCGCACAAGCGTCTGCCTCAGTGTTTTGCAGAGAAACATGACATGAGAACATTCCCACCAGACTCCATGTAATAAAAGTCATATTTCATATCTATATATTCTCCAATCACACGTCACATAAATCAGAATCAGCTTTATTTGCCAGGTTTGTGTGCACATACGAGGAATTTGACTCTGGATCATACATTGCTCACGATGGTGAGACTACAGTACACAGAAAAATACATCCACACCATAAACCAAAACAACAACAATGTAGACAATAAATGAAAGATCAGTGGAGTAAATTAATATCGACCGTGAAGTTTAAAGGAGCACATATAGTATCTCACCAAACTGAGTCCACCCCTCACATCTTTGTAAATATCTGATTCTATCTGTTCACGTGACGACACTGAAGAAATGACACTTCGCTCCAGTGTAAAGTAGTGAGTGTATAACAGTGTAAATCTGCTGTCCCCTCAAAATAACACATCACAAAGCCGTTAATGTCTAAACCGCTGGCAACTAAAGTGAGGACCCCTAAGGGAAAATCAAATATTCACGTAAATGTGAGGGGTGAGGGGAGATACTGTATATTCCACGTTAACTTCACATGTTGGCTTCTGCATGAGTTGTTTCACTGCAGTGAATTTACTGCAGAACCAAAGCGTTCAAACTCCCAAGTCGTCACATATGGACACGTTGTCAAGGACCCGTTGGGGTCATAGTTCAACGCACTGGGTGAAGTGTAATTTATACTTCTGCGCCGAATCAACAGCGTAGCCTGTGCGTAGCCCCCTACACTATGCCATCGCTTGACGTGCACCTCCTCAAATGTAACTACATGTCGTGACCGTAAGCTCTGTGATTGGTTGGCTGGGTAGCCTCGCAACGCCTCCGAGCAGACAGGAAGTGCACCGTGCTTTGAAGTAAGTTTTACTTAATCCTCCAGGTACACGCAAAGTACGCAGGCTGTGAAGAAAGCAGTTTGCGACGCCGGGGGCTTAAGTAGGTGGTTGGGGTGGACGGTGGACCAGAAACCGGACTTTCAACCAGGAGACCAGTGTTCATTTCCTGTGCGAGAGACAAAAAGTCAACATGGAATGTTTTTTATTTAAGTTGTGTAGGTTACGTCAGTAACGTAAGGCAACATTTCTGAACTTAGACAGTTATACTTATTTTAACCTGAACAATGAGATCTTCCTCATCCAAACTGCAACGTTTCACAACATTAGTACTTGTTTTATTTTGAAAATAACTTGACGGCTAAACGTGCAAAATCTAAACCCTGAAGGTTACCCAGGGCGTTGACCAAGCGTCCATATGTGACGAGTCGGGATGAGAACGTGTTGGCAGAACCTGAGGACGGCGCAGATTTATCAGACCTGTCCAATTGAAACTGAAGTCAGTGACATGGAGACGGATCGTTCTAACGCTTGGTCTCGTTGTCCTCGTGCTGTATCTGTTCTCCAGACGCCGTCTATCGGAGAACCTCGCTCACACTCCGACCTCGTTCCGGAGAGACCCCGAGGACCCGTCGGCCGTCGCCCTCAAAGAGCCCTGGGAGGAGAAAGTCAGGTGAGTCCGTGAACACCTCTCAGCGTTCTGTCACCGACACTGTGTTTCTGTGTATTTACTGTGCGTTTCTCTGCAGGCGGATCAGAGAAGCCTCTCCGTACGGTCACCTGCTGAACTGGAGGCTGCTGTCCGTCATCGTGAAGTGTGGAGACGACCTGAGGCAGGAGCTGCTGGCCTATCAGGTCCTCCGGCAGCTGCAGGTACCGACACACCTGCAACAGACGACAGAGCGCAATTTATTCTGTTGTTGTTTGGTACTCACGAGGTCCAGTATCATTTTACTGCATGTGCCTGGTTTGATGCTTCAGACCAAACAGAGTCTTTTATTTCAGGTTCTAGTGATGACGCTATCGTGAGGTCGTTTCTTTGTGGGAACAGATTTTGTGTTTCGCAGGAAGTCGATCCGACAGAAAACTGATTCGTGTGTGTTCTTTGTGTGTGTGTGTGTGTGTGTGCGCAGTCCATCTGGCAGCAGGAGAGAGTTCCTCTGTGGATCAAACCCTACAAGATCCTGGTGATGTCATCCGACAGCGGCATGATCGAACCCGTCCTCAACGCCGTCTCTCTCCACCAGGTACACACAGGGCAAAGCATCATGGGAACTCTTTGCAGTGACAGTCAGAAACGCCGCGCCACAAGTCCCATTTAGTAGCTGCATTTATTAACAATAGTTAATTAGTATTTTTATTGATAAAAGTGAGTATTTGTTTGCAAAACATTTAAAATCCCACTGACGTTTTACAGATGGTAGAAAAGTTTGGTGCCGTCCTAAAATAAACGATCCGAGCGTTCAGGTGTTTTCTTTTCTAAACTGTGTTTGTGTTTCATGTCCAACAGGTGCGTAAACAGAGTCAGTTGTCTCTGCTCGACTACTTCCTGCAGGAACACGGCAGCTTCACCACCGAAGCTTTCCTCACCGCCCAGAGGAACTTCGTCCAGAGCTGTGCCGGATACAGCCTCATCTGTTACCTGCTGCAGGTGAAAGACAGGTGAGACACGCTGAACTAAGATGGTGAACATGGTAAACGTGTTGGCATCACATCCCTCTGATGTGTAACTGATCTCCGCAGACACAACGGGAACATCCTGCTGGACTCTGAAGGTCACATCATCCACATCGACTTCGGCTTCATCCTCTCCAGCTCTCCTCGTAACCTCGGCTTCGAGACGTCCGCCTTCAAACTCACGTCGGAGTTCGTGGACGTGAGTAAACGACCTTCAGCGAGACATCGTCCAACACGTTGTGGCAGGAGTTCAGTGGAGGTTACTGACGCGGTCTGTGTTTCAGGTGATGGGCGGTCTGGACGGCGACATGTTCATCTACTATAAGATGTTGATGCTTCAGGGTCTGATCGCCGCCAGGAAACACATGGAGAAGGTGCTGCAGATAGTGGAGATCATGCAGCAAGGTAACACCAGTACATTTACTAAGAACTAAAGGTGACATCAGAAAAACATTGTCAGGAACTGGTCAGTTTTCAGATTTAGGGCTACTTTTCTTCCTTAACATGTCTTGTTTCAGACTAAAGGAAAGAAAAAGTCCTAAACCCACATTAAGTGGTTTATTTTCCTGCAGTTTGTCTCTGCGTGCCTGTAGAGGTCTCCTAAAAGTTAGCTTTCTAATGCTGCATGTCCTCCTGCTGTCGCTGTCTGCACAATGTGAAAAGCTCTATCTGCTGCAGAAAGATGTCTGATCCAAATATGGTAATTTTCTTTATACCAGCAACCAATCGTGAAAGTACACAGGTGAATTTAAGCTTGGTGTGAAATCTGATTGTCTATAGTGTAGATTTCTGACAACGTGAATGAGGCATGCTGTTACTTAGTTATCACTTTGTTCTATATCGTTGATCTGAAACACAACAAAGACACAGGAGGTGTCTCAGGAGGACGAGCGGGTTGGCCGTTAATTGGAAGGTCGGCGGTTCAATCCCCGGCTCCTCCAGCTGCATGTCGAAGTGTCCTTGGGTAAGATACTGAACCCCGAATTGCCTCTGGCGGCTGTTCCGCCAGTGTATGAATGTTAGTTTGAGCACTTAGGCTCAGTGTATGAATGGTAAATGTAGATGTAGTGTAAAAGCGCTTTGAGTGGTCAAAGACTAGAAAGGCGCTATACAAATACGGAGCATTTACAAAGCTGATAGTTTTCCTGTGGCGAGATTTGCTTCCTCTACGTGCTACGGCGTGTTTTGTTTCCCTTCCCGTGCTACGGCGTGTTTTGTTTCCCTTCCCGTGCTACGGCGTGTTTTGTTTCCCTCCCCGTGCTACGGCGTGTTTTGTTTCCCTCCCCGTGCTACGGCGCGTTTTCTTTCCCTCCCGTTTTGTTTCCCTCCCCGTGCTACGGCGCGTTTTCCTCCTCCTTGTGCCGACGGTTTCTGCAGTGCATCTTCACTGACTGTACATTGAGGGGAGTTGTACTGAAATTGCGTTGAAGTATGTTCAATGACAATGAAGCTTTCTGATTTTGTTTCCTCCTCCCGACATTTCCATTGATGTTTCCTCCCGTGTCTTTTACTTCCTCCTCCAGGTTCCCACCTGCCCTGCTTTCACGGCTCCAGCACCATCCGTGGCCTGAAGGAGCGTTTCCACATGTCTCTGACGGAGGAGCAGCTGCAGCTGCTGGTGGAGCAGCTGGTGGACGGATCCATGCGCTCCATCACCACCAAACTCTACGACTCTTTCCAGTACGTCACCAATGGAATCATGTGACCGCGGACACGCCGCTACACCTCCTGCAGACTCTTGATGTTTCAACTTTTACTAGCTGCTTTTGTTTGGGTTCAGCAAAGAGAAGGTGGCGCTGAAGGAATTTATTGGATTCGAGTTTCTTGTTAACCTCCGCTGTGTTCATCGCACCTGGCTCTGAAGTTTCTAACAGGTTCGTTTTGAATCTGAGGATCAGCTGATAAAATTTTAGGTGATCTCAAGATTTGTTTCGCTGCGTTCAAGGGCAGCTGGGAAAGTATCGTTCGGATATTTTCAAGGTCGGTTTTTACATCCTGAGAAAAATCGTACGTGGAAGAGGAACACTAAATGGGCTGGAAGCATCCGAATTCAGATTCCAGGTTTATCCTGTTGCTGCCCGAGACAAATTTATTAAACAAACTCTTAAACTGCTGTTGGATTCTGCTGGATTTTACTCTGAACCAGCACACAGTGTTCGGATAACAAACGGGAGGAAACATTGAAGCTGAGTGTTTGTAGTGTTTTGGATCAGGACAAAAACATCTGAATCTGTCACTTAAGTTTCTTAAGAAATGACGTCTATAAAAAGTGAATAAGGAAAAGGAGCTTGTCCCTAATATTCAATTTGTAGTTTCATGTCGGCCATTAAACCTCAGCAGCAGTTCGTTCCAGCTGATCCTCTCGTGCTTCATATCAGAAAGATTTGAAATCCAAAATATCAACGCGACAAACACCAGCAGGACATCTGCAGCTTCTCGTCATGAAGAAACTGTGCGACAGTCGGTTCTGTATGTTTGGTTGTTCTTAAAGAACAGAACATTGAGAAAAACACTATGTGGAGGAAGCACAACATGTTTTCGTTGCTCTCTGGATGTTCAGAGAAAGACGGTTTAAAAAAGAAAGAGACATCACTCTTTAGTTTGAAATGGTGGAGACCAGTTTATCTTCCAACAGAATTTCTTGACATGTTGAGTTTTGATTGTTTTCACCAGACAGTTATCACTACTGGGTCTAAAACATCAGAAAAGAAATCATTTGTTTATCCAGGAAGCTCATTCCAGCGTTCTTCACGTCTCGCTGCTCTAAGGAAGTGAAATATTTAGAAAATATTGGATCGACAAGTTTATCACAAGAAACCAATGACTGAATCCCTGTTAGCTTCAGCTAAGTATTAGCATGTCAACTTGCTAACTGTGAGCATGCACGCTAACGGCTCTCCAGGCTGCATGTGAGCTGAGGCGCTCGTCAACATTCGTGTGACTTTGTTTTTTTAATACTTGTACAAACATACATCCTTTTCTTTTTTGGATCAGCTGATTAACTTGTTCGATGCCCAGTTGTTGTGATTTTGAACGTCTTTTTGAACACAACTATAATTCCAGCCAACGAGTTAGATATCTTTTGATAAACATCCGTAACGTTAGCATGTCGTCATTGTTGTTTTTGAATCCAAAAACAAACTGTAACCCAGTTTTTAGTACATAAACTGTCAACAGTGACAAACGCGTTGTTTTAATGTAAAACTAAGATTTATTGGACCTATAAATCACTATTTTAAGAAGATATAATTGTAAAGGTTTAATGCCTTCCTAAATATTCGGAGACTTTGTGAAATCATTAATCGTCCTAACATCCTGATTTTAAAACAGAACTACAAACTAAACAAACGTGACGAGCGTCTGGTGAATAAACAATGTCAACTCCCCACTTTATTTAATCAGCATGTTTGTCACTGAATAATTTTAATGTCCTATGTTTTGTAGTTTTAGTTTTAAGAAGGGTCCGTGGGGAATTTCAGAAGATATTTTGTGTAATTTCTTTTCGTCAACACACACCGTACACAACATGTTAAAGATGCTAATGATAACGAAACTCCACAGCGTTGAGTTAAAACATATTTACATGAATGCATAATAACAGGCGGGTTCAGATTGACACTCCACTTTACTTTCCTTCGTTTTTGAGCCAAAATGGCCACCGAGCGGTGAAACGATTCGTCAGCGTCAACATTTTTATGCAAGAACCTCATTATCCATGTTCCACTAACTGTACATCTGTGTATAATTCTGAATTCATGTTATGTGTCCTTTAACAATACAGTCTATTTGCATATTTAACAAATTCTCTTCCTTCCTGATTGGCCCCAAGATGCATTCCCTTGATTAACTCTGGCCAATCAGGAGAGGCGGCTCTGTGGATTGGCTGAATGAGAGCGAGGGACTGTATTTCTGTGTTTGACAGAAAGTTTACTTTTCTTCATGAGGAGATCAGTGATAATCAGTTTTCTGAATATGTGAATGTTTTTTTTTTACAATACCAGCCCACTAAAATATTTTTTCCCCTCAGATGTTCTCTCAGCATTGACAAACACTTTTATAATGATGTTATAACTAATGCTGTAACACTTACATGGCTTTATTCCAGAGTATCACACCGGTGTATGAGCATATTGTTTGGACATAAGAAATACTGAGTTTGTCTTTGAGCAACCCGTTCTCACTCCTAAGTCATCACATACAGACGCATGGACAACACCCTTTGGCGTCAGTTTGTAACGTACTGGGGGAAACCTTGCAGCATCAGTTTTGAACACTAAAGGCGAGTGAAGAATATTTAACATAAAAGTCAGAGTAAGGAGGTGGTTGAGGTGGAAGGAGGGCCAGAAACTAGACTTTTAACCAGGAGACCGGTAATGTTCTTTATTATTTTAATCCAAACCCTGATCTCTTACTAAACCTTAACTACTTACTTCACGACGTTTCGCAATGTTGACAAATACTCTTATTTTGAAGGTTAACCAGACGTTGCATGTTTAGTTGTTAACTTGACTGCCCTAAAATGTAAAAAAAATAAATAAACGATGCTAAAGGGTACCCATGGTGTTAAAAGGTGACGCCAACGGGTCTTGGCAAAGCGTCTATAATGTGAAGAGTTGAGAGTGACATTAAGTATGTCTTAAAATACTTAGTTTTTAGACGATTTAAGATAGATTAGAAAACTAGCTAACTAATGTCGCAGACGCCAACATTAGCTTGTGCTACCAGAACTGTTAGCTATTTTGCTAGAAAACAGTTTGTTCAGGTCTGTAACTACCTGCTCGTTCTTCTACTGTAAGTTAGCTAGCCGAGATATTAGCTAGTCAATGCTCTTGTACCCTACGTTTATAACTACAGTTGTATTTATGGTGGTAGAATGACCAAAAATGTATAAAGCTGTCTAACTAACAATTAACTCATTTTTAACTAGCTAAGTAGGCTGCTGTCTTTCACAGTTAATGACTCATTAACTGCACTTATCTGCTCACATTTGTATAAAAATAAAATACCGCTAGTGTTGAAATGATTTATGGTTGACAGACAGCAGAACATTACTCACACCTGGCTAGACACCATTCCAGCTAAGCCATGTCATGCTAATGGCTAACAAACAACAGCAGATGTGGAATTTTGATTAAAACAGGTTCTCACTTAAATGTGTGGCTTTTTACCATTCGAAATAGCTGCTTTCTTTTCCTGAATGTTCATGTTTCATTTCAGAAAAGTGTATTTATTTTTTGATAGTGTTAAGTTAAGTCAGTCTATTTCAAGCCAGGTGGCCTGTCTTCACTTTGAGACACCAGAGCTAACTAGCTACCTCACTGTTCAAGAGCAGAGACTACGTACACACTGCAGTGATAAAATGTATTATTTCATCATCTGCTTGTCATGTAAAGACTGTTTTCATTGCTACAAAGTCATTGTAAATCAATATTTCCAGGCTGCTGTTTCTTGTTAGCCATTAGCTTGTCAACGACTCATCTAAAATCATGGCTAGCTTGTTTTATTTTTCCTCTTCCTTCTCCTTTTTTCGTCTGTTGAACATCATTGTGTTTTAGACATATAGGCTGTGTCAAGTAATGTTTAAATCAAAGTCAATATGTCATTAACTGCAAGAGTCGGTTAGTAGAAGTGCTAAAGCTTACAGCTAACAAACACCAAGAGCCGTGACAAGCTAGGTAGCTAGCTAGTTAGTGACAGACATGAACACAACACAGACTGTATATAAAGATGGACGACATGACCGCTCCCTAAAGGTGAAGCCAAAACATCTCAGAGAGCCTAAGTCTGTCTGTTCCGCCCTATGTGACCTTATTTCGGGAAAATAACGAACGGTAATCAACGGCAAGAGACAACTAATGTTTAGATCGTGTTTGAATTGTCTCCTGAATTACACACAAGATGTTTGTCGGTTGAAAAGATAGTTACGGCCATGAAAGTCGCAGTTTGTTGTTAAACAGTAAAGTAACATTTAGTTTTGTGGGAAACCGCTAAATTAACTAGATCTCTCGCCTCACATTATATGTCACCAACATGTTAGCGCTGTAATACTAAGCTAACGTTTACTGCTTGCTACTAGCAAGGTAATTTAGCTATATTCCACGCACAGATGTATCTCGCCTGATGTGTTTAATCCAACCACTCCTGGTCCTTTCATCACATCATCTACACATAGAAGCCAGTGACGTTAGCTTCAGTGACGTTAGCTTCAGTGACGTTAGCTTCAGTGACGTTTTTCTGTCATATGGGACTTTTGGGTTTGTGGTTTGTGTAATTACATATTTTCAGTCTTACACTTCTACAGTTTTACAATAAAATGTGACTTTCTTGACTTAAATTCTTTTAAAGTGACAAACGGGATTAAAACTGTTGTCTCTTGCCTTAAATATTTTTTGCAGAAATAGAGCGCCTAAGGCAAAAATATGTAAGGTAGTCAACAGCGAGAGACAACTAAAAGCTTGATTTATACTCCTGCGTAGGGTCTACATGCGTAGCTACGCTGTAGGCTACGCATGTAGCCGTGCATTTATACTTGTGCGTCGATGTCTCCGTCGTTCTGCAATTACACCGCCAAACGCTTGTTGTCGGTAGAGCTACAGCGTCCACTGTGTTGACTTTTGCCAGCCGAGCAGGCTAACTTCGGGGGCTACACAGAGGTTAGAAACATCTGTGCATAGAACATAACATAGGCTACCTAGCTAATGGCAACCAAGCATTTAACGTTAGCTTAGCATTACAGCACTAACATGTTGGGGGACTTACATTGTATGAAAGATGAAGTTCAGGCTTCACAGTTTTACTACAAACTGACTTTCTTGCCTTAAATTATATTTTAAACTAACAAACATCATGTGTGTAATTCAGAACACAATTCAATGCGATCAACAAATTTGTTGTCTCTCATAGTTGACTACCGTATGTATTTTTTTCTGAAATAACATACCAGCAAAAGATCACAGCGCACGTACCCAGGATTTTGTACAGTGGCAGGAAGTGGAGACACGGCATCCATCTTTATATCCAGTCTGTTGAACACAGTAAAAGCTAGTTAGCTTTTTCTACCATAATTTGAGTTTAACTTTGTTTATTTTTTAATCACAGTTTTCTTTTATATTCTTGTATATTAATACATCGGGTAGTGATCTCATAACCAGCTGTTTTCCGTTTGCAGCCTGGTGGAAATTATATAATTGTAAAGATGCTATAAAAGCTTCTCACTGGAATAAAGCCAATGTTTGGGGTTACTGTCGTACTATTAACATCTGTACAGTTGTTCTCTGAGGTGTTTTGTGTTTTGACCACTATTGAAGGAGAAGCACAGATCTGTTATTGTAAGAGCTGCCTCATGTTACCGTCTGCTAACTGTTAGCCTGCTACTTTATACGCTTGACAAAGATGCAGCTGTGACTAAAGTTTACCAGATAAGCAACTTAAATAGCAAATACTCTCTTGTTTCTTTCATTTGTGAATATGTATGTATGTAAATGAACTGATGTTAGTTTTCCTGTGAGAAAAATAAGATGCCTTGAGATGTACAGAAGGTACAAACTCTTATCAATGCAATAGGAGGGACAAAGGATCTCTGACCTGAGAAGTGCTTTTATATCAGACGTTTGACGGCTACACGGACGAGTTCTAACACCTAAGAGTATTCCTCTCCTACATCAGTCCAGACGGGAAAAATATCTTTATATTTACAAGTTATTCTAGTCACTTTTTCATAATAAAAAAACATTTGATAGTTAAATTGACCGGTGTTTTTTAAAGGTGTCAGCAACCCTTGAAATTTCTTTGTTTCCCCACTGTAAGCTACTACAATCATTGTTTTTCTGAGTGGAGTCTGGAGAGGAAAACACTGCAGCCTGTTAAAACTCGTCCCTGCTACTAAAAACCTTTCATTGCCTTCTTTCTTCCATCAGCTCGAACACATTCAAGAAATTCAATGTGAAAAAAAAGTGCATTTATCCTGAATTGTCAGTTTGTAAAAAGATTCCTTGTTGTTTTTAACTTTTAGTTGCTACTAAACGTGTAACACTAAATCCATTAAAAGCAGTTTGGAGGTTTGATTTTAATCGAGGCGTTTTGTGAGTTTCTGTTGAAATCAAGCAGAACAACAAGAGGCTTTATGCTGACTTGGCTTCAGTGAGAAATGCTAACGTCATGTGTGATAAACTGACAGCTTATTTTTCAGTGGGTGAAGAAACAGCATCATCTCATAACGATGCAGGAGGAGCTGACAAATATATAATAATAAATAATTTATATCTGATCGGGGAATAAGTGCAACAACTTCATAAATGTATTATTTATTTATGTAGTTATAAAAATAATAAATGTATCTCTGATGGGAGGAAAAGTGCAGCAACTTTATGAATTTATTGTTCATTATATTTTTTATTTATTACTATTATTATAAAGCTAAATAATAATAAAATAAAAATAAAATAATTATTAATAAATAAATGTATTTATCTGATTGGGGAAAAGTAGAACATTTTAGCATTATTTATTATTATAAAAATAATAAATTAAAATAATTAAAATGATAAATAAACTAATTTATCTAAAAAAAAAAGTGAAGCAACAAACCTCAGAATCATGACATAATTTCCTTTTTACATCGCTGAGATTCAGATCTCGCAAGCTGTAATTGACATTTCTCTTCATGTAATTATGAAATATCTCATGATGATTTCTCATAATGAATAAATTACAAAAAATTTTATATTTATCTTGTAATTAAATAATAATAATAAAGATGTAATAATTACAATTATTCGGTGAAAACATTTCTCCTGCTAATAGAAACTACAAAAACTTTATTGTCATTAGGTTAATTTGGGTTTGGTGTGTGACGCCCTCTCCATCCATGTGTTGTTTCTAATCTCCAGGTGATTTGGTCAAATGAATTAGTGAACAAGATGTCACTTAACTTAATGTGTGCAGCTCCTCCTCCTCCTCCTCACACAGACCAGAATGGAAATCTGCTCCTTTAAAAAGGGAAAAGCAGAAACATGACTTCGCCTTGTTGACACTCTTTGGTTTCAGATATCAGATCAGTGGAAGCACACAGCTGGTTTTGTTGTTGTTTGTGTCTTTGCAGACGTTTTCAATCATGTACAGAACCAGAACACACGCCCTACGTCACATGTCCTCACTAAACTGCATGGAAACGCATCAATAAACAATGAAAAAACTCATCAATGAGTTTGTTTTTAATCTTCAGCTCATTTTATTATTTTTGTTTTTTAATTACTTAAAGAATGCACATCATCACTGAATTACCAGCCACCACCTCAGAAAAAAACAATAACACAAAAGCTTTCATATTCATGGATTTCAGATTTTCACACAAAAATTACAGTCCACAAAACAAAGAGGATAATCTTAGTCCAAATAGGAGAATTCACTCGCCCAAAAAGAAAAGAAGAATGGGTGCAGTTCATTCCTTGAATGTCAGAAGTTAACCATTAAATAAAGGCAAAAAAATAAACTTAAAATAACGGCTACTAAAATTGTTGTTTTACAAAAACAAAAACCTTTAGGAAAAAAAAAAGTTTCACTTACGGAGTCAATCTGGGAGTCCAGTCCGGATCTTTGCTGCTGGGTTGTGGTGGATCTGGAGCGGTCCCATAGATTGAAGTGGATCTGCTCGAAGGCTGCCTCACGGTGGAGGGTCAATCACGTCAGCGAGTTGCTCTGGCAAATTTAGTTTCACTCTCCTCGGGCAAAAGCAGAATTCACAAATCCTGGATAACAGAAAAAAGCCTTGACTCAGTCTAATCAGTGCGTCTCGGCCGAGCCAGGCCGAGGAGGATCAACCAGGTGAAGCCTGTACCTGTAAAACAGAAGCCTGTCCCCTCAGCTGTCAGCTGACACACAGCGACAGTAACACATCTGACCGGACACTGCAAGACGGATTTACACCATTTGTACCATAAGTAGGGAAAACTCATTTAGTTGTATTTTCATTAGAAAACACATTAAATACTCAAACACTCAAAACTGAGAAAATAAAGTGACTTCTTCAGTATATACACATTCATTTACAGAAGATCACAATACTTCATTAGGACTGTTTAGTTCCATGGCTCTGAGTCAACATGTTGACTTTTTAAGTATTAAGATACTTGGTCGTGAATTCACTTTGTGACAGAAAACCTTCAACTACACAGCTGAAAATACCGTTTAGTCTAATTATAAATTTAATTGTCAATTACTGTGACTTCATTTTGACTTAATGTTAACGTCTTTAAATATTAACTAAAAAATTCAGAAAAATTACATTTTCTGTCTGATTTGTAGTAGCAGCAGTAAAGACTGTAGTAGTAACAGTAGTAGTAACAGTAGTAGTAGACTGTAACAGTAGTAATAGTAGCAGCAGTAAAGACTGTAGTAGTAACAGTAGTAGTAACAGTAGTAGTAGACTGTAACAGTAGTAATAGTAGCAGCAGTAAAGACTGTAGTAGTAACAGTAGTAGTAACAGTAGTAGTAACAGTAGTAGTAGACTGTAACAGTAGTAGTAGTAGCAGTAAAGACTGTAGTAGTAACAGTAGTAGTAACAGTAGTAGTAACAGTAGTAGTAGACTGTAACAGTAGTAATAGTAGCAGCAGTAAAGACTGTAGTAGTAACAGTAGTAGTAACAGTAGTAGTAGACTGTAACAGTAGTAATAGTAACAGTAGTAGTAACAGTAGTAGTAGTAACAGTAGTAGTAACAGTAGTAGTAGACTGTAACAGTAGTAATAGTAGCAGCAGTAAAGACTGTAGTAGTAACAGTAGTAGTAACAGTAGTAGTAGACTGTAACAGTAGTAATAGTAGCAGCAGTAAAGACTGTAGTAGTAACAGTAGTAGTAACAGTAGTAGTAGACTGTAACAGTAGTAATAGTAGCAGCAGTAAAGACTGTAGTAGTAACAGTAGTAGTAACAGTAGTAGTAGACTGTAACAGTAGTAGTAGTAGCAGTAAAGACTGTAGTAGTAACAGTAGTAGTAACAGTAGTAGTAACAGTAGTAGTAGACTGTAACAGTAGTAATAGTAGCAGCAGTAAAGACTGTAGTAGTAACAGTAGTAGTAACAGTAGTAGTAACAGTAGTAGTAGCAGTAGTAGTAGACTGTAACAGTAGTAGTAACAGTAGTAGTAACAGTAGTAGTAGACTGTAACAGTAGTAGTAGTAGCAGTAAAGACTGTAGCAGTAACAGTAGTAGTAACAGTAGTAGTAACAGTAGTAGTAGACTGTAACAGTAGTAATAGTAGCAGCAGTAAAGACTGTAGTAGTAACAGTAGTAGTAACAGTAGTAGTAGACTGTAACAGTAGTAATAGTAGCAGCAGTAAAGACTGTAGTAGTAACAGTAGTAGTAACAGTAGTAGTAGACTGTAACAGTAGTAATAGTAGCAGCAGTAAAGACTGTAGTAGTAACAGTAGTAGTAACAGTAGTAGTAGACTGTAACAGTAGTAATAGTAGCAGCAGTAAAGACTGTAGTAGTAACAGTAGTAGTAACAGTAGTAGTAGACTGTAACAGTAGTAATAGTAGTAGCAGTAAAGACTGTAGTAGTAACAGTAGTAGTAACAGTAGTAGTAGACTGTAACAGTAGTAATAGTAGCAGCAGTAAAGACTGTAGTAGTAACAGTAGTAGTAACAGTAGTAGTAGTAACAGTAGTAGTAACAGTAGTAGTAGACTGTAACAGTAGTAATAGTAGCAGCAGTAAAGACTGTAGTAGTAACAGTAGTAGTAACAGTAGTAGTAGTAACAGTAGTAGTAACAGTAGTAGTAGACTGTAACAGTAGTAATAGTAGCAGCAGTAAAGACTGTAGTAGTAACAGTAGTAGTAACAGTAGTAGTAGACTGTAACAGTAGTAATAGTAACAGTAGTAGTAACAGTAGTAGTAGTAACAGTAGTAGTAACAGTAGTAGTAGACTGTAACAGTAGTAATAGTAGCAGCAGTAAAGACTGTAGTAGTAACAGTAGTAGTAACAGTAGTAGTAGACTGTAACAGTAGTAATAGTAGCAGCAGTAAAGACTGTAGTAGTAACAGTAGAAGTAACAGTAGAAGTAACAGTAGTAGTAACAACAGTAGTAGTAACAGTAGTAGTAACAGTAGTAGTAACAGTAGTAGTAGTAACTGTAGTAGTAACAGTAGTAGTAGTAACAGTAGTAGTAGACTGTAACAGTAGTAATAGTAGCAGCAGTAAAGACTGTAGTAGTAACAGTAGTAGTAACAGTAGTAGTAGACTGTAACAGTAGTAATAGTAGCAGCAGTAAAGACTGTAGTAGTAACAGTAGTAGTAACAGTAGTAGTAGACTGTAACAGTAGTAATAGTAGCAGCAGTAAAGACTGTAGTAGTAACAGTAGTAGTAACAGTAGTAGTAACTGTAGTAGTAGACTGTAACAGTAGTAGTAGTAGCAGCAGTAAAGACTGTAGTAGTAACAGTAGTAGTAACAGTAGTAGTAGCAGTAGTAACAGTAGTAGTAGACTGTAACAGTAGTAATAGTAGCAGCAGTAAAGGCTGTAGTAGTAACAGTAGTAGTAACAGTAGTAGTAGCAGTAGTAGTAGACTGTAACAGTAGTAATAGTAGCAGCAGTAAAGACTGTAGTAGTAACAGTAGTAGTAACAGTAGTAGTAACTGTAGTAGTAGACTGTAACAGTAGTAATAGTAGCAGCAGTAAAGACTGTAGTAGTAACAGTAGTAGTAGACTGTAACAGTAGTAATAGTAGCAGCAGTAAAGACTGTAGTAGTAACAGTAGTAGTAACAGTAGTAGTAACAGTAGTAGTAGACTGTAACAGTAGTAATAGTAGCAGCAGTAAAGACTGTAGTAGTAACAGTAGTAGTAACAGTAGTAGTAACAGTAGTAGTAGACTGTAACAGTAGTAATAGTAGCAGCAGTAAAGACTGTAGTAGTAACAGTAGTAGTAACAGTAGTAGTAACAGTAGTAGTAGACTGTAACAGTAGTAATAGTAGCAGCAGTAAAGACTGTAGTAGTAACAGTAGTAGTAACAGTAGTAGTAGACTGTAACAGTAGTAATAGTAGCAGCAGTAAAGACTGTAGTAGTAACAGTAGTAGTAACTGTAGTAGTAGACTGTAACAGTAGTAATAGTAGCAGCAGTAAAGACTGTAGTAGTAACAGTAGTAGTAACTGTAGTAGTAACAGTAGTAGTAGCAGTAGTAGTAACAGTAGTAGTAGACTGTAACAGTAGTAATAGTAGCAGCAGTAAAGGCTGTAGTAGTAACAGTAGTAGTAACAGTAGTAGTAGCAGTAGTAGTAGACTGTAACAGTAGTAATAGTAGCAGCAGTAAAGACTGTAGTAGTAACAGTAGTAGTAACAGTAGTAGTAGACTGTAACAGTAGTAATAGTAGCAGCAGTAAAGACTGTAGTAGTAACAGTAGTAGTAACAGTAGTAGTAGACTGTAACAGTAGTAGTAGTAGCAGTAAAGACTGTAGTAGTAACAGTAGTAGTAACAGTAGTAGTAGACTGTAACAGTAGTAATAGTAGCAGCAGTAAAGACTGTAGTAGTAACAGTAGTAGTAACAGTAGTAGTAACAGTAGTAGTAGCAGTAGTAGTAGACTGTAACAGTAGTAGTAACAGTAGTAGTAACAGTAGTAGTAGACTGTAACAGTAGTAGTAGTAGCAGTAAAGACTGTAGCAGTAACAGTAGTAGTAACAGTAGTAGTAACAGTAGTAGTAGACTGTAACAGTAGTAATAGTAGCAGCAGTAAAGACTGTAGTAGTAACAGTAGTAGTAGTAACAGTAGTAGTAACAGTAGTAGTAGACTGTAACAGTAGTAATAGTAGCAGCAGTAAAGACTGTAGTAGTAACAGTAGTAGTAGTAACAGTAGTAGTAACAGTAGTAGTAGACTGTAACAGTAGTAATAGTAGCAGCAGTAAAGACTGTAGTAGTAACAGTAGTAGTAGTAACAGTAGTAGTAACAGTAGTAGTAGACTGTAACAGTAGTAATAGTAGCAGCAGTAAAGACTGTAGTAGTAACAGTAGTAGTAGTAACAGTAGTAGTAACAGTAGTAGTAGACTGTAACAGTAGTAATAGTAGCAGCAGTAAAGACTGTAGTAGTAACAGTAGTAGTAACAGTAGTAGTAACAGTAGTAGTAGACTGTAACAGTAGTAATAGTAGCAGCAGTAAAGACTGTAGTAGTAACAGTAGTAGTAACAGTAGTAGTAGACTGTAACAGTAGTAATAGTAGCAGCAGTAAAGACTGTAGTAGTAACAGTAGTAGTAACAGTAGTAGTAACAGTAGTAGTAGACTGTAACAGTAGTAATAGTAGCAGCAGTAAAGACTGTAGTAGTAACAGTAGTAGTAACAGTAGTAGTAGACTGTAACAGTAGTAATAGTAGCAGCAGTAAAGACTGTAGTAGTAACAGTAGTAGTAACAGTAGTAGTAACAGTAGTAGTAGACTGTAACAGTAGTAATAGTAGCAGCAGTAAAGACTGTAGTAGTAACAGTAGTAGTAACTGTAGTAGTAGACTGTAACAGTAGTAATAGTAGCAGCAGTAAAGACTGTAGTAGTAACAGTAGTAGTAACTGTAGTAGTAACAGTAGTAGTAGACTGTAACAGTAGTAATAGTAGCAGCAGTAAAGACTGTAGTAGTAACAGTAGTAGTAGCAGTAGTAGTAACAGTAGTAGTAACAGTAGTAGTAGACTGTAACAGTAGTAATAGTAGCAGCAGTAAAGACTGTAGTAGTAACAGTAGTAGTAACAGTAGTACTAACAGTAGTAGTAACAGTAGTAGTAGTAACAGTAGTAGTAACAGTAGTAGTAGTAACAGTAGTAGTAACAGTAGTAGTAGACTGTAACAGTAGTAATAGTAGCAGCAGTAAAGACTGTAGTAGTAACAGTAGTAGTAACAGTAGTAGTAGACTGTAACAGTAGTAATAGTAGCAGCAGTAAAGACTGTAGTAGTAACAGTAGTAGTAACAGTAGTAGTAGACTGTAACAGTAGTAATAGTAGCAGCAGTAAAGACTGTAGTAGTAACAGTAGTAGTAACAGTAGTAGTAGACTGTAACAGTAGTAGTAGTAGCAGTAAAGACTGTAGTAGTAACAGTAGTAGTAACAGTAGTAGTAGACTGTAACAGTAGTAATAGTAGCAGCAGTAAAGACTGTAGTAGTAACAGTAGTAGTAACAGTAGTAGTAGACTGTAACAGTAGTAATAGTAGCAGCAGTAAAGACTGTAGTAGTAACAGTAGTAGTAACAGTAGTAGTAGACTGTAACAGTAGTAGTAGTAGCAGTAAAGACTGTAGTAGTAACAGTAGTAGTAACAGTAGTAGTAGACTGTAACAGTAGTAATAGTAGCAGCAGTAAAGACTGTAGTAGTAACAGTAGTACTAACAGTAGTAGTAACAGTAGTAGTAGTAACAGTAGTAGTAACAGTAGTAGTAGACTGTAACAGTAGTAATAGTAGCAGCAGTAAAGACTGTAGTAGTAACAGTAGTAGTAGTAACAGTAGTAGTAACAGTAGTAGTAGACTGTAACAGTAGTAATAGTAGCAGCAGTAAAGACTGTAGTAGTAACAGTAGTAGTAACAGTAGTAGTAACAGTAGTAGTAGACTGTAACAGTAGTAATAGTAGCAGCAGTAAAGACTGTAGTAGTAACAGTAGTAGTAACAGTAGTAGTAGACTGTAACAGTAGTAATAGTAGCAGCAGTAAAGACTGTAGTAGTAACAGTAGTAGTAACAGTAGTAGTAACAGTAGTAGTAGACTGTAACAGTAGTAATAGTAGCAGCAGTAAAGACTGTAGTAGTAACAGTAGTAGTAACTGTAGTAGTAGACTGTAACAGTAGTAATAGTAGCAGCAGTAAAGACTGTAGTAGTAACAGTAGTAGTAACTGTAGTAGTAACAGTAGTAGTAGACTGTAACAGTAGTAATAGTAGCAGCAGTAAAGACTGTAGTAGTAACAGTAGTAGTAGCAGTAGTAGTAACAGTAGTAGTAACAGTAGTAGTAGACTGTAACAGTAGTAATAGTAGCAGCAGTAAAGACTGTAGTAGTAACAGTAGTAGTAACAGTAGTACTAACAGTAGTAGTAACAGTAGTAGTAGTAACAGTAGTAGTAACAGTAGTAGTAGACTGTAACAGTAGTAATAGTAGCAGCAGTAAAGACTGTAGTAGTAACAGTAGTAGTAACTGTAGTAGTAGACTGTAACAGTAGTAGTAGCAGCAGTAAAGACTGTAGTAGTAACAGTAGTAGTAACAGTAGTAGTAGACTGTAACAGTAGTAATAGTAGCAGCAGTAAAGACTGTAGTAGTAACAGTAGTAGTAACAGTAGTAGTAACAGTAGTAGTAGACTGTAACAGTAGTAATAGTAGCAGCAGTAAAGACTGTAGTAGTAACAGTAGTAGTAACTGTAGTAGTAGACTGTAACAGTAGTAATAGTAGCAGTAAAGACTGTAGTAGTAACAGTAGTAGTAACAGTAGTAGTAACTGTAGTAGTAGACTGTAACAGTAGTAGTAGTAGCAGTAAAGACTGTAGTAGTAACAGTAGTAGTAACAGTAGTAGTAGACTGTAACAGTAGTAGTAGTAGCAGTAAAGACTGTAGTAGTAACAGTAGTAGTAACAGTAGTAGTAGACTGTAACAGTAGTAATAGTAGCAGCAGTAAAGACTGTAGTAGTAACAGTAGTAGTAACAGTAGTAGTAACAGTAGTAGTAGACTGTAACAGTAGTAATAGTAGCAGCAGTAAAGACTGTAGTAGTAACAGTAGTAGTAGCAGTAGTAGTAACAGTAGTAGTAACAGTAGTAGTAGACTGTAACAGTAGTAGTAACAGTAGTAGTAACTGTAGTAGTAGACTGTAACAGTAGTAGTAGACTGTAACAGTAGTAGTAGTAGCAGTAAAGACTGTAGTAGTAACAGTAGTAGTAACAGTAGTAGTAGACTGTAACAGTAGTAGTAGTAGCAGTAAAGACTGTAGTAGTAACAGTAGTAGTAACAGTAGTAGTAGACTGTAACAGTAGTAATAGTAGCAGCAGTAAAGACTGTAGTAGTAGCAGTAGTAGTAACAGTAGTAGTAGACTGTAACAGTAGTAATAGTAGCAGCAGTAAAGACTGTAGTAGTAGCAGTAGTAGTAACAGTAGTAGTAACAGTAGTAGAATAATAATTCTGACTTTTAAATATCAACATTTTTACTTACTAACATCCTCACATTTCTAACATCTGAACACTTTTAACACTTTTGTTCTTTCTTGGCTTCTGCAGCCGCTGAGGTAACAGAAAGTATATATATATATATATATACATATACATATACATATACATACACACACACAGTAACCCAACAGAAAACAACAACAACCACCAAATAAACAAGTCGACACGAGAGAGTTTGGTTTTGTTTTTACTGATAATTTGACATCTTGACAAATTAAATAGAAAGCTTAAACAGAGCGTGGCAGCAGTCCGACAGCAAGAGACACACCAAAGAAACAAACTGTTAAAAACACCGGACGACAACAGGAAGTACCGGCGACGCCCCGAACACTCAGAGGCATGATGGGAAAGTTTTAAGTGCTCAGTTTAAGACGTTTAACCGTTTCATTCTACGTGGCTTTAAATAAGTCGTTTTAAATCAGGACTCTGGGTTCCTGGATCTTCAGAGCACTTGAAGAGGAAACATCTTGACGCCAGGTCTGAACTGTTCATTAAACATCAGAGCATCAGCAGAGTTACAACGCGGTTTCAGTCCAAAATGTGCTTTTTTACGTGCCGACAGCACCAGAGGGATGAAGTCACGACGCGTTTGAGTCGATCCAGAATGTTTTTACTCACGCAGCAGATTTAAACGTACGGAGGCCCTTTAAGATGAACCGTTAGAAACGCCAAAAATTAAATGGTCATGGTAAATCACAAGTATGAGATAGAAAGTCAACATTTACTAACGAGTCATAATTCTGAGTCAACATGTCAAAATTAAAAAAACAGGTCACAAATTCGAGGTACTAGGACAAATATGGGAAAAGACAAATGTATGACTGGAATTCAGTCAAACTGAGTCATAAATATGAGGACAAAAAGTTGAAATTTTTGACTATGTATCTTATAATTTTGACCTAATAAATCAAAATCCTTACTTTGTATTTCTGACTTTGTGCCTCAAAATTATGACATAGAAAGTCAAAATTACGAGATATTAAGTCTTAAATATGAGAAATAGTTAAAATTTTGATTAAATATCTCTCAATTCTGACTTAGTAAGTCATAAATATGAGAAACAAGTTAAAATTCTGACTCACTGATTTTGGCTTATTTCATATTTATAATAGTGTCTTATAATTTTGTGCCTAATAACTTAAACTCTACTTTGTATTTTTTCTTTATTATGTGATTTTAAGTCATAAACATAAGAAAATGTTAGACTGGAATTTGATCAAAATGATCAGATACTGAGTCATAAATACAAGACAATAACACAAAGATTTAAGTTAAAATTAGGTCAATTAAGTCAATCAGGATACTTTTGAGACACCAAGAGTATTTTTATTTTTGTCATTTCCGGTATTTGTTTATTTCCCTGGCTGGTTCGGGCTTCCGTATAAATGCAAATTCTGCTCTGGATTTTGTGATAAATGAAGAAAATAAGCTCCGCAGTGACGTTTTATATGAACCGGGTATCAAACATGTGACTGACAAGTACTGAAAGTTGGCAGTGAACGCATCGTCACACTCTTTGTGGTCGTCGGCTCGTTCTGGGATCAGGTATTGGTTGTTTAAATCATCATTTTAAATGTTCCTGAGTGGGTGATGTTTGGGCAGATTTCATGTTTGTTTTTGTAGAAAAAATGTCTTCACATTTGGCAAAATGTCACATAAAAGGTTCATATTGGCAGCAAAGATACCCTGTAATTATCACACATTTCATAATTTTAGAGTGACATGTAATCACCAAACGTTGCCCTTATACTCGGTACACAATTACAGCTCTCATTCAAGGTAAATCCATTGGAGTAAAATTATTAGAAAGTTACTGTGTCTGTGTCGGGGATTTACTCAAATGCTGCAGCATCAATAATGAATAATCAGTTGTTGTTTTTTTAAAACAGCATGAGAACCTTTCCAGTTGTCATTTTAATCACTGGAAAAAACTTTATTGGACTTCAGAGCTTATTTTCTAAATTAACTCAAACCCTGCTGGTAAAAAAGCAGTGGTAATCTGTATGGACTTTGGTGCGGACTCCTGGATTTTAGGAACCGTAACGGTTGACCCGTGTTGGTCTCTGCCGACCTCGAGCTTTAAAGTTTCATCTGCAGTGAAGCTGATTATAGGAAAGGATCGCTTTCACCAGAGGAGGTCGTGTGTCGGACATTTTGAACGTTGGTAGATGTATTTTATTGAGACGCGTCGTCTTCTGGTGAAACTGGTCCCGTCAGAAAAGACACTTTCATGTCGCTCAGGTCAGTAAAACACACTTTAAGTTAACAGATTTTTCAGCAGTTTCCTTTCATCGTTTCACGGATCCACTTCCTAATAAGTCAGAAGTTGTAACCAACGGCTTTATTAATGGTTAGTAAATCACTTCCTGCTTTACAGATCAGTTATTAGCCATGATTCAGGTCAGGTTTTGGCTGCTGTTCATCCTCTAGCAGGACACTTACTCTTTTTTTGACCTCTGACCTTCAGCTGCAGGGCTTCTGGATCAACATTTAAAACTGCAGACCGCATCGTTTCAGCTCTCAACTCGAGTATTTTTTCCCAACCTGCCAAGTTATTATTATTATTATTATTATTAATGTTTTACAGCTGATTAATGATGATTTATTGACCAGTAGTGAAGCCGTCAGTGTCAGATTATAATCCCTGTATAAAGACTGGCGTGTGAGCAGCGTGCGTGTTCCACCAGACTCAACAGTTATTTCTTACAAATTTACAAACTTTCCAAAACCTGGAATCCCGTCTGAAACGAACTGTTTAACAAAAGCACTGGGGTTTGGCATCGAGCTGAGTGTGTGTGCGTGTGCATGTGTGTGTGTGTCCTCCCCGCTGCAGACAGACTGGACTCAGGGAGTTTGGTGGTTGGTAGAAGATGAGGAGTCTATAGGAGGACACAGTCTGAGTCCTTGTCTCTTCTCCTGGCCCCGCCCTGCTGTGACCCCTGACCTCTGACCTGGAAACACAAAGACACAGACGTCAGTCTCGGAGTATTTTACAGCGTGCCGTCAGTGCTGCCGTGTCCCGAGTAGGCGGCTACCTGCTGTGCTGCCTGCCCTGGTCCCTGCTGCTGCAGCTGCTGCTGCTGCTGCTGCTGCTGCTGCTGGAGTTGCTGCTGCTGCTGGTATTCCTCCTGTTGGAGCTGTCGGGCCAACTCCAGGTCACTGAGGGGCCCCGGGGCCCCGCCCTGCTGCTGCTGCAGGGACACCGCCACCAGGTAGTCCTAACACCAACAACAAGATCAATCAGTGACTCACAATTGGCTGATCCACTCAGCTCTGTTAGCGACACCTGGACGGACTCACCTGGTCAATCTGTCTCTGCTGCTCCTGGGCGGTGGGCGGCAGGGTGGCGGCGGGCGGAGCTCTCTGAGGAGGATGACACAGTCTGAAGTCGGAGTCGCAGAAGTTCCCATCTCCCTCGACATTATGAAGAGACTCCCAGACCAAACCCTCCTCCTGCAGGAAGCCCTGATCCGTGACCAACAGGTACAGGTGACCCTGAGAGAGACGGCGCGGCTTTAATACCAACAAGTACAGGTGACCCTGAGAGAGACGGCGCGGCTTTAATACCAACAAGTACAGGTGACCCTGAGAGAGACGGCGCGGCTTTAATACCAACAAGTACAGGTGACCCTGAGAGAGACGGCGCGGCTTTAATACCAACAAGTACAGGTGACCCTGAGAGAGACGGCGCGGCTTTAATACCAACAGGTACAGGTGACCCTGAGAGAGACGGCGCGGCTTTAATACCAACAAGTACAGGTGACCCTGAGAGAGACGGCGCGGCTTTAATACCAACAAGTACAGGTGACCCTGAGAGAGACGGCGCGGCTTTAATACCAACAGGTACAGGTGACCCTGAGAGAGACGGCGCGGCTTTAATACCAACAGGTACAGGTGACCCTGAGAGAGACGGCGCGGCTTTAATACCAACAAGTACAGGTGACCCTGAGAGAGACGGCGCGGCTTTAATACCAACAGGTACAGGTGACCCTGAGAGAGACGGCGCGGCTTTAATACCAACAGGTACAGGTGACCCTGAGAGAGACGGCGGGGCTTTAATACCAACAAGTACAGGTGACCCTGAGAGAGACGGCGCGGCTTTAATACCAACAGGTACAGGTGACCCTGAGACAGACGGCGCGGCTTTAATACCAACAGGTACAGGTGACCCTGAGAGAGACGGCGGGGCTTTAATACCAACAAGTACAGGTGACCCTGAGAGAGACGGCGCGGCTTTAATACCAACAGGTACAGGTGACCCTGAGAGAGACGGCGCGGCTTTAATACCAACAGGTACAGGTGACCCTGAGAGAGACGGCGCGGCTTTAATACCAACAGGTACAGGTGACCCTGAGAGAGACGGCGCGGCTTTAATACCAACAAGTACAGGTGACCCTGAGAGAGACGGCGCGGCTTTAATACCAACAAGTACAGGTGACCCTGAGAGAGACGGCGCGGCTTTAATACCAACAGGTACAGGTGACCCTGAGAGAGACGGCGCGGCTTTAATACCAACAAGTACAGGTGACCCTGAGAGAGACGGCGCGGCTTTAATACCAACAGGTACAGGTGACCCTGAGAGAGACGGCGCGGCTTTAATACCAACAAGTACAGGTGACCCTGAGACAGACGGCGCGGCTTTAATACCAACAGGTACAGGTGACCCTGAGACAGACGGCGGGGCTTTAATACCAACAAGTACAGGTGACCCTGAGAGAGACGGCGGGGCTTTAATACCAACAGGTACAGGTGACCCTGAGACAGACGGCGGGGCTTTAATACCAACAGGTACAGGTGACCCTGAGAGAGACGGCGGGGCTTTAATACCAACAGGTACAGGTGACCCTGAGAGAGACGGCGCGGCTTTAATACCAACAGGTACAGGTGACCCTGAGAGAGACGGCGGGGCTTTAATACCAACAGGTACAGGTGACCCTGAGAGAGACGGCGGGGCTTTAATACCAACAAGTACAGGTGACCCTGAGAGAGACGGCGCGGCTTTAATACCAACAGGTACAGGTGACCCTGAGAGAGACGGCGGGGCTTTAATACCAACAGGTACAGGTGACCCTGAGAGAGACGGCGGGGCTTTAATACCAACAGGTACAGGTGACCCTGAGAGAGACGGCGGGGCTTTAATACCAACAAGTACAGGTGACCCTGAGAGAGACGGCGCGGCTTTAATACCAACAGGTACAGGTGACCCTGAGAGAGACGGCGCGGCTTTAATACCAACAAGTACAGGTGACCCTGAGAGAGACGGCGCGGCTTTAATACCAACAGGTACAGGTGACCCTGAGAGAGACGGCGCGGCTTTAATACCAACAAGTACAGGTGACCCTGAGAGAGACGGCGCGGCTTTAATACCAACAGGTACAGGTGACCCTGAGAGAGACGGCGCGGCTTTAATACCAACAAGTACAGGTGACCCTGAGAGAGACGGCGCGGCTTTAATACCAACAGGTACAGGTGACCCTGAGAGAGACGGCGCGGCTTTAATACCAACAAGTACAGGTGACCCTGAGAGAGACGGCGCGGCTTTAATACCAACAGGTACAGGTGACCCTGAGACAGACGGCGCGGCTTTAATACCAACAAGTACAGGTGACCCTGAGAGAGACGGCGCGGCTTTAATACCAACAGGTACAGGTGACCCTGAGACAGACGGCGCGGCTTTAATACCAACAAGTACAGGTGACCCTGAGAGAGACGGCGCGGCTTTAATACCAACAGGTACAGGTGACCCTGAGACAGACGGCGGGGCTTTAATACCAACAAGTACAGGTGACCCTGAGAGAGACGGCGGGGCTTTAATACCAACAGGTACAGGTGACCCTGAGAGAGACGGCGCGGCTTTAATACCAACAGGTACAGGTGACCCTGAGAGAGACGGCGGGGCTTTAATACCAACAGGTACAGGTGACCCTGAGAGAGACGGCGCGGCTTTAATACCAACAAGTACAGGTGACCCTGAGAGAGACGGCGGGGCTTTAATACCAACAAGTACAGGTGACCCTGAGACAGACGGCGCGGCTTTAATACCAACAAGTACAGGTGACCCTGAGAGAGACGGCGGGGCTTTAATACCAACAAGTACAGGTGACCCTGAGAGAGACGGCGCGGCTTTAATACCAACAGGTACAGGTGACCCTGAGAGAGACGGCGCGGCTTTAATACCAACAGGTACAGGTGACCCTGAGACAGACGGCGCGGCTTTAATACCAACAGGTACAGGTGACCCTGAGAGAGACGGCGGGGCTTTAATACCAACAGGTACAGGTGACCCTGAGAGAGACGGCGCGGCTTTAATACCAACAAGTACAGGTGACCCTGAGAGAGACGGCGGGGCTTTAATACCAACAAGTACAGGTGACCCTGAGAGAGACGGCGCGGCTTTAATACCAACAGGTACAGGTGACCCTGAGAGAGACGGCGCGGCTTTAATACCAACAAGTACAGGTGACCCTGAGAGAGACGGCGCGGCTTTAATACCAACAGGTACAGGTGACCCTGAGAGAGACGGCGGGGCTTTAATACCAACAGGTACAGGTGACCCTGAGAGAGACGGCGCGGCTTTAATACCAACAGGTACAGGTGACCCTGAGAGAGACGGCGGGGCTTTAATACCAACAAGTACAGGTGACCCTGAGAGAGACGGCGGGGCTTTAATACCAACAGGTACAGGTGACCCTGAGAGAGACGGCGGGGCTTTAATACCAACAAGTACAGGTGACCCTGAGAGAGACGGCGGGGCTTTAATACCAACAGGTACAGGTGACCCTGAGAGAGACGGCGCGGCTTTAATACCAACAAGTACAGGTGACCCTGAGAGAGACGGCGCGGCTTTAATACCAACAAGTACAGGTGACCCTGAGAGAGACGGCGGGGCTTTAATACCAACAAGTACAGGTGACCCTGAGAGAGACGGCGCGGCTTTAATACCAACAAGTACAGGTGACCCTGAGAGAGACGGCGGGGCTTTAATACCAACAAGTACAGGTGACCCTGAGAGAGACGGCGCGGCTTTAATACCAACAGGTACAGGTGACCCTGAGAGAGACGGCGCGGCTTTAATACCAACAGGTACAGGTGACCCTGAGAGAGACGGCGCGGCTTTAATACCAACAGGTACAGGTGACCCTGAGAGAGACGGCGCGGCTTTAATACCAACAGGTACAGGTGACCCTGAGAGAGACGGCGCGGCTTTAATACCAACAGGTACAGGTGACCCTGAGAGAGACGGCGCGGCTTTAATACCAACAGGTACAGGTGACCCTGAGAGAGACGGCGCGGCTTTAATACCAACAGGTACAGGTGACCCTGAGAGAGACGGCGCGGCTTTAATACCAACAAGTACAGGTGACCCTGAGAGAGACGGAGCGGCTTTAATACCAACAAGTACAGGTGACCCTGAGAGAGACGGCGCGGCTTTAATACCAACAGGTACAGGTGACCCTGAGAGAGACGGCGCGGCTTTAATACCAACAAGTACAGGTGACCCTGAGAGAGACGGAGCGGCTTTAATACCAACAAGTACAGGTGACCCTGAGAGAGACGGCGGGGCTTTAATACCAACAAGTACAGGTGACCCTGAGAGAGACGGCGCGGCTTTAATACCAACAAGTACAGGTGACCCTGAGAGAGACGGCGGGGCTTTAATACCAACAGGTACAGGTGACCCTGAGAGAGACGGCGCGGCTTTAATACCAACAAGTACAGGTGACCCTGAGAGAGACGGCGGGGCTTTAATACCAACAGGTACAGGTGACCCTGAGAGAGACGGCGCGGCTTTAATACCAACAGGTACAGGTGACCCTGAGAGAGACGGCGCGGCTTTAATACCAACAGGTACAGGTGACCCTGAGAGAGACGGCGCGGCTTTAATACCAACAGGTACAGGTGACCCTGAGACAGACGGAGCGGCTTTAATACCAACAGGTACAGGTGACCCTGAGAGAGACGGCGGGGCTTTAATACCAACAGGTACAGGTGACCCTGAGACAGACGGCGCGGCTTTAATACCAACAGGTACAGGTGACCCTGAGAGAGACGGCGGGGCTTTAACGAGTGCAAAGATAATAAAACAAATAAAAACAAAAGACCTGCTAAAAATCAAGAAAACACTAAAATACATGTTAAAAGTAAATATAAAATATAAATAAAATAAAATACAACTAAAACAAGAGTAAAACAAAAAGTACATTTTAAGAAAGGACTTGAAAGAGTTCACTGACTCGGCTAATTTATGCAGAGCAACAGGGGGCTGCTGGGAGAAAAGAAAGACAGGAAGCTGAAGTACTTTACTGTGAACAAGTTAGCATAGCCCTGATCAAACCAAACTCCATTCAGAAAACAACGGTTTTAAAAGTTGTTATCTTCTCATCTTGCTAACAGACCTGACAAAGCATGAATTCAGATGATTAACAAATCAGCATCATGTTGTCCATATTTCAGGGCAGTATTAGTCACAGCTAAATCTTTATTTTGGGTTCATACAACTGTGGAAATGGCAGGTTGTGTTTATTCACGTTGTCGCGTTATGAGTGAACGCTGCGTCTAGTCCAGCGGTCAAACTCACGTGATAAACACGATGCAAATTTACCTTGTGTTTGATCATGGTACTGAAGTGGTTGTTTCTGAAGAACACGGAGATCTCTCCCTCTTTGGCCGTCGTGTTGAGTTCACACAGGCCGTGATACGACAGCTGGGTCGCCGTCGACTCCAGGAACTGCTCCGCCACCAGACCTGGAGGGAACAAAGGGAGGCTGATTCACTGCCGGTGTGGGAAAACGCTGTGAATTAAGAATACTTAATGCAACGCAACGTGAGTGAACAGAAGAAACATCTAAATCAATATTTGGTGCCTACAGGTGTGTGTTACCTTCACTGACTCGGCTGCTTTCAGCAGAATGTTTGTAGTCGATGATTTTCTCCACCAGCTGGTTGTAACTCAGTTTCCCCACAGCAGCCACCATCTCTGGACTCTGAACACACAGACACATAAATGAGAGGAAGACTGAAACATCCCAAAATAAAAAACCTACTCACTGTCTGATAATAAATCATTGATAATTAATAAATTACTTAATACATTTTTACTCTGATTTCCTTCCTTCCAGGCAGCTGTCAGCAGCAGGTTGCTCTTTCAGCAGACAGATCATCAATCACAGTAAACATCAGTTTGTTGTTGTGTTGCCTAGACTCTCAGACTTAAGTACAGTTTAACACAACGCTAACTCGTGCACATTTAAAGGAGACCTATTAAACTGCTTTTGCAGTCCTATATTGTAGCTCTGTGGCTCCTGTACGGCAGCTTTGCATGATTCAATGCTCAAAAAAATAATTTTCTGTCTTATCCTGGTTCTTCATGCAGGCCTTCATTTCAGCCTCTGTCTGAAACAAGCTGTAGATGCTCCTGTCTCTTTAAGGCCCCCCCACTGTCTTCTGATTGGCCAAGCCCTGAAGCACGTTACCAGGCTGCTGTTGTCGCTGGGCGGAACAGGCAGACTGAGTGTTGCCGTGCCGTCAGTGTGGGAGCACATGACCGTATATGGAACGGCGGCTCCGTCTGGCTCCTGGGCGAGTTCGCCAAGCTTCTGTTGTTTAAAGCTCGGACTTCTGTTGTTTAAAGCTCGGACTTGGCAAGTTCGGTTCGGGAGTACAAACTCCCAGGAACGGGAGCTCGCAGTCCGTCATTCAGCAATTGGAACTGCAGCGGACTTGATGACGGCCGGACCCGTTAGCGGGCGGGACCTCACATCTCCGACAACGTCATAGCAATTTTTTAAATCAGCTCCGTCTTGAGAAATCAGCTATAAAAATGATATTCCCGCATAAAAAACTCTTAAAACTACTATATGTGACGCAAGAACTGCAGTATTATAAGTTACAGTTGTGAGTTTTCTCCTCTGACATTTCCACTTTTTGGCAGCGAAATGCATTCTGGGATTTCTGGCTATCCGAAGTCCAAACAAGTCACCACCGATGCAGGCTCGGATAAAGGGGCGGAGCGAGAACAGATCCGGGTGTTTGACTGTACTGGATGCGGACTTTTGAACTGGAACGGTACTTTGGCTGCGACTGATGACGTTTCACAAGAACACAGATTGAGAAACAGCCGTTGAACACAGAGCGTTCAGAACAGAACATGAGGTTTTTGCTCACAGGGATTTCTTTTAAATACTTTAACCTCATTATTTGATTCTTTGTCCATGTTTAACATGAACATCCAACATTATAACATTATAGATGAGGTGATTTTCTACTTAGTCCCCAACAATTGTCCTCTTGTTTGTTTAGGAAAACTACAGCAAGCAGCTGTTTTAGCAAATTACCATAAACTATAGGTTTGTGAGTTATTCTTTAAATATCTAGGTCTTCAGTAGGAGCCAATGGGCTTGGAGCAGACGGCCACAGACAGGAAGTCAGGCGGTTTTCAGACATGTGGTTTGGGTCTCTGCATGAGAATTATTGGAGATAAAATGTTAAATAATAATAAAGTTTTCATGTTGCCGTCCCAAGTACAGCAGCCACAGGTTCTTCCTCCTGCTCCCTCCAGTCTCTGAGGTCCTGGTCCTGATTCTGGACCAACGAAAGGGGGATAGGTGTTAACCCAGGTTGACTATTGAATTGAATCTGTCCTCAGTATTAATACACGCCGCTTCATAAAATACCTTCAGATTCCATCCTGACTTGTTCCACTGCGGCTGAAATGAAGTTATTCTGAACACATCAGCATCACGGTCACACAGCGAGCTGGGGTTTTATGGAGGAGATCTAATTAAATAACGGGACGGTTTCTGAGATGGAGCCCATCTGTAGGCTGTAATTGAACTGTCCTGAGTGTTTTCACATATTTAGATTGACTATTTTGCGTGTCCAAAAAACCCGGAGCCAGGGTGGGAGTTAATAAACCCTGAAAAAACAATCCTTGATGAAAGTGGCAAATTGACAAGAACAAAAATCAGAAATTTCCTGAAATTAAAGTAAAAAATCTAAATGACTCTGGTGTTTTCTTCTGAATACGCCCGATTCACGGTAAAGTCTCTGAGGTGCATGATAACAGAGTTGTGGGCTAAACTCCTGATATTTCCTCACTGCTAAATCCGACAGTCTAATATAATTTCCCGCTGCATGCATAACACACGGCGGACGTGTGGTTGTGATGTTGCAGCCCTGCAAAGTGAAGCCATGAGGTTCCTTGAAAAGAAAAGAAAAAGTACAAATGCACACTATTTTTCAGAGCGTTTCTCTCATATATGTATAAATAAGATGTCAGAATATATTCAAGTTTTTAACATGTAGATTTGTGATTATTAGTTTCTCGTAAATCTACCACATTAATCTTTGAAATTGTTCCCCCTCCCCTCAGGCTCCAACTGTCTCTATCACAACAGACCTTATGTGCTGTTTTATCTTTACATCTTAAATCATATTACACATAAAGAGTCCAGATGACACTAAATACTACAGAGAATTACAGATTTAGTCCATGTGATGCCAACAAGCCTCCCTGGCTTCACCGGCCGCTGCGATATTAGATTTAGCCGCTAACGTGTCTTTAAACTCACGTCCTGACAAACTATCAACCTGCATTCTTCTGGAGAAACACGCCGCTTTTATGCGAACGCGCACCAACTTCACACCGACTCGACTAACCGACATCTGATCCACCGTCGTAGTTTAACTCCGCTGTAGCGGTCAGAGTTTGTTCACCCTGAGTTCACTCTGAGCAGGTTCAACTCCCTTCGTAGAGCAGGCCCCCCCCCAGCAAGCCTGGATCCAAAACGCTGCTGCAGAGCTTCAGGTCCTCCAAAAGGTCTCCCGTGACACAGATCTCGATTCCTCTTCATCAAAGGACCTTTGTTCTTTTGTGACGGCGTGCTTTATCAATAAAGTTACTCACTGAGGTCACACACACACACACACACACACACGGTGTACCTGCGGGTCGACCAGCCAGCCGTGGTACAGCGGGATGTCCAGCAGGTCGAACACGATACACTCGGGTGTGTATTCGAAGTCCGTCACTCCGGTGAAACGAACGTTCACATCCAGACCTGTGGACAGCTTCGGGAGCACCGCCATGGCGTCGCTCATGTTCTGACACACACACAGGTTATTTGTTGCTTCACAGGTAAAACAGTCTTGAACTTTATTTTGAAAGTGTGTTTTCCTGTGTGTGTACCTGCTGGAAGTTGAGCTCCATCCCATCAGCCTTCTCTCTGGGCGTGACAGACAACACACACTCTCCTGCAAACACACACACATTAACATCTGAGCGGACGCTGTTTTCTCAATGTGTTGCAGTGAAAACTTAAAGCCGGTCATCACTAATCTACGCTTCCTGCAGAGCCTGCACAGTGACCCCTTTACTGACAGTAGAAGAAGAAGCAGTAACCAATCTGTGTTCTTGCGAAACGTCCCAATCAGGGACGGACATCGCTACTCGGTACCTTTTACGGTATCGACCAAAACCGCTCGGTATCGAGTAGAATCGAAACGTCTCCAGTCAAACCAGAACTTCAATCGATACTTTTTGTAACCAGATCACGGAAAATAATCACTACTTGTATAGTTTTGCGCGCAGCGTGCAGCCTGCCCCACAGTAACCACTTGTCTTTAATACGGTGTGTCCTTTTTGTGCTTCTACATTCTTCACAGCTCTCTGTGCATCATTTCCCGTCTTGACGGCATTTCAGAATAAGAGCGTTTTACCTGCCGGACTTTGCCGACATGTTTAGATCTTGTTGATTTGGTGATTAGTGCTGGCTTTTTGTGCTTCTACCGTGATTAAGTAGCTACGTAGTTAATTCTTTTCTTTTTTGTCTGATTTAACTGTGTTTATTGTTGATAAACGTGACTTCCTGCCCGGTTCACCTGCTCTGCGCTGCTTGACGCTGGGACGCTTCCTGGACGCACTGCAGCTCTTCTGGTCCGAGCAGAAACATTTAGTAGAGCGGCTGCGATCAGCTCCGGCAGCAGCGACGCAGACGGACTCAGTGGACTTTTGGAGCGAGTCCGGGGTCATGTGAACTTGGTTTAAATGACTTTGTAGCAGGTGAGAGTCTAGCCCCGCCCCCGCGTGTCACCGAGCGATCAGCGATCAGCTGCTTTTCCTGACGGAGCCTGCGGCTGCTTCAGCTGTAGCTGGTTTGGCCGGACCTGCAGCCTCTCTTTCCTCTGTCTGTATCTTCAGTGTAGTGACTTGTTTAAACAAACCGCTTTCTCGTTTTATTCTTGTGACGGTCGTCTTTTCGGAGGTTTGCGACTCACCACTAAAGGAAAAAGAGATCTTTCAGTTCAGTTTATTGATCCAAGAAAAATAAAATAGATCACTTTGCTTGTCCACAGCAACAATAAAAATAATAATAAGCTACCAACCAACTTTAAACAGGCGGCATTTTATGCAAGGTATCGAAACAAGTACTCTATTTGTTTCGGTATCACTTTCAGGGTCCTGGTCTTGGTTCTGGTGTCTTAAAATTTTAAACGAGTCCCAAAGTTTGCATTTTGGCAAGAACGATTAAAATAATTCCTGGAAGTTTTCTTGACACGCCCATTTTACCCAGGACGCATCGGTTGGTAACTTGTGTAAAGTTGATGATATCCCAGCATTCATGTCGGCATTCAAGCGAGAGGCGGAAAGAAGCTGAAAGAGAGACCGGCGACAGAACGTTTCTTACCATTTTCCTACATTATTTCATCACTAAATCCACTACTGAGAAGTTTTGAGGTGAGAAATCAGCTGTGTAGATGTCGACTGGCAGCAGGGGGCGACCACCGCAGAGACCCACAGCTGTAAGATCGTTTTAACGTTCATACCGCAGTGATTCTGTCATTCTGAGTCATGTTGTAAGGTTTTAACGTAACCTCTTAGCATTCAGGCCAAACGCCTCTTCAGGCAGATCCACAGTAAACTGAATCTAGTTCTTGACCCATCTGGAGCATCTTTCTGGTTTTGGGCTACTGGAACTGATTAATATCAGTCTAAACTAGATTGAAAATGAGAAGAACAAGTTTAAACTTCACACCAACACCATGAAAAATGACTCAGCGTGTTTTTTCTAAATCAGCCCCGCCCCCTGGCGGCAGGCGGGCGGCGGCTGCTGCGTCGCTCCGTATCAGCAGGCAGCTCCACGCAGACGTGCGTTTCTGCTGGTAGATCATGAACTTCCTCCTTAAAGCTGGATGTCGTTATTTGCAGAATCTTATTGGCTACAGGAAGCGCCAGTCGTCGGCTCTATTGGCTCGGCCTACCAGGGAAATATCGGGGGCCGGCCCTTCCTCGCAGCGCCGGCTCTAATTGGCCGCTGTAGGCTGTGAAAGGGACACGTGAGCTCCTATTGGCTCGGATCAGCCGTCAGCGGAAAGGTCAGAGTTCAGCCGCTAATCTGAATACAAGCTGTCGTAGCTGTTTACATTCAGATCAGAGTTATTCCGGTTATAAAGACAAACGAGCCGCGTCTGCCGGTGAATCTGAAGCGGTGCGGCAGCCGTCCCTGAGGATTTACTGATGGAATCGTGTGTTTTGGACTAAATGTTTTACTGGACTGGATCGTCTGGACCTTTGACAACGTTTCTGTTGGAATATAATCGCTGGCTGGATTAAGTTACTGTGAGGCTTCACAGGGGAGTCGCCTCACTTTTGATTGGACCCGCTGTGGTGACCGAATCTTGAAATGGTTTGCGTTGGTCGAGTCACGAGGATTTACTTTCAGACGGTGGATCGTATGAGCATGAAGTTAAAACAGCAGCTGTGTGCACAGACTGAGAGCTGCAGGCCGCTGGGGGAGGTTAAATCAAGAGACATCTGGATGATGTCTTGTGAAACTTCAGAAATACTACGAAAGGGGACTGTATTTGCTTTATAACACCCTGCGCCTCCTCTCAGATAAACTCGTTCAGGTAAACTCAGAGTGTGATCTTACCCAGGTGAGCCATCAGGTCCTCGGTGGTGACGACTTCAGTCTGAGCCGGAAGTTTGGCCTGAAAACACAAAGAGTTACTACAAAGTACTAACATCAACGCATACTTCCAAAAGTAAAAGTACTTCCGGAGCCTTCAGCGTCACAGCCCCCCCCCTCTGGATCTCATCCCCACAGAGATCCGAAATGTCTGGACATAAATTAGGGATGCAAACATTAGTCATAGTCATTTAAGTTAATTACGAGATGTTTCTTTTGCATTTTAATGCTCAAATTAAATGCTTAGTAATTATCCAGAGATCCTGTATGCAGGGTACACACAGGGAGCAAAATTCACCTTTTCAACATATTTTAAGACTGCGGCGCCACTTTGAGCTGTAACCCATTAAATCAGCCGAACACCTTTAAAAGGGACATTTTTTAGTTTTTAAAAGGAATGTAAATATATTTATAACATATTTATTGCCTATATGTCATCAGGTTGTAACGCCACCTAAAGATTGAGGCATTCACAATTTTCTCTGGTTCTGTACGGGCAGTTTTCTATATACAGTTCTCTATGTGAAGGTCAGATTTCCTGTGAAAAGCAGCTGTCTTACATAAACTATGACGTGTACGTACGCAACATTACAGCAAATCACGTGAACCACAGTGTGATTTTGTGTTTTAGTTGGTTTAAACTAGATAACAACACGACGAGCAGAGAGCTGTCTGTGGGAGAAAAGAAGGAAAATGGACCAGAGCCGTTGGACAAACATTGAGCACAACAATGTGGAACGAAAAAGAAAGAAACTTCTGGTGTGCTGAGCAACAGACGTCCAACAGGTCGGCCGAGGAAAACAACAGCAGCTGATGACAGAAATATGGTGAGAAGGACACTCTGTCGGAAACTAGCAGTGAAACTCGCGCCGCGCTTTGCGCCGGCTGCATGAGCGGCGCCGTGTGTTTTTACCTTCCAGCGGAGAAAGAGCGTGTTCATGATGGCCAGCAGGGGGCAGGGTCCGTTCTCACTCTGAGTGATGATGGGCGTCTTCTTCTCCTTCCAGGTGATCCACTTCACCAGGTAATACGCCGGCATGGACGGCCCGGCCTCCGAAACAGCGGCGGGAGCAGCAGGAGCAGCAGGAGGAGGAGCAGCAGCGCCACCTGTGGACAAGAGGACAGTCACACAGAGATACAGGAAGTATCCTTTACTGCAGTGAAAGTACTAATACCACACAGTAAAAACACTCTGTTACTGAAGTATACATCAGGAAAATGTATCTTTCTTACTAATAACACCAGTGATGAGCTCAGAAAACCACACCAGTAAAGAGGAACACTGAGAGAATAACGTGATCTTGGTCACTCGATCGACGTCCGAGTGTCCCTGAATGCAACACGGACGTTTTTAAAATTGTGGGGTTTTCTTTTTTTGTGACATAACAAATGTGTTTTACTGAGCGCAAATGAAACCTGCTTTGACTGCAGGATTGTTTTGAGGATCTCAACATATTTTCCAGCCCAAAATAATGAGACGTTATTTTTATAATCCCAGGAAAAGAAAACAACAAACAGCAGGTCGTTAACCGCACGTCCTCGCGTCTTCAGAAGCACCTCGATCAGCCAGACTCAGTTTTTCTTTCTCCTTGCTGTAATTTTCTCATTTAATCACCCTGACTCTGTGATTCAGCTCTGTGGAAACACTCCGCCCTGCTCGCCACCGTCTGCTCCTCTTGCTTCAGACCAATCAGGTACGAGCCTGAACACGTTAGGAGAAATGAGTCAGCGGTGCTCGTAAAGACGAGTCACGGCTGAATTACAGTAAATACAACTCTGGAGCTTTGTTAAACAGATCGTCTCAGACGGGACTCCAGGTTTTGGAGTTTGAGCTGCTGTTTTGTTTTGTCACAATTTACTCAGCGTTTCCCACACAGTGATTTATCAATGCCGACCAGTATGGTCTCCTGACCCCGGGCACCAAAGTTGACTCCAATATGCCCATAGGTGGCGCCATTATTGCAGATCAAAGACATACAAAAAGAAAAAATCCCATTGACTTACATGCATTTTATATCTCCACAGCCACAAGTCCGACTGACACCAAATTTGCCAATTGAATGGCATTTTGAACCAAAGGACATTTTGCCTCATAACTAAGCGCCACTACATCGCACATTCATAAACTTACTTTTAGAAACTGCTGATTCGGATGGTATAAGACACGCCTCTTTTTCTTTTCACTAAATCGCAAAGACTGAACAACCTATTTTAATTAAACTCCTCCCAAACCACAAGTCCGATCGGCACCAAACGTGGCACGGACCATCTCTGGACCAAGCTGATAAAAATCAGAGCTCCCCGGATTGATCCGCAAAAAACTGTTCGATTTATAAGCTAACAAATGTTTACGCCGAACGCTAAAAACAGGAAGTGATGCTGCATCCTAGCTCAGGGATGGCCGATGTACACCAAACTTGGGGAACTTATGTGGCAAACCCTCCCGAGGGCCTGTATGAAATACGGCCTCTAGGTGGCGCTGTTAATCGTATATCAAATAACACTCCCATAGACATTCATTCATTTTATATCTCCGTAACCGCAAGTCCCTTTTATTTCAAACTCTGGTCGTTTATTCACCGCGGGCCCCAGAAGCCACGGCAGGGTGCTCGGACCCCGTTTACAACTGCTTGCAGTTCTAATATTAGCTTGTTGTTGTAGATGAAATATATATTTGGTAGTCCTATGTTTAATAATCCTTTTGACACCACATTATTTAGCTTGACTGCAGCCTTTAAGCTTCTTTCTGCCTCAAAATGACTTGATTTCATTCATGTGGGTTATATTTGACATGTGGGTTATATATTTCACCCCCTGCTTAACAGATGACGGCAGCATTTCTATCCTCCTATCTTAAATTATCCATCTCAGGTCAGTTCAGTTATTTGACACAAAGTGTTACATTTATTCATTTATCTGACCATTGCTATTTATGTCAGAGGTCGCACGCCTCTGGAGCAACGAGGGGTTAAGTGTCTTGCTCAGGGACGCAGTGGGGGATTGAACCCGGGTTTTTCACACCAAAGACATGCGTCTTATCCACTGCGCCATCGCCACCCTCGTGTTAGAAAAGGAGCTGTGTATATGTACGTATCAATTAAACTAATGGACATATCATTTCCAGTGGAAAGACCGTTACTGTTAACTGAATGTTTTGAAAGACGTCACCTTGGACTCAGACGTTGTTTGTTTAATCACAGAAATAATCTGCAGATTAAGAGAGAAATGAAAATAAACAGCAGCTGCAGACTGAATCACAACAGCAGGAAACACAAAGTGGATCAGAGTTCATCACGACGAGTTACAGTTCATATGAACGACACTTCACTCCTTTAATCTAACACTGCAGTCTCTCATACTGCTCACAGTACTTTAACGCAACTCTTTAATAATGTACATATTCATACTCGGCATACGTACCCAACGCAGCGCATTCCTGACATTTATTCAGCGACTCTATATGTTTTTAATATACTCACATGTGCTGTATAATATCTGGACCCCACTGCACATCCTATGGCTGGCTTGGCTTATTATTTTTTTATTAAGATGTTTATTGTGTTGAGAAAAAAGGACTGAAAAAAGATTTTACTTAATTTTCCTCGTGCATATTTGTTGACAAAGATTGTAAGTCGCTTTGGATAAAAGCTTCAGCTAAATGAATAAATGTAAATATTGTTTTGAATGTTCTGCCTCAGATTTGTGAAGAGTTTGACCATAAAGACGAGTTTAAAGCACAATTAACCATCAGGTTTCTTCAACTTTTACTCGGGAGCAGAAATCAGCCTTTAAAAATAATGATTTGATATTTATGGTGATAATTATCAAAAGATATGAAACTTTTTATCGTGATAACATTTTTGGCCCTAAGCTCACGAGGATATAAAACTTCGAAAGTACTCCAGAAGTTGCTGCACAGCTGATTAGAATTAATCGATCGGCTTATTGATTAATCGAGTATTCTAGTATTTCAGCTCCACAAACTGTCCGTGCAGGTGAAAAACAAACGGTTCTGTTTCTGCTCTGAGTGTCTTTAAGGTCCAAGAACTATAAACATGCAGAACATCAGTCCTTCTGTCTTTAAAACCAACAAATACAAACATTTAGAAAAACACAAGTTCGGTTTAAATGTTGCTGTCAGAGAGATTCAATAGTTAAATAAAGTGTCTGCTGATTCTTCACTAGGGCTGAAACGAATAACTCGTTGCTTAAGCTTGATTTATACTCCTTTGTAGGGTCTCCAGGCGTAGCTACCCCGCAGGTTACGCCCGTAGCTACGCCATTTATACTTGTGCGTCGGTGTCCCCGTCATTCTGCGACTACGCCCCCAAACGCTAGTCGGCAGCAGCGCTACAGCGTCCACTGTGTTGACTTTTGCCGGCCGAGCAGGCTAACTTCCAGTTTAGCGCTCCGCTAACGTGAATGAGGGGTAAAACTGTAAACGTGCGGCTGGTGTAGCCTTTTCAAATGTTACAGAGCGAATGGATCACCGTCTGATAGCGAAACGAGTCATTTCACTCGGGTTGTGGCGGTCAAATATATCGATCCACCGTGTTACAGCCGCCGTTTTGGCTGCTAGTAAAAGTTAAAGTAAAAGGTGTCGCCTCGATGTGTGGTTACATTTTTGAGGAGGTGCACGTCAGGCGACGGCAGAAGTATAAACTGCACTTTAGTTTAAACCTGATAACTACAAACAGCGCACTGTTGCACACGGATGATTATTACTGTCGCACAAAGCGCCCAAGCTGCGGACACGTGAGGACGATGTGATCTGACGGTGAGGACAACAAAGTGGAGGAGGACACAGGAAGTGTCCAAAGTCCGGGATCATTTGGAGCCAACAGGAAACAGCAGCGCTGTAAAACAGAACTGCTGTTCTCCGACTGGTCAGTCTGTGAGTTTGGGATGTAACGCTACACTGCTGATCCCGGTACCGGGGGCGCCGAGCATCCGATAACTCGATGAATCGCTGGAATAATCTGTAGAACACTCGATTACTAAAATAATCTTTAGCTGCAGCCCCAGTCTGCACCATCGAGGACAAATATCAGGTACTTGTACTTCCTTGAGTACCTCTGTTTTATGTAACTTTATACTTTTACTGCACTGCATGTGTCTGACAGTGAAAACCCCGTATCTCCAGGTGGTACTGACAACCTGCAGGAGGAAGAGTTCCTCCTCCTCCTCCTCCTCCTCCTCCTCCTGCAGATGAATAAACTCTTTAAACCTCCTCGGATCAGCTGGAACAGGCTGTTCTTCTGACTGTTGGAGATACGAGGTTCTCACAGGACACACGGTGATCTTATAGACCATGATGCATTGCTGCAGATTAAACTACCCAACAGGACATAAAGAACATCAGGTGGAGAACATTTTACTGCAGCGTGAGTACTTGTACTGTGACAATACACACTTTTACTTCAGATACTTTGAACTGTGACCACGTCTGCTGTGAGGTGCGAGGACGTCTCACCGGCAGCTTCCAGCGTCTCCTCGTCCTTCAGACTCGGGACCTCGGTGGACGGCGAGCAGCCCTCCGCGCCCAGAGCGGAGTAGGACGAGGAGAGGCCGTCGTCCACGTCCAGGGAGGTTCCCGCGGCCGTGACCCCGTCTGACAGCTCCAGGCTCGGGATGGAGAAGGACGCGGAGTCCGTGGACTCCCGCTGGTCGTCCGAGCCGCCCGCCGTCGCCACAGAGGAGCTCTCCTCCAGGTCCAGATCTGCAGACACATCAGAGGTCAGAGAGTCCTGCAGACACTAAACACCAGTAACACCCGCCTCCAACAAGTGAATCACACTTTGGCCCGCAGCCAATCACATCCCAGAACAACGGCTGACTGAAGGCGTGTGCACAAAGCTGCAGAGCGTGAACTTCCTGAATGTTAACCAGCCGGAACCAGTGACACAGCAGCGACAGGAGCTTCAGTTACTAAACCATCTGCAGTTATTTGGTCCTGGTCTAACGTTCACTGTAACAGCAGCAGGACTCCATGTCCCAGCACAGAGCGAGAGAGGCGTTCTGTCCACAGCTGGAAGTAGCTGCTGCCATTATTGTGTCACAGTGTAAGACGCAGAGGACACGGTCGTCTGCTGTAAACTCTGTGCGAGCAGCAAAAAGCTTTCTGCATCTGATTTAATGAAGCGTCTGCAGAAGCGGCGACGTGAAACGTAGAGAAAGAAACTCACTGATGCTCGTCGGGAGAGAGCGGCGTTAACGTTTTCTAACTGCTCTTATAATAAACAGGCTACATGTGCAGAAAAACAGCTGTTTAAAAGTCCAGATTTACTGGCTTTATTTTTTCTTTTCAGCTGGCGGCGTTAAGAAACGTTAAGAACAATAAGATATTAGTTAAAGTAGTGAAGCAGTGTTTCCCATAATTAGTCTATAACTTGGATAATTATCAACGCTGACAGTCGCGTGTTGATTTGTTGATTTTTTTACTAGGCGCATTTAAAATAGTTCTGGACGAACTCCAGAAGTTAACTTTTCCTTTAAAAAGTTAGTCTCGCCTCAAACGGTGTCGCTTGTCGTTTGAAGTGAGATTCACTTTGTTGATCCTGGACCTGGTCTGGCCTCTTACCTGGTTCTCCTCCTCTGCCCTGTCCCCCTTCAGTCTTGATGTGTCTTAACAGAGCGGACAGAGTGTCTTCTTCTATGGTGACGGTGGTTACCGTCCCGTTTTCAGACGACAGCGACGACTCCGGGGGCGTGGCCTCCTCCTTCAGGACTTCGACAGGAAGAGGACTGCCGGCGTCTCCGTTGCTTCTCGCGGCCTCGGCTCCGACGTCCAACTCCGGCCCCTCCGGCGCCGCGGTTAGGATCAGTTCTTTGGAGATGCTTTCTGCGGGAAGAGACGGTTCCTCTTTGTGGCGTTCGATCAGCAGATCTGCAGCCGGCTGCGAGCTGGACTCCGCCATGGCCGACAGATGGATCAGTCGACGCTGAAGAGACAAGGCCCGGCGGCTTCTCAGAACAAACACTTAGTCCTTATTTACACAAACAACACGTGAAAATAAATCAGCGAACTGAGGAAACGCTGGTTCAGGATGGAGTTGTGGCGGCGGCGGTGGCAGGAAGCAGCTGAGGCCCCAACATGGCCGCCAGGGGAACCTCAATGATCTCTCGTCTTTTCAGCACAGGTTTCAGGTTTCAGGTTCAACAAATCAAACGCACCTTTCTATCTGACACTGAACATGGTGTATAGTTTCAGCCCCTCAACATGACGCGAATACAAACTGAAAAAAGATTCTTCTTCTTCTTCTTCTGCGGACAGGAAGTCGTAACCACCTGTCAGATAAAGTCTTCGCTGGAGCGACAGGGACGGAGGACTTTGTCTTCTCTCATCAGACTTCCTGTCAGACCTGAGGACACAGAAACAAGACGTCTGTCAGAGGACACCTGAGATTAACCAGTTCAAGCTGTTAAAGTTTCCTGATTTTAGAACCTCTAGTCCAGAAACACTACATTTCCCACAATGCACCCATTACCGGCTCGCCTCTTCTAGATCTCCTACTTTATTGATGCTTGTATGTTGTTCCTCAAATGCAAGTTGCTTTGGATAAAAGCTGAGCAGGAAAGCTTGTTTCTTTTGGCTCTTAATTAGCCACATGCATCACTGCCTACATTTAAAACTAAATATCTTCGGGACCAGAACACAACCTGACAGAAAGTCAAACTAAACCACCTGAGGTACAGACCCGGCTCTACCACCTCTAGAACAATTCATACTCTTCAGTCACGTGACATGCGGCTCACACCGGACTCCCCCGCAAAAGCCGTAAAATTTCACGTGGGTCACTTCTTTGCCCTCCAAGGGAGCGTTTTCATTGGAGTGTGACGGAACATGAAAACTAGGAATAACCAGGACTGGGCATCGGGAACAGGCGCCCGTTAAAAAGACCCGGGTCGGCACAGTGCAACACCTGTGACACACTAATCTCTACAGGAGGAAGCACGACGAATGTTAACATCTTACGCCTGCCTGGAGTGTGCTGATTTTTAGATGCATCGCGATGCCGATTCTGAACAGATAAAAACGATTCTCTAGAGGTTAACGTGATGCTGACAGAATGAAAAGGGCGGATCTCTGAAATGAGGAAGTGAAGCTCCGTTTAAAACCTCTGATTACTAAAAAGGAAGAAGAAGAAGAACTATTAATTAAGGCTGGGCAACAAAACAATAATGATAATTATCGCAATCTAATTTTCTTCAATAACAACATAACAAACGGTCAATATATCGTCAATAAATTTTTGATTTAATTCATCTGAATCACTTAATTTTTCTACTGAATTATTTATTTTGTTGAGGAAATGGAGCTGAAAAAAGATTTATTAATCCCATTTGTTGAAAATAGATTTTATCAGAATCATTTTGAATGTTCTTCTGTTTGTCACGTTCTGACCGTAAAGACAAGTTTAACGACGCAATTAACCATCTGATCTCTTCCACTTTTCACCTAGAAGCAAAAATCTGAAATAATGATTTCACATTTATCGCGATAATAACTGATATCGAACGGAGCCTTTTCAAAAAAGGTTTTCGCTCGCTTGAGGTGACGCTCGTTCGTGCTGAGAAAAGAGGAGGATGCAGATCTGGGCAGGAAGCCTTCATCAGCTGAATGATGCGTTCACCTCTTAAAGGTCCTTCTCAGATCCTTCGCTCTGCACGCTGATCAAACGGGGTTATCACCGCGTATTTCTGCTGAATCTCAATGAACGCTGCTTCTACTGAGTGTAATAAAATATTAACGACTCTAAACGTTAATAGAATAAATACTTCGAATCATTTATCACCATTGATGAACCCCACAAAGGACATTATAGCGTTTAAAAGCATCATCTGGAGGTGCGTGCAGAACTCTGCAGAACACCGGAGACATGGCTGGTAGCTTGAAACACGTTCCTGAGGACCCCTCTCAGATCAGGGGCCCTCAGGTTCATGTGACTGGTTTTGTTTCTGGTTTGGAACCCAGACGTCTTGTTTATTACAGCTACGTGTAACGTCAACTACAGACGTAACGACGCTCACCATAGCCTGGTTTATTCGCTCCAAACCAGCTGATGGAAACGCACAGATTTCGCATACTCTTTTTTTTCTTCCTTCTTTTTTGCAACATTTCAAATGTATGTTTATAATTCGCATGACAGCTGGATGGAAACTTGGCTACTATCAACAAGCCCTTTTACATTTGTAACTAGAGTACCTACAGTAATAAATGCCCCCCCCCCAAAAAAAAATGTACTAGTAAGAATGAAAATGTCACTTGGATGTTTTGGAATAGTCACTAGTACTAATAAACTAATAAACACTAGTCTCTAAATAATAAATACTAGTAAAATAGAAATAGTTACTAGTAACTAATTAATAGGTGGTATCTGACCTGCATAGATTTTAATGACAAAAATGTGCAATTAGTTGTTTTACTAGTAAAAACGTATTCGTCGCTTTTTGATCTTTTCGAGTTAAGGAATAAATGTTATTTTACAGTTGTAAGACTGCTGCCGTCAGGTGACCTCGCCACACCTTTAACTGAAGTCACGCCACAGCTGGAGGGATCCACGTTCACTTTTTACGGTATTTCTGTGAGAAAATATCTGCTGACTCCAGCTATGTGAGCCAGAGTTCACCAGACTGAGAAGTGTGTCAGCAAACAGCTCAGAGAGTCATGAGTCAGCCGAACAAGTCCGATAAGAAACCGCAGGAGGAGCTGGACGCGGAGCCACTCTCGGTACAGATGTTTCAAGGGAAAACCTGGTCCCGTAGCTGTACTTCTTCCTGCTGACATCGAGCCTGGACCCTGACGGATCAGCATTAAGCAGCTTTCTGCCGCGGCACAACAACTCCCTGAGCTAGCAAGCACGACGCTAGCGCTCCCAGCTAACTTAGCCAAGTTAGCTCCACAAACACACAACCCCGCTGGCGGACACACGTCACTGACCTCCTCACTCACACCAGAACCAACGGCGGGTTTAATGAGATGCGGCTTACCGACTCCGGGTCCGGGTCTGTGATCTGCACTGACGCTGCTCAGTGAAGGAGCATGCTAGCTGTTTACGTTCCTCTCCGCCACCAACAGCAGAGTCACAGGCCACGCCCACACCAAGCACGGAGCTGACGTCACATCCTGTTAACTTTAAAACCCTGGTTTAGCAGTTAGCCATCTAGCTGGCGTACACGTTTTTGTTGGAGAAAAAAATACGTATTTTATAAGATAAAATAGAGACTTATCCTCTGGTGGTGCATCACAGAAGTGTAACACGAACAAACAAAGTATAAAACCGGAGCTGACAGTTAACGGAGACGTTCGTGTCTACGTTTGCTCGGCTAAAGAGTTAGCTGACACATAGCTAGCCTCACTGTGTTTGGTAATAAACACGCGAAACTCCATTTCAAATATCGCATTTTAAAAATAGTTCGTTTTCCAGCGTAATTAAACAAATCCAAGAGCCTTACTTTTGATATTGTCCTCGTTTTGTGACACTGATAAATTCGGCGTAAATGTGATATCCAGACAATACCTTATTTAAATTATTCCCTACTTTTTTGCACGTTTAGTCAGTTCATTCGTTGGTCTTGCCGTGCCAAGTTGTTATTAAAGGAATATTTAACAGGTAGACGAGTTATTTTTGTCAAATAACTAGCCGAATAGAAATATGACACCAAAGGTTTAAGAAAATAAAGTAATTCAAGCCATTATTTCTTCGAGCATACGCTAATAATCAAGGCAACAAGAACGACAAGTAATCTGAATGGAGTTTGGCGTCGCTTCAAGACATTTATATCAGAAGAGTTTTATTAACCGATAAGATTAATTTACACTTTAAGGTACTTAATATGAAGAGCAAAAAGCTATTTCAGGGGAGAAATACAGTTTACATGAGATGGATAAAACTTTTACCTTCTGGCTGCGCCCTCACCGTCTCGGGTGTTAGATTGGTTGTACGGGGTAACTTTGAGGGGCGGTGCGCTCAGTTCCGATGATAAATCAGATTCTTGTTTACAGGCTGATAAAGGATGTTTGTTAAAATAGCTCCCCGATGTTAAGACTCTGGATGGGGGACGATATGAACTGAGATGGACCGAAGGAGCGGAGTTTACCGCTGGAGTCAACGGTAGTCCCCGCTCACCCGGGAAACGCTGTATTTTAAAACACTGCCTCTTTTTTTTGTGCGCACAGGGACAGTGATTTTAACCCACGTGCTGAGTTTTATTATACATAAATATTATTTAACTTTGCTCCTCGTTGACTGGGATCACACTGAACTTCATATATTGCAGAAAAATACAGAGAAAAGCTTTAAAAAAAAACATTGTTGATTTTATTTAAGTGGTTTGTTCGAGTGTTGAATAATATAGTTATAAATTGGGGTAAATTCCACAGAACATTCCGTCTGAGGGGAGTTTCCCTTAGAAGAGGGCGTATATACAGCCTCAAAGGTTTTATTTTGATAGGTCAGAGAGGAAGGGTTTTAAATGCAATTTGACAGACAGTGGTGCTACTGTCCTCAGATCAGCAGTCAGCTGAGAATCTGCTGGTTGACTGACTGCGAGAGGAAGTCAGAGACAAACAAACAAACAAACAAACAAAAAGTATGGATGACTTCCTGATGTCGAGCAGCGCTGCAGCAAAGGTGAGAGAGAAGAAGTTGTTTTCTTTCTCCTGTTCAACACCAAGCTGTGTTTGAGTGTGAGCGTGCGTGCGTGTAGGTGTGTTTTGCATGCAGGACATAAATAGACTGACATTTCTAATTGAATGACGCGCACACATATTCACACTTTGTCACAGTGCATGAATATGAAATCTGACACTTGTTTGCTCTGCGTTTGTTAGTGTGTGTGTTGATGTCTTTGTGTGTGTGTGTGTGTTTAAAGGTTTGGCTTTCCAGAACAACAACATCATGTTTTACATTAAAGATGAGGAATAATAATCTGATGAGAGGAGATATAATAGTACAACATCTTACTGCTTTAATACTTGAGTATTTTTACAGTGTGGTATTTTTACTATTACTGCAGTAGCACTGAGAACCTCCTTAAAGGTCCAGTCTCCTTCAGTTTTAACTCTGGATTATGGAACAAGCAACAGACCCTGATCAGAGCTCAGACAGCTGCTGCAGACATAGATGTCCAATCAGGTGTCTGAGTGTGAAAATCATTTTGTGTTTACCTGAAACCTGCAGTCAGCTGAGGACACACAGGCCGGGAAGTAAATATTTACACACAGGCAGACAGAGAGACAGACAGTGAAGCAGAATCCTTCAACAACTCTGTGAGGAGAGTTTTTACGAACAGCGTTTTATTTCAAAAGATGTGAAGAGTTTGGCGGTCAGTTTGACTCTTTCATTCACTGTGTCACAAACGTCCAGACTTTTAAATGCATCACCTGCCTCGGTCTGCACGCGCTCAGTGAACTTCAGACCTGCAGCCGACCGTCCGGACGATAATCAAATATTTGGATTTGATGTGTGACAGCAAACATGAGAGGCGCTGTACAGGCACTGTTATCAAGTTTTATGCAAGAATGAATCTGTGGAAAATATCTACTTGTGATATTTCTGACCAAAATTGCAACTGTTATTTAAATTGGAATATTTTTCTTTAATTCAAACCTCAGACGTCTGCTATATTTAATTTTTTTTTTTAATATAAAAATGATTACTTGTCGATGTTTAATTGGTATTTACATTAGAAGAAGAAGCAGCATGCCGGGGTCTCTCTGGAAGGTACAGCAGAGTGTCATCAGTATAACAGCGATACAGGACAGTATCAGGGTCGGAGGGATCAGCCACAATCTTTTCCTGCTCGCCTCAGAGTCCTGGAGGGATGATAGATCCAGAACGAATGATCCGCTGCAGTGGCAGCAGCGTACCAGATGGTGATGGAGGAGGTGAGGATGGACTCAACAGCCCCTTTTCCACCGCTGGTACCAGCTCAACTCGCATCTACTCGACTCGCCATCCTCCGTTTTCCATTGCAGATAGTATTCCTGCGACCCACACAAACACGAGCTGTCTCTGGATTTAAGTTAAAACATTTCAACATTACTCTGAATGTAAAGACAGAAAAGCGGTACAAGGATCTTACAGCTGTGTTTTCCTCGGCCATTGTTGCTGGAGTCGTCTCGTTAGCCGGCTCGTTAGCTTCCCGTGCTGAAATTTATGGAGCTTAAACTCCAAAAACATTTATCAACTATCACTTTTCGTAAAACTGCCAATATTCGAAATCTACACTGTAGATTTTATCACCTCAAAACTTCACAGGATGAATAGTTATAGATGATGGATGGATGTTACAGCAAATATGTTTCAGTAGGAACTGATTATTGAAAAAGACCTTCACAGTATACTTTATAATGCAGTTGTTGTTAGACTTGTGACTGACTGTGGTGTCTCACCTCCCCGTCAGACCAGTTTCCAGGGCAAGAAAAAAGTCCACGTCGTCCTGGGCAGTGAGTCATGTGACCTAGACTCTGTGGTGTCGTCGTTGGCGATGGCCTACTTCCTGTCAAGGGTGAGTCAAAACAGACTGATGCAGACTTTTCATGGGTGTTTCTCAATACCGAGTTCGCCAAGTTCGGACTTGGCAAGTACAGACAAGAACGCAGATTGAGAAACACATGTTGCTTAGATGTCTCCCATTGGACCAAAGTGATGGACAGACAGTGGGACATCACCAACATCTGTCTCTTTGTCTCAGACGTCCGGTCCTCCAGGGGGTTCTCTGGTTCTTCCGGTTCTCAATGTTCCACGATCGCAGTTCCACCTGCGAGCCGAAGTCCTCCTGCTGCTGAGGGAGGCCGGCGTCGCCCCTGAGACCCTGGTGTTCAGAGATGAGGTGGACCTGGGCCGTCTCCATGGCGACAGGAGGCTGGCACTGACGCTGGTGGACCACCATGTCCTGCCGAGGTCTGTAATATCAAAACATCTTAATGTGACATGAAACGTTCTGATGCCCTACCAGCCAATCCTGTGAATGATTTCCTGTCCTTCAGTACCTACAGCTGCCTGGAGGGGGCAGTAGTAGAAGTAATCGACCACCAGCAGTTAGAGACGACGACCTCCTTCTCCTGTCATGCCACCATGGAGGTGGTGGCATCGTGCACTACCTTGGTAACGGACCGGATTCTGTCCAGAGCGCCCGAGATCCTGGACAGACAACTGGCTCTGCTGCTGTATGGTGAGACACAAAATGTGACTGCTGTGTGTGATCCCTGCAGGTGTGAATGTGTCTCCAGTGTGTCCTCACTGCAGGTGTGAGTCTGTCTCCTTTTTGCCCTCCCTACAGGTGTGAATGTGTCTCATGTGTGTCCTCCCTGCAGGTGCGAATGTCTCCTGTGTGTCCTCCCTGCAGGTGTGAATGTGTCTTGTGTGTCCTCCCTACAGGTGCGAATCTGTATCCTGTTTGTCCTCCCTACAGGTTTGAATCTGTCTCCTGTGTCCTCCCTGGAGGTGTGAATGTGTCTCCTGTGTGTCCTCCCTGCAGGTGTGAATGTCTCCCCGTGTGTTCTACCTACAGGTGTGAATGTGTCCTGTGTGTCATCCCGACAGGTGCAAATCTGTCTAACGTGTGTCCTCCCTGAAGGTGTAAATGTGTCCTGTGTGTCCTCCCTGCAGGTGTGAATGTGTCCTGTGTGTCCTCCCTACAGGTGCGATTCTGTCTCCTGTGTGTCCTCCCTAATGTGTCTCCTGTGTGTCCTCCCTGCAGGTATGAATGTGTCCTGTGTGTCCTCCCTGCAGGTGTGATGGTGGTGGACAGTGCAATTCTGTCTCCTCAGGTCGGTAAAGGGACGATCAAAGACAGTCAGATGGTCCTACTGCTTCAGACACAGTTTCCTGATCTGCCACACAGAGGCGCTCTTCACACCTCCCTGCACACAGCAAAGTTTGACCTGTCAGGTAATCATACGGCAGCAACCAAATCAGACAATTTAGATGTTGTTCATGATGGAAAGATCACAATGATCATTTTAGAAGGTGCCAACATAACATCATTGATCGTTACCATGTGTTTCAGTGGTCGAGGACGTACTCAGATCCTTTACTTCAGAAAAAGTACTAATACCACACTGTAACTCTGTGACAAGTAAAAATCCTGCATTGAAAATTCAGTTAAAATATGTGAGTTTAATCAGGAAAATGTTACTGTGTATGTGTGTGTGTGTGTGTGTGTGTGTGTGTGTGTCAGGTCTCTCCACAGAGCAGATCCTCCTGAAGGACATGAGGACGGTTTACGGTGGCGGCATCAGAGTGGCTGTCAGCAACGTCTACACAAGTCTGGATGTAAAAAAAAATAGCTCATTAATATTAATAAGCTAATGTTCTGAGTTTTTGGTCATAAAATGATGAGCTGGAAGGATTAAATTCTCTTGACCCATAAAATCAAACTTGTAGTTTATATATAAAAACCTGTTCTCGTCTAGGGCGTCATATATGGACGTTTTTTATTGCCCCACGATCAAGTGAGCGACGTCTGTTAGACTTTCAAAATAAAAGCACTGGTTAATGTTGTGAGCAGTTGGGTTAGTTTGTTCAAGTTACAAGGTTGTTAATTTTTCATTATACAACACAGAGATGTATAACAAAAAGTTTGTAGTCCTTCATGCTACACACACAGAATGTAATTTAAATAATTAAGTGTGTATTAAAATATGGGAAAATAAAACAGTACATAAGAGTTATTTATATACATACCGTAAAACTTAATAGCCGAGTCCCAAACAGCCGCATTTAGACAAATAAACGCAGGTCTCCATTAAACGCCTGTGGCCTGCACTACGAAGGGAGTTCATCCTACTCAGAGTTAACTCAGGGTTATCAGGCAAACTCTGACCGCTACACTGGACAACGGTACTACAAAGGTGGATCAGATGTTGGTCAGTTGAATCGCTGTTAACTTATTGGAGTTGGGGCGTGTTCGCATAAAAGGGGCGTGTTTTTACACAACGGCACATGCTCCGTATTTCTACAGACGTTGGTAGTGTCGGGAAATTATGTAAAAACACGTTAACGGCTAAATCTAATATCGTGGCGGCCGACAAAGCCGACAATTTTTTTTTATCATAAGTAACTTCTACTTATTTTTTTTAATAATATAATATAAAATAACCGTTTATCCTTCGTCAGTTACTGTACATATTAACTAACCCTGAACCAGCAGGGGGCGCCACAGACTCTGTGTAGAACAATGCGTAGAACAGGCCAGCAGTGCATGCTGGGAGTTGTAGTTCAGCCACCATGTTGTCTCTGCCTGCAGTCGTTCCTGCGCAGGGAGAATCTGCAGCAGCAGCTCTGTGACTTCTGCCGCTCGCACCGGCTGGACGCTGTGGTCGCCATGATGATCTCCTTCAACGACCAATCGGACGAGCCCATCAGGCAGCTGGCGGTCTACAGCTCCAGCTCGCAGTACAGGCAGGAGGTAGGTGTGGTGGTTGGAATTAAGACTTTTAAATGAGAATTAGGATTAAAAGATTTAAAATGGGATTACAGTTGATATAAAAACTTTTTGGATCGGGACTGAATTAAGATTAGGATCATGATTTTAATTGGGATTGAGATTAAGATTGGGGTAAAGACTGGGATTTGGTTGGTAGTTGAAAGGTAGATAACAATCAGGATTATGATTGAGATTAGGATTAGAAACAGAATAAAATGCATTATCATGATAAAATTAAAGCCAGGGATTAAGATTTAGGGTTAGATTTTTCAATAGGATTGGGATTTATTTTAGAATCAAATATGGGTGAGAATGACCTTTTAAATTAACATGACTAGAATTAATATCAGGATTAAGATTTGGAAAAAATAATTTCAAGGCTGGACATTTATTTTGTAAGAAGAGTCAACATCTGTGATTAAGATTAGGATTAGATCGATATTAATAGTATTGGGATCAGAATTAAGATTAGAGTAAAGGCTTAGATTAAGTCAGCAATGGGACTGGGGTTGATTTTTAAAAAAAGATCAGGGTCGGGGCTGGGATTAAGATTAAAATTAGATCTATCTTTTTATTACTATTGGGAGCAGGATTAAGATTAGGGTTAAAATTTAGATTAGTTTGGCAATGGGATTGGAATTGGTTTTAGAAAAAGGATCAGAGACATTTTAGAATCAAGATTAGGATTAGGTTGATGACCAGGATTGGGATGATTAGATTAGATTGGGATTATCTGAGATTGAGAATTTATTTTAGATTTAACATTAGTATCAAGATTATAACTTGGATTAATATAAAATTTGGGATGCAGATTAGATTAAAGGTGAGGACCTGGTTCAGGACTAGATATTAAATCCTCATCACTGCGATGACTCAGATGTTTGTGTTTGCGTCCTCTGCCCCACCTCCAGATTAGCCACGCCCTCGTGAACAACCAGAGCCCCGCCCCCTGCCTTTCTCCTGTCACCAGCCCATATAAGGACATCCTGGCTTATCACCAAGGCAACGCTCTGGCCTCTCGCAGAAAACTCCTTCCTGTCCTCACACACTTCCTGTCTCACTGGTGGCAGAGAGAGGTGCATTGTGGGGCAGATGGCGGGGAGGTGTTGGAGGACCAACTCGACCAATCGGAGGTGATGGTCTCGGACACCGACCTCGCCGACGACCTCCTGCCTCACGGTTACTCCATCTCTCGTCACCACCGGCGGCGGCTCCAGATGGGAGCAGAGGATTATGGGAACGTGGAGGAGGATCACTGCGGCAGGACGACGCCGCCGGCGCCGATGAACAGTTTGGTGGACGGCTGCCCGCTAGACGGCGGCTTCAACCAGGAAGCTTTACTGGAGAAGTTCAACAGGATGGGAGGCGTGGAGGAGGAGCAGGGAGGGAGTGGGCGGTAGAGAGGAGGAGGAGGAACATGGCGGACTCCTTCGCTCTTAGTGACTCTTAGGCTAAAAATAATAATCTAAACCGCAGACGTGTGATGAGACCGTAACACTATCTTTAAGAAATCTTCGCTGTAGAATTATATGAAAATCTTGAGCATGAAACAGTTAATTTCCTGCATTCTTCTGACTTTTTCTGCACTAATTATGTTTTTATTTATGTAAAGGAAACTTAAAAATTCAAACTTGCTGCTCTCAGATCTGTTTCTCCTGTCGAACTTGTTTAACATCGTCCCTGCTGAGTCCTGGTTCAGTCTTCCCTCCTCTTTGTGTCTTTGTTTGGGGAAGTAACCTGTTTGATTTTCACCTCAGTGACAAATTATTTAGTTTGAATTCAGTGATAAACTCCTGGACTTTAATAGCTCCTGTGTTTCAGCAGATTTTCAAAACTTTCTGCACATTCAGAATCTCTCCCACAGATCTGTGTCTCTGAACTCGTTCAGGTTTCCCCTTCAGACCGTCTGACAGACGCAGTTTGGGACTGATGTGTTGCTGAAACCGAAAGTAACTGAAAACGCTTGTGATCAGGCAGAAATCTCGCCACAAATCCACACGTTAACTTCAGCAGCTCACACTCCTCATCCAGAGCAAAGCTGCTTCACTTTGCAGATGTTATATTTTAAAACTCTACCGGCTACGTAACCACTCGGCCACAAGCTGGCGGTTCACTTGATCACAGCGTACGCTGGTGTCGCATCAGCTGGGCGGAGTTGATTCACACCGCAAGTCGATGTCATTGGTTATTAACAGTGCTGGGGTCGAGAACCTCCTCATATGTAATTTAGTTACAAAATTAAAGTAACTGTAATATAATTTAAACACACTAATGCAACAGTGTGCACTTCTGTACGACGTATATCTGTATCTGACTAATCCCACAAACATCGCCGGCCCATTTGTTGCATCTCACACTCTTAAACCACGTCTCCTTTGGAATACTGCATGAAAATGGCTCCACGTAGATGAAGCCAAAAGAGATGTCAGCAGCTTATGTCCAAGTCCTCAGCTGTACTTCTGATTAATTTGTTCTTTAACTTCACCTGCCTGACTGACTGTAACACTATGTCAGGTGGTGTACTGATATTTTCTCTCTTCCTTCCTTGCAAATACAAATTGATTACAAGCTTATTTGTCTACTACCCTTGTTGCCTAACTGTAATAATAACTGTATGATGTAGAGTCTGTGTGTTTGTATCTACTAACATACTCTACATACCTACAGACCGTATAAACTCTGTCATGAATTCAGTCTTGTCCAGGCGTACGGCTGCTGCTGTAAACTACAGAGTATAATATTATATTTACAGAATCATTTAATACTGCTGTCAGAGGTAACTACACAATTTCACATAGTGTTTTGAGCACGTTCTATGTGTTTATTTGTACTGCGGCAACTAATCACATGTGACGACTTGCCCCAAAGTCACTGAGACAACTTGCCCCAAACTGACATGTGTGCTAATGTTGGCTAAATCTCAAGGTTAGCTTAGCATAGCACATCAGCTGAAGTATCAAAAGACACGTTATTGTCTCCTCTACTTTGTGCAAATTTATCATTTTGAACATCCACACGTAATAAGGTTGGAATACATGAAATGTAAAGTGCAAATGTTTTACTTTTGAAGCAGAAAAATAATAAAATTGTGCTCACCTCAGATTAGAGAGACCAACAGGAAGTTGAACATAGAAAAAGAAGTCACACAAAGTGGCTATTTGATTTTTGTCATAGAGCCTCTAGAGTTGGAGTTATGAGCAGTGTGAAAACTTTCCCCGCTCTCCTCAATAACTTGTTCTCGGGTGATGTTTGTGTTTGTAAAGCAGCCGTTGTTGTTGTTGGTTTGATGTTTGCGGTATGACAGACTATAAATTTCCTCCGAAAGGACCAATAAATATCTCTCACCTATAAACGTGCACAGCTGATCCCGTTACCGGGGGCCGTCGCTAAGCAAAAGCACTTCTTAAACGACTCATCGACGAATCGTTGAAATAATCTAGAAGCTTCGAATACTAAAATCACCGTTAGCTGCAGCCCTAATTTATTGCTACGGTGGTTAATTGTGCTGTGGAAATTAAGAGCAAGTCGGAGATGGTGCTGGATGCGTCAAGGAGATTCTTGGACATTGTGGACATACCAGGAGAAGAAAGAGACACTACGCTGAGGGAAGGACTCACACCATCTCAGACCTTTCAGTCTGCTGGTGCTTTCAGACCAAAAGCGAAGCGGTGAATTTACATACAAAGTCAATGCAAAGACGTGTAGACCTGCGATTTCCTGTCAGGTGGTGCGAAGCGAAGCGACGCGAAGGAATTTGCGTGAGTTGAATATTTTCAAGTCGCATGACGCTGATAGCCTATCAGTGTTGAGATTGTCCGTACGTCACCGAGGCTTCAGAGCGATGTCTGGAGAGCGCCGGTCAGAGCGGGAGACTGAAAATCTGCTGGCCGGCTGAGAACTGTTAAACTTGGGGGAGAGGAGCACGGAGCAGCGCTGCAACCTTTAGAAAAATAAACCCCCGTAGTCGGTCGGATTCTGCTCTGACAACTACGCCGTTTGCTCGTGGGAGGAGCTCGGAGTTAACTGCTTTTATTAAATTAGCTTTTTACTTTAGTTTTAGGGATTTTAACGTTGATTTATCTTCACAGGAGCTCCTCAGCAGCTTCTGTGCACATCCGGTTCCAGTGTTGTTGTTAGCGTTGTTTGCTCTGTCGGACTACGACTTCATATTTATATAAAAACCGGACAAAACTGGACATCACTGGGAGAAGAGAAAGCGAGGAGGTTAAACTAGCTGGTGAGTTCAGAAAACATGTGTCTGTAACTTTATTCTTTACTGTGACAAAGTTAGCATAGCATAGCCCGGATTGATCCAAACTCCATTCAGAAAACAAACATTTTAGAAGTTGTTGTCCTGCTGTCTCGCTGACAGACCTGACAAAGCATGAATTCATATGTTTAACAAATCTGCATCATGTTGTAGTTATTTCGGCATCAGTTTGATCCGTTTATTGCTATTTAATCACAGCAAAATGTTCACTTTGGGTTCATACAGCTGTAGTAAAGGCGAGTTGTGTTTATTAACGTCATCGCGTTAAAATCGCCTTCTCGCGTTATTTGTGAACACTTGCAGCGTCGCGAGGAGAAAATTCGCGTTTGGTCTGAATGCGGCGTAAGACATAAGAACGGAAACGCAGCGACCTTCAGGCAGGTGACTGTAAATATGCTGCGCTGGGGAACCTGTTTCAGTCAGCAGGTGGCGGTAATGCCAGCAGCCATGAACCCCGAAGAAGAAGGAGCAGGGCGGGGCCATGTTAGCATCCGTTAGCAGCCCTTGTTGCCGCCGGTGTTTCCGCGTCGGACCGGAGATCTGCGGGACAACATGAGACACGGACAGGGTGGCGGACAGAGACCAGAGGCGCCCGAGAGTCCGGCTGCCGACGGGGGGGGCGACGGCCGCTCAGGTGAGACACAGGAAGCTGCGCGTGTGTTTCAGTTAGCCGTTAGCCTCTGATACAGGAAGCGAGCTCCCCGCGAGCCGAGACATCGATCACCTGAGCTTCAGACACCTGGCTCGGCACGGAGCGCGCGGAGCTGGCTGCAGGTCCAGCTGCACACATGACTGTCTTTAAATACACTATAATGTTCCTTCACTCAAGAAAGGTACAAATACTACGTTTCCCGTGTACTTTAAAAGTATTCCACAGTGAAAATACTTCTTCAGTGTATTCAGCGCCCGTCCTGAGTGATGAGGTCTCAGTCACGCTGGATTTAACAATCTAGTGTTAATAAAGTGAGGCTTTGTGATTACGGCCAAAATGCTAATCACGGTTATTTTGATCCACTTTGACTTCAAGGTTATTCAACATATTTTTAGTGCACTTTCAAATTAAAATATAAACAGGCAGCTGTTTTCACAATAAGAGCGGTCCTTAAAGTGCATCGTCTCCTAGAAGAAAAATATAACAACATTTATTCATTTAGTTTATCCAAAGCGACTTATTTCTGTTTGTACAGTAAAATGTTCTTATATCTGCACCAGTGATGGAAGAGGACACTGGCAGGAATTACGCTGGTGAAAAGTCAAATTTCATATAAATTATGTTCACAAAATAACAGTGAAAAGGTGCATTTTATATTTAAATTAATAACTAATAATAAGAAGTTATATTAGTATTAAAACTACTATTATCATCATTGTTGTTATAGTAATATTATTATATTACCGTGGTTTGTATTTGTGTTCATTTAATCACTAAGAGCATCCCAAAAAAAAACGCGTATGTATCTTTCAGGACCTTCGGCTCACTCGCGCCCCGTCCTTACCGTAATAACACCGCTTTAGGTGCAACAGAAGTCAGACGGTTTCGTCCTCTGCAGAGCGTTTACTTCCACTGGAATCGTCTCAGACACATTTCAGGCGCTGAGCACGTTGTTGGCTTCTTGTCCGAGCGTTTTGCCTGATGTTGCTGACATATTTAGATTTGGATAATCAGGGCTTCTTCCGTGATTAAGTAGCGCATGTAGATAAATGGTTCTGTTTTTAACTGTGTGTTTTGTTGATTTGTGATCGGGAGTCTGCACCAAGGTTCGTTTTTATTTCGTTTTGATTTTTTGTTTTCAGTTTAGTTTTAATTTGTTTTTATTAGTTTGAGTCTTTGTCGCTGCACGACTCCAAACTCAGTTTAGTTTTTTCACAAAACATCAATCGATTACAATCATTAGAAATAATGCAGATTTGGCAAAAAGAGACCTTTTTTTAAGCTATCTGAAGCCTGTTGGGGCTAAAACACTATGAAGTACTGACACATTGTCTAAATAAATATTACAAATCTATGCAGCACATGCTACATCTACAGTATAATGTCTAACCTAAACTGCCCTGATCCTGCTACCCAGTGGTCCCAAGAAATTCATTACATCAGTCTGCAGCTCTGTCATTCTTGGTTAAATAGGTAAAATACAATTAATGGAGGTGACCACCAGAGTGTTTTTAGAGTGCACACGTATTCCAGCCTTTACGGTAAGTGAAGCGGCCCAGAGCGAGCTGACAGGCAGGTTAGAGACTTTATCCTGTCAGTTTGTCTCTTTAGTATGAAGAGAGGCTGTGAAGTCTTCATGTTACAACATTATTTATCAAACCGGGTCGGACTGGATGGATTCAGCGCGACAAGGTTTTCAAAATAAGGCGTCCGTACAGGATGGAAATGAGATTAACTGGATTATATTCTCATTTGCATTGTCTCAGTTTTGTACCTGACGAGAAATATCGTCACACTTGTGTTGATCAGAAGAAAAGCAGTTTTTTCGCCGCCGTGTCTGAGTTCTGAATTCAAATGTTTCTCTGTTGTTTCCATTCAGAGGAGCAGAAGGACGATTACCCAGAATGCCTCGAGGTCGGCGTCTCTGAAGAGCAGGAGGTTAAAATGAAGGAGCAGGAAGAGGAGGATGGAGACGATGACCCCCGGCAGGATCCAGACTTCAGTCCTGATCAGAACGACAGCGCGGAGACGGGAACGGCGTCGTCATCACAGAGCAGCAGAAGAAGAAGACCAGCCGGCGAGCTGAGAGCTCCGGCGGACGCTAAAGGGAAGGAGTATCGGTGTGACGGCTGTTTGAAGAGCTTCGACCGGCCGTGTCGTCTGAGGATCCATCAGAGGACTCACACCGGCGAGAAGCCCTTCAAGTGCTCCGACTGTGACAAACGCTTCAAGAGCAAAGCCATCCTGTCGGCGCACCTGAAGACGCACAGCGGCGAGCGCCCGTTCTGCTGCCACGAGTGCGGGAAGTGCTTCCTGCAGAGGCAGGCGCTGGATGAGCACATGAGGACCCACACGGGGGAGAGGCCCTTCAGCTGCCAGCTCTGCAGCCGGCGCTTCACCGCTAAGAGCCACCTGCAGCGCCACCTGCTGACCCACTCGGGCGAGCGCCGCCACCAGTGCGTGGAGTGCGGGAAGTGCTACAAGAGGAAGGAGCACCTGAGCAGCCACATGCGCGTCCACAGCGGGGAGCGTCCGTTCAGGTGCAAGGTCTGCGGCCGCCGCTACAGCGAGCGGGGACGCCTGCTGCTGCACCTGAGGACGCACACGGGGGACAGCAAACGCCACACCTGCGAGCTCTGCGGCCTGCGCCTGGTGTCGGCCAATCACCTGCAGAGACACATGCAGACGCACAGCGGCGAGCGGCCGCACCGCTGCTGCGGCTGCAGCAAGAGCTTCAGCAGGAAGGACAAGATGATGGAGCACATGAGGATCCACACCGGAGAGAAACCGTACCGGTGCTCGCGGTGCCCGCTCAGCTTCAGGTGGAGGGCGGCGCTCAACGCTCACATACACACCCACACCGAGGAGCCAGAGGAGCTCTGATTGGACGGCCAGGACGGGCTGGTGTGCAGGAGGAGGAGCTGGACACCAGATTAGCTTTAAAAAGTTTTAATGAACTCCTTTTCTTCTTTATTATTTATTTATGTGTTGACTCTGAATGAACTGGTTCCAGAGACCGAAGGAGCTTTTTTATTTAAAGGTGCCGTAGAATCTTCGTTTCAGGTTCATACTTGTTGTTTTCTACTAGAAACTGTTCACCTGCTTTAATGTTTAAAACACAGATTATATTTCTCGTCCTTCTGTCTGAACACTCAGTTTTAGCTCTTGTCTCTTTAAGGTCCCACTTGCTTCTGATTGGCCAACTTCCCCAAGCAGAGGGGCGGGGCTTAGCGGCTCTGCGCTGAATAGTATCTGTACAGAAACACAACTTTATTCTCTGGTTTTACTGAAAGTGGATCAGAGTTGATGAGAAAATATTGTCCTGTTTTCCCTCTGATGTCACTTTAGCAGCTAACCGCTGTTAGCTACTCAGCTAGCTGTGCAGCTAGCCGTCCTGTTTCTGACTCTGCCCTGACTGGAAGCTCGGTGCTCCGGCGGGCGGGGGGGGTGTTTACATCTCTACATTACTACAGAAGCTTTGGACCGCTGGTTCAGAACCAGCTGTAAGCAACAGCTAGCGGTTAGCAACCTTTAGCGTTAGCAACAAGTTTCCATCTTCATAAATCAGACTTGAGGTGATCAGCAAGAAAACCAGAAAATATTCCCGTTTCCTTCAGCAGCATTAGCTCGTATGAACTCTGGAGCGTTGGCTGGGCGACGTGGCCAAAAATGCTATCACGCTAAAAACATTTCTTACATTTCGACGATTATCACGATAAATGTGAAAATCATTTTTTTCCTTTCAAGTTTAAAGGCAGATTTTTGCTCCTGGGTGAAAGTTGAAGAAACTACAGAGTTAATTATGTGGTTGAACTTTTCTTTATGGTCAGAACATGAAAAACACAAATCTGAAGTAGAACATTTAAAATCTTTAGTACAAGCTGTGTGCTGTTGGTGTAAAGAAAGTTTCCTGTCGCCCTCTGGAGGCAGTTGATGTTCATACTGGAGCTAAATTTATTTTCTTTGCAGCGTGTCGTTGAACATCTGTGTCATTAAAGGTTTGTCTTGTTAAATAAAACTCTCACAGCAGGACTGAACCCCGAGAGGAAACTTGACTTCATTGTTTTGTTTATGTTAAGTTATCTCTTGCATTTCATTTCTCATTTCCGGACTGTCAGATACTTTGTCGCGCCCTTCGGCGGCTGCTGCCAACACACGGGAGACTCTTGCATCATAGTTCAACGCACTTGGGGCCAAAACCTGGACTTTCAGCCAGGAGACCGGTGAAAGTTTCCTGTGTGAAACAAAAATTAACATTGATTAATTTTATTGATCATAAGTATTTTAAGTCACATACTTATTTTAACCCAAAGCATCATCTCTTCCTAAACCTGGCCGCGTGGTTTAGGGGCCCGAACCTGACCGCGTGGTTTAGGGGCCCGAACCAGGCCGCGTGTTTTAGGGGCCCGAAACCTGGCCGCGTGGTTTAGGGGCCCGAAACCTGGCCGCGTGGTTTAAGGGCCCGAACCTGTGGTTCAGGGGCCCGAACCTGTGGTTTAGGTGCCCGAACCTGGCCGCGTGTTTTAGGGGCCCGAAACCTGGCCGCATGGTTTAAGGGCCCGAACCTGGTCGCGTGGTTTAAGGGCCCAAACCTGGTCGCGTGGTTTAAGGGCCCGAACCTGGCCACGTGGTTTAGGGGCCCGAACCTGTGGTTTAGGTGCCCGAACCTGGCCGCGTGGTTTAGGGGCCCGAACCTGTGGTTTAGGTGCCCGAACCTGGCCGCGTGGTTTAGGGGCCCGAACCTGTGGTTTAGGGGCCCGAACCTGACCGCGTGGTTTAGGGGCCCGAACCTGACCGCGTGGTTTAGGTGCCCGAACCAGGCCGCGTGTTTTAGGGGCCCGAAACCTGGCCGCGTGGTTTAAGGGCCCGAACCTGGCCACGTGGTTTAGGGGCCCGAACCTGCGGTTTAGGTGCCCGAACCTGGCCGCGTGGTTTAGGGGCCCGAACCTGTGGTTTAGGTGCCCAAACCTGGCCGCGTGTTTTAGGGGCCCGAAACCTGGCCGCATGGTTTAAGGGCCCAAACCTGGCCGCATGGTTTAAGGGCCCGAACCTGTGGTTCAGGGGCCCGAACCTGGCCGCGTGGTTTAGGGGCCCGAACCTGTGGTTTAGGGGCCCGAACCTGGCCGCGTGTTTTAGGGGCCCGAACCTGTGGTTCAGGGGCCCGAACCTGGCCGCGTGGTTTAGGGGCCTGAACCTGTGGTTTAGGGGCCCAAACCTGGCCGCGTGTTTTAGGGGCCCGAAACCTGGCCGCGTGTTTTAGGGGCCCGAACCTGTGGTTCAGGGGCCCAAACCTGGCCGCGTGGTTTAGGGGCCTGAACCTGTGGTTTAGGGGCCCAAACCTGGCCGCGTGTTTTAGGGGCCCGAAACCTGGCCGCGTGTTTTAGGGGCCCGAAACCTGGCCGCGTGTTTTAGGGGCCCGAACCTGTGGTTCAGGGGCCCAAACCTGGCCGCGTGGTTTAGGGGCCTGAACCTGTGGTTTAGGGGCCCAAACCTGGCCGCGTGTTTTAGGGGCCCGAACCTGTGGTTTAGGGGCCCAAACCTGGCCGCGTGTTTTAGGGGCCCGAACTTGGCCAAACTGCAACATTTCCCAATTTGAACCTCTAGTTTTATTAACCGGACGCTGCATATTTGTTGTTGCTAACTTGAGCGCGGAGCCCAGGGCGTTAATGGGACGCCATGGGGAGAGAATGGGTTGTTTATGAGTGCACCATCCTTCACAGTGTGAACGCACTCATGCCCTCAGAATGGCGTGTGTGGAGGTGAGACGCAGCGTGAGACACCAACGCTGTCACTGTGGGCGTGTTAGCATGCTGATGTTAGCAGTTAGCTCAGACTGCGTGTGATAAACTGGACCGAACGAGTCACAACACTGAACTCAGAAACCACAACCAGCAGGAAAATAAGGAATCATCACTTATGCAATCTGCACACAGGCTCACACAGGTGTGTCTCAGCAGGTAGGGGCACACAGGCTCACACAGGTGTGTCTCAGCAGGTAGGGGCACGCAGGCCGCAGGCTCCACCCCTGCTTGTTCAGTCACGGTCTTCATGGTAACAGGGCCGAGCCCTGAGAGTACGAGAGAGAGAGAGAGAGACGGGTGGGGTGTGAGAGTCCGCTCGTAAACCCATAAACAGTCCCCGTGACGTGATCAGGTGAGTCTCCAGGTGTGAAACCGGTTTCTCCGTGGCTGTTAGTCCTGAACCTGTCTCACCTTGCTGGACCGTCTCACCTGGCTGCTGCTGCTGCTGCTGCTGCTGCTGCTGAGGGCGAGCGAGCTGAGCGAACACAGTGAGTCTTAATCCTTCTTTTCTTTATGGAACACTTTGTCCTCAGCCCCCCCCCCCCTCTCTCTCTCTCTCTCTCTCTCTGCTAACGATAAGAGCCGGGGGAATAAAGCTCACGTCAGCAGGTAGAAGTCCTGTTCATGGACAGAAGTCTGGATGGTCTCTGGTTTTATTGATCCTCCTGTATGGAAGTCAAATATGCAACGTTGTTCTTTCTCTGCAAATTCTTTATCCATTTATACGTTTCATGCAGTATTTTCGTCTTGTCCACTCTGCAGTAGCCTCTTCGCCCTTTTAATGCGCCTTATTTTTTTCACGACCTGCTGTAAGTTGCCACGGTCACCTCTGACCTCGCACCGGTTTCCTAAACTCACACATGTTCAACGCGAAGTGACGCCCTCGTGTTCAACTGATAGATTAATCCAGACTGTCAGTGTGGTAATAACAGAAATATCAGTAAAGATAATAATGGTATGTGTTTGTGTATTTATATACTGTATGTGTAGAAATCCCTCTGAAATGTAGATCAGAGTCTTTATTCTCGCAGCCTGACAGAGAAGAAAGTGATGGCTTCACTCATCCTCTAAAGGCGCTCATGCATATAATGAAATACTTTCATTGTAATCAGGTGTTTGTCAACAGGAACAAGATGGAGTCCAGAGAGGAAGAACAGGAGGAGGAGTCACCCAGGTCAGAGGTCATCCAGTTCACTTCTTACCTTTCTGTAAAAGCTTTGGGTTTCCGTCTGTTCTGGGTCGACGTCACACCTGGACTCCCTATGAGCTCAGATCTTTTCTCTCTTTCAGGTTCCTCTCGTGTTCAGCCCGATCGATTTGTTCTGTTCTGATGATTTCAAACGTGACGATAACAAAGAATAAACATGAATCTGAGCTTCTGACAGAAATCTGAATGTTTACTGTGGCTATGAAGGATAGGATATGAAGTACTGTACTTTAAGTATTTGAGGTACTTTTATTAGTAGTATTTTCTTTTCATGCCACTTTCTATTTGTAGTACTCTGACGGTGATATTGTACTTTTTACTTCACATTTATCTGACAGGTTACTTATCAAAGTCAGATTTTTACACACAAAACACATGAGTTTATAAAACATGTTTTGTCCATCCTGCTGCACTTTACACTGTGCTGTTAGTACTTTTACTGCAGTTACATTTTCAGTGCAGGACTTTTAATTGTAACAGAGTACTTTAACAGTGTTTTATTAGTACTTCTACTGCAGTAAAGGTTCTGCTGGTGTAACGCAGGTAATGTCCTTCAGTACAGGCTTTTCTGGAGGAACCGATCCGTCCTTTAGTTTTCAGTCTGTAAGAGTTTCCGTGTTTTTTGCGTGCGCAGGTCACCTCTGGAGGACGTTGCCACGACTACCACCACTAATACTGCTGATACTACGCGTACTGTCAATACTGCAGCTGCTGGTAGTACTTTAACTTCCACCTCGACTCCTGTAGCGCCGTCAGCTGATGACACAGGTACTTCAGAGCGTCATGATGTTGGCTGTGATTTTTTACTTTGTGTACTTTTACCATGAAACCTGCCTGAGCAGGTGTAAAGAACCTGTCCTCCTCTTTGTGTCTGTAAGATGGGGAGGAGACAGAAGAAGACGACTCTGCTGGAGTGGAGGGTGAGTCCACCTTCACCTGGGCAGCGCCCCCTGCTGGCCAGACTGAAGCACAGTGGAAATATCATCTCACCTTTTTAAATCATCTCTCATCAAAATATTTTGCTCGTGGCTTCGTTATTCTGTCTGGTTCGTTATGAAGAATCTTTTTATCTGGTTAAAGTTCATCAGCAGGTCCTCCTTCGCTGGAAACTGATTATTTCACTCCCGTCTGGATAACAGATACTTTTTGTTGAAATCTTCTTTAGTTTAATGAGTTCGTTGATTAATTTAATGTTCAAAAATACTGAGTGGTGATTAGGACAGCTCCTCGAGGGACGGTGTCTTACGGTGTCTTACGTCTTCACTTTATACTGACAAACTCGACCTTTAAAGAAAAAGGATTATACTAAAAGGAAAAGAACTGTTAGAATCACAACTATGGCAGTTATAATAGTTATTATAGCTTATTCCTTAAAACCTACTGGTCGATTCCTGTTTAACTAACAATTGATTTAGATACCAGCACTTCATTTTTAGTTACTAGGAACTAATTACACACATTTGCCTTTGTAATCTCTGCAGTCCAGATTTCACTTCCTGTCTCAGTGACTTCTCTGACTTCCTGTCTCAGTGACTTCCTGTCTCAGTGACTTCCTGTCTCAGTGTCTTCTCTGACTTCCTGTCTCAGTGACTTCCTGCCTCAGTGTCTTCTCTGACTTCCTGTCTCAGTGACTTCCTGTCTCAGTGACTTCCTGCCTCAGTGTCTTCTCTGACTTCCTGTCTCAGTGACTTCCTGTCTCAGTGACTTCCTGCCTCAGTGTCTTCTCTGACTTCCTGTCTCAGTGACTTCCTGCCTCAGTGTCTTCTCTGACTTCCTGTCTCAGTGACTTCCTGCCTCAGTGACTTCCTGTCTCAGTGTCTTCAGTGACTTCCTGTCTCAGTGACTTCCTGCCTCAGTGTCTTCTCTGACTTCCTGTCTCAGTGACTTCCTGTCTCAGTGACTTCTCTGACTTCCTGCCTCAGTGTCCTCTCTGGCTTCCTGTCTCAGTGACTTCCTGTCTCAGTGTCTTCTCTGACTTCCTGTCTCAGTGACTTCCTGCCTCAGTGACTTCCTGCCTCAGTGTCTTCTCTGACTTCCTGTCTCAGTGACTTCCTGCCTCAGTGTCTTCTCTGGCTTCCTGTCTCAGTGACTTCCTGTCTCAGTGTCTTCTCTGGCTTCCTGTCTCAGTGACTTCCTGCCTCAGTGACTTCCTGCCTCAGTGACTTCCTGCCTCAGTGACTTCCTGTCTCAGTGTCTTCTCTGGCTTCCTGTCTCAGTGACTTCCTGTCTCAGTGACTTCCTGCCTCAGTGTCTTCTCTGACTTCCTGTCTCAGTGACTTCCTGTCTCAGTGTCTTCTCTGACTTCCTGTCTCAGTGACTTCCTGCCTCAGTGACTTCCTGTCTCAGTGTCTTCTCTGACTTCCTGTCTCAGTGACTTCCTGCCTCAGTGTCTTCTCTGACTTCCTGTCTCCAGCAGCTGTTGAGGACAAGTTTGTCTCCAAGCAGAAACCACAGACGCCGACCGGAGACAGACCAGGTACAGACCCGTCCTCAATATTCACTAATAAACAATTACATGGTTAAATTAATACAAGTTTAATGTAACAGAAGTAGAATAACATCATTACTTCACTAAACTTTAACAAAAAATAAGAAATACTGACTGAAATGACGAACCGGTTTAGTTTTAGTTTGATTTAAAAGGAATTTGTTAATTTCTAAACAAATGTTTGTTTTTGGGGAGGCAGAAATATTAAACCACCAAGATCTAAGAATCACAGAAAATCAATAGAAAATAATAAATATCTTTATTATTAGAGTCCTGTTACCTTTGTGTTCAGACTGAACGCACGTGAAACGCTCTGTGACCTCACTTCCTGTCTGTAGATCCTCCCAGCAGCCTGGCCTTGTCACGACCAACCAAGAAGAAAGTCCTGATGGCGCCGGCGCTCAGTCTGTCTTTAGGTAATAAAATAAAACTCCACACGTGTGAAATTTATATCTTATTCTTTCTTTTTTGTTTATTTATCGGTTTATTTTTCGGTTTGTTGTTGAATAAAATAATTTTATTTGCTCTCCGAGGTTTTGGTTGGTTGGTTCTTGTGTTCATGTCAAAGCGCACATAAACAGTTTTTAGCCAATTTCAGTAAATATTTAAATTCAAGTTTATTTATATAGCACCAATCCCAGGTGTCATTGACGCTGGAGATGTTGGACACTGTGGATGCTGAGGATGGTGGGGATGTTGTGCACGCTGGGGATTTTGGGGACGCTGTGGATGTTGGGGACGCTGTGGATGTTGGGGATATTGTGGATGTTGGGGATATTGTGGATGTTGTGGACGTTGGGGACGCTGGAGATGTTGTGCACGCTGGGGATGTTGGGGATATTGTGGATGTTGGGGACGCTGGAGATGTTGTGCACGCTGGGGATGCTGGGGACGTTGTGGATGTTGGGGACGCTGTGGATGTTGGGGATGTTGGGGACGCTGGAGATGTTGTGCACGCTGGGGACGTTGGGGATGTTGGGGACGCTGTGGATGTTGGGGATATTGTGGATGTTGTGGACGTTGGGGACGCTGGAGATGTTGTGCACGCTGGGGATGCTGGGGACGTTGTGGATGTTGGGGACGCTGTGGATGTTGGGGATATTGTGGATGTTGTGGACGTTGGGGACGCTGGAGATGTTGTGCACGCTGGGGATGTTGGGGATGTTGGGGACGCTGTGGATGTTGGGGATATTGTGGATGTTGTGGACGTTGGGGACGCTGGAGATGTTGTGCACGCTGGGGATGTTGGGGACGCTGGGGATGTTGGGGATGTTGTGCACGTTGTGCACGCTGGGGACGCTGTGGATGTTGGGGATATTGTGGATGTTGTGGACGTTGTGCACGCTGGGGACGCTGTGGATGTTGGGGATATTGTGGATGTTGTGGACGTTGTGCACGCTGGGGACGCTGTGGATGTTGGAGATATTGTGGATGTTGTGGACGCTGGAGATGTTGTGCACGCTGGGGATGTTGGGGACGCTGGGGATGTTGTGCACGCTGGGGATGCTGGGGACGTTGTGGATGTTGGGGACGCTGTGGATGTTGGGGATATTGTGGATGTTGTGGACGTTGGGGACGCTGGAGATGTTGTGCACGCTGGGGATGTTGGGGATGTTGGGGACGCTGGGGATATTGTGGATGTTGTGGACGTTGGGGACGCTGGAGATGTTGTGCACGCTGGGGATGTTGGGGACGCTGGGGATGTTGGGGACGTTGGGGACGCTGTGGATGTTGGGGATATTGTGGATGTTGTGGACGTTGTGCACGCTGGGGATGTTGGGGATATTGTGGATGTTGTGGACGTTGTGCACGCTGGGGACGCTGGGGATGTTGGGGATATTGTGGACGTTGTGCACGCTGGAGATGTTGGGGACGCTGTGGATGTTGGGGACACTAGGGACGTTGGGGACGCTGTGGATGTTGGGGATATTGTGGATGTTGTGGACGTTGGGGATGTTGGGGACGCTGGGGATGTTGGGGACGCTGGGGATGTTGGGGACGCTGGGGATGTTGGGGACGTTGGGGACGCTGTGGATGTTGTGGACGTTGGGGACGCTGGAGATGTTGTGCACGCTGGGGATGTTGGGGACGCTGTGGATGTTGGGGATATTGTGGATGTTGGGGATATTGTGGATGTTGGGGACGCTGTGGATGTTGTGGACGTTGTGGACGTTGGGGACGCTGGAGATGTTGTGCACGCTGGGGATGTTGGGGACGCTGGGGATGTTGGGGATATTGTGGATGTTGTGGACGTTGGGGACGCTGGAGATGTTGGGGACGCTGTGGATGTTGGGGACGTTGGGGACGCTGGAGATGTTGGGGATGTTGGGGGCGAATTTAACTTTTGTTGGTCGTCTTCAGGTCGCAGTGAGTCGACGGTTTCAGACGACTTCCCCTCGGCCTTCCTGTCCCCCTCACCTGAAGACGACGACGACGATGATGACACGGGGCTGGACTTTGACCTGGACGGCATGGAAACGCCCTCTGACTGCGAATCACTGCCCTTCCCCATGTACGACCTGGACATGGAAGGTGAGAGGTCAAAGGTCAAAACGGCTGAGGATGCCAAAGAAGTTAAATTGTTTGTAATCCATCCCAAAAAACCTCCGATGACATCACAGGCTTGTTTTCCAGACGACCTGCGGCGTCTCGGCGTGGCGTCCCGGACTCGCAGAGCGGTCAGCCCCGGTCCCAGGTTTGATTCCCTGACTGGTTCTGAACCAGGGGCGGACCACAGTGTACTGGGGGGTCTGGAGCGGGAGGACATGGTGGACGGTCAGGGCACCAGGTGGCGCTGCTTCTCCACAGGTGAACCGCCGCAGGAGAGCCGGGTCAACATGAGCGTCCTGGAGCCGTTTCTCCGGGTGCTGTCACACGGAGGTACGGCGGCGAGCCAACTGTCTGACCGTTTACCTGCCGGTGAAGGTATCTGCTGGTTACCTGTGGCCCCTCCCTCACCTGTTGTACCTTCTCTGTCGTCTCTCAGGTTACTACGGAGACGGAATGAATGACATCATTGTGTTTTCTTCCTGTTACCTGCCGCGGAATAGTTTGGAAAACTACCAGTATGTGATGGATAACCTGTTCAGGTAAAGAACACACACACATCGTGTCTTGTTCTTGGTCTTCTTGTTCTTGTTGGTCTTGTTGTTCTTGGTCTCCTTGTTCTTTTTCTTGTTGGTCTCCTTGTTCTTTTTCTTGTTGGTCTCCTTGTTCTTGTTCTTGTTGGTCTCCTTGTTCTTGTTGGTCTCCTTGTTCTTGTTCTTGTTGGTCTTGGTCTTCTTGTTCATCTTGTTGGTCTTGGTCTTCTTGTTCATCTTGTTGGTCTTGGTCTTCCTGGTCTTCTTGTTCGTCTTGGTCTTGTTGGTCTTCGTGGTGTTCTTGGTCTTCTTGTTCGTCTTGGTCTTGTTGGTCTTCGTGGTGTTCTTTGTCTTCGTGGTCTTCTTGGTCTTGGTCTTCGTGGTCTTCTTGGTGTTCTTGGTCTCCTTGGTCTTGGTCTTCTTGTTCTTCTTGTTGGTCTTGGTCTTTTTGTTCATCTTGTTGGTCTTGGTCTTGTTGGTCTTCTTGTTCTTCTTGTTGGTCTTGGTCTTCTTGTTCATCTTGTTGGTCTTGGTCTTGTTGGTCTTCTTGTTCGTCTTGGTCTTCGTGGTGTTCTTGGTCTTCTTGTTCTTGGTCTTCGTGGTCTTCTTGGTGTTCTTGGTCTCCTTGGTCTTGGTCTTCTTGTTCTTCTTGGTCTCCTTGTTCTTGGTATTCTTGGTCTTGGTCTTCGTGGTCTTCTTGGTCTTGGTCTTCGTGGTCTTCGTGGTCTTCTTGGTCTTGGTCTTCGTGGTCTTCTTGGTCTTGGTCTTCGTGGACTTCGTGGTCTTCTTAGTGTTCTTGGTCTCCTTGTTCTTGGTCTTCTTGGTCTTGGTGGTCTTCTTGTTCTTCGTCTCTCTTCGTCTCTCTTCTTGGTGAATTGTAACTTGGCGGATCATTATCACCTTCGTGTGACTGCTATCGTCAGCCGCCAAAAATGTCTGCCGGCTTGTTTGCTCATTTGACTTCAATTCAGTTTAATCAAAAACTTACTTTAACACTCGCAACCCGCTGCAGCTTCCCCGGCCACCATTTTCACAAGTTTGAAAATACGTCAGCGGCCCCTCCGCTTTCGCTGCGTAGCCAAGATTGCGACCGAAGTGTCCAGCGTTCCACACTTAACTTATTGACCGATTATCCGTATGGAGGACCGTGTCTGCCACAAGCGAAAATGAACTCAATAAATAAATAAACATACGATGAAATGCACCAAAAATACATTAAAAATAAATAAATGTAGGCCTTCATTAAATTATACAATGAGACCTACATTGAAGTTTCTCTTTTAAGATGCTTCTTTATTTATTTGCCTTTATAATTTTTAAATTTTATTATTTAGTTTTCTAAATGTATTTATTTAGCCGTTTGTTTTAATACTTTTCTCTGTATTATTCTTCATGTTTGTATATATGTATGTAACTTTTTATAAAGTATATACACCCCTCACATTTTTGACTCTTTGCTACAGTGTAAAGTAGTGAGTGGCTTGTAGAACAGTGTAAATCTGCTCAAAATAACACGTCACACATCCATTAATGTCTAAACCACCAACAACAGTGAGGACACCCCTAAGTGAAAATGTCACACAAATTTAATATATATATTTGAGCCCATTTGAGTTTTAATGTTTTTGTTGTGAGTCACTTTGAATAAAATCATCTGCCAGACAAATGTCACGTAACATCAAGTGTTCTGGCTTTAAAACAGAGGATCACCAGAGAACTTTACAGTTCGTCCTGAGGGAACCATGACTGTGTTTATCTGCAGGTACGTCGTGGGAACTCTGGATCTGATGGTCGCAGAAAACTATGTGATCGTTTATCTTTGTGCTGGAGGTCAGAAAGACAAACTACCAGGAATCAGCTGGCTCAGAGAGTGTTACACCACCATCGACAGGAGGTAAACTTTCACACCATCAAGAGTGAATAACCCAAATGTTTGTTTACACTAAAATAACCAAAAGTCCTAATACAGGAAGTTTTGCTCTTCAGTTTCCTGTTTTTCTTCCTCACCTGCAGCTCTTTAAAGGAAAGAATCTTTAAATTTTCATCTTCGGGTTTTGATGTTATTGTTGATTTGCTGATTTGTTTTTTTGTAGTTGAGCAGATGCAGCTGAACTTTAAGCCGGTTAAAGTCAGCTGTTGTTTCAGTCTCTGTCCAGTAGGGGGCGGCAGAGCTTCACTGTTAAAACACATATCTTTGTTCTGCAGACTTTCTTCTCAGTTCATCATGTTCATACATAGGGAGGACAAAAAAATAAAAACGGCTCGCATCCAGTACAACAGCTCCTTTACCTGCCAGCTCAGAGAAGCTGTACAGGTGTACCTAATAAAGTGGCCGCTCAGGGTTTTTATCACATGAGAATAAACTGCTTTCCTCCGTTTTACCTGCACAAATAGCCTTCAGTAATCCTCACTCTGACGTCAGTACGTTCGTGATTCTGAACACAGCCAACGTCCAGACTGCTACCTGACTCACTTCCTGTTTGGCCCCTAGAGGATGGACTGGGTGAACCCTTACAGCGTGATAATAGGGGTGTGTGTGTGTGTGTGTGTGTGTGTGTGTGTGCAGGTTGAGGAAGAACCTGAAGAGTTTCTACGTGGTTCATCCCACCTGGTACATCAAAGCACTCATTACCATCATCAAGCCCTTCATCAGGTCTGCTGCCGCCACCGCCGCCACCTCCTCCTCCTCTTCCTCCTCTTCACTCAGGAGCACACAAACCAAACTAACTCCACATTGTCTTCCTCCTCCTCTCCCATCTTCCTCTTCCTCAGCTCAAAGTTCAGCAGGAAGCTCCAGTTCGTCGACACCCTCAAGACTCTTTCTCATTTCATCCCCACTGAGCATGTGCAGATCCCAGACTGTGTCACGCAGTGAGTCTCTTAAATCTTTTATTTCTGACCAAAAGGCAGCAAAGTCACAGTTCATCACCCAAAAGAAGAATAAAAGAAATGGATCCACTTATAAAACAGAAGAGGAATAAAAACATTTCCACAGGAACTGAATCACCATAATAAAACATCGACAGTCCTTAAAATGTTCAGGGCTTGTTTTTAAAATCTTTTAAGAGACCATTATTAAACTTACTTAACAGCCTGAGCCTTTTATTTGCTTAAATCACTGAACTCACCTGCCTGTATTTGGGACAGGTCTTTAATTCCTTTACCATACCGGTAAATCTGAATGAACAATACTATGGTAGTCGTTCCATAAAATGAACCGAACGACTGATAATGTGCAGCATGTCCATACTGACAATGGTTTAAACATTTATATTGGTATGCACGATCCAATCAGCTTAGAAGCAGCTGAAAAGGGTGACCCGGTGGGCTTCAAGAGGTTATATACATCCAAAGAAGTTATATAAAAACAGACCAGGCTACTATTTGAGACCAGGCTACTATTTGTCCAAACGTGTCCCAACACCAGGCCAGTAAACAAGTCAGGTGTCTAACTGGGATTCTGATGTTAATTGAAGTTTTACGGTATTTTTTTCCTCCTCTGGTTCAAACACTCGTTCTGTAGAAAACAACTTCTCGAAACTTATTGGAAACTGAAACATGTTTGAATTTTTTGGCGCAATGTTCAGAAAAAGTTGGCTCATCAGAGAAAAGATTTGCTCGTAACTTCATCTTGAAGCAAGCAGGAAGCTCCGGGTCTGAGACGCGAAGCCAATGAACCTGCGTTCTCTCCAGCAGCCAGCAGGGGGCGACTCCAGCGGCTGCAGAAAGAAAATGTTTCTACTTGTCAGCTGATTTATTCCCTCAGTAAACACTTTCCTGATGAGTTTCTGGTCTCAGTCGCTAGTTTCAAGTCTTCTTCAACACAGCATGATGTTCATTTAGTAAATTATGGTCCCATTTAGAGGAACAGAGACCAGGAAGCAGGGGAGGCTTTAGGGCGGGGCTACAAACTGATTGATAACTCAGCGACCTGTCAATCAGGATAGAGGCGACTCGTATCCGCTGCTCTGTGCACGTTTAACCAGCGCCGCTGAAAAAACTTATCAGGAGTCGTCTGCTCATTTTTCAGTAAGTACGTTTAGTTTTAAACCTGTTTGTCACTAGCTGAAATTAGCATCCCTGCTAATATCACAGTTAACGTGAATAACAGATGCACGTTGCTAACCATGCTAGCTAGCTCCACCCTCTCCAATATGGTCACGTCTGGTTCCAAAAACCAAGATGGCGACGGCCAAAATGCCAAACTGGAGGCTTCAAAACGTCACGTATAAATGTTCTTTTATACCGTCTTTGCTTTTAACTTTGTTTTTAAAGACAAATTATTTTTCACCTCTAATCAAACCTGATGATGTCATTTCTGCTCCCTGCAGGTACGACCGGAACCTGCACAGGTGAGACTCCAGGTGGCTGCTGGAGTCTCCCTCCCTTCTTCTGAGGTAACAGGTGGAGCTTTAGCGTCTGTTCGAGGACGACCGCCGGCTGTTGGCGAGCAGCGCGGAGCCAAAATGGAGGTGAAGAACAGAAACTCATCCAGGCCTCCTGCTGCTCCTCTGCATCTTCTGTCTTCACTGTAATGCTGGTTTCACACACAACGCGAATTTTACATTGCAATCACGTTTATCGTTTGAGTTTGACTGCTGAATGCAAATAAACGCAACCCGCCATCACTACAGCTGTTTGAGTCCAAAATAAAGAATATGCTGTGATTTAGTTGGAATAAACGGATCAAACTGATGCCGAAATTACTCAATCGTGATGCTGATTTGTTTAAAATATTAAGTCATGCTTTGTCGGGTCGGTCAGCAAGATGACAAGCAAACAACTTTTAAAATGCTTGTTTTCTGAATGGAGTTCGGCTCGTTCAGGGCTACGCTATGCTACCTTCTTCCAGCGTTGTGTGTGAAACCAGCATAAGAGTTTATTGTAACGTGTCAAACATGTCAAGCAGTGTGAAAATATTAACTTTCACTCTGAAAGATAACACATTGGCATATTTCATATAATGAAACACAGCGAACTAATGTTTCACCAAGCTGTCCCTTTGCATTATGAGGGCAAAGTTCTGAAAGGTATTTTGTTATCTTGCTGCCACAAATGATTACCTTGTTAGCGCAGGGTGGATTTTTTTTTTTTATCTTGCAAGACAGAAAATGTGCTCCTTGTGTTTGTTAGGCTCCAACGTGTTTCCTCTGCAGGTTCCTGTTATTGTGTCTGACGGCTTTTATTTGGTGTTTGAACCCTTTTTAAAGTTCAACTCGCACAGAAGATGAAAAGTATGATTGCTGCTTTAAAACCTCTTTGAATAACATCTTCGTGAATAAGAGCCCGAGTGTGTCCGTTTGAGACTTTTCAAGGTGAAAGTTTTTGTAACCTGGTGAAGGTTTTTTTAAAAAGAAGCTCTTTCAGTATTCTCTGTCTCTGCAGGATGACTTTGTTTTTGTTAAAGGTGAATTATGTTTGGTGCTGAATAAACATCATGATGTTTCAGTATTTGGATCCAGTGCGTCCAGTTCCTCCTTCAGGTTTGATGTTTCTGAAAACCTTTATCGTCATAAATCCTCTGACACTAAAACTGTTTTTATTGTACTGGGAGGTTAAATGCTTTGGCACTGGCCTGGAGGTGAGTTTAAAAAGCTGTGGTGCTGGTCTGTGGATTTTTCCAGTCTTCATGATATGCTATGCTAACAGTGTGCTGGCTGTAGCTCCGTATTTACTCTACAGACAAGAGAGTGGAATCAATCTTGAACATCTACCAAGGAAGAGATTTCACTCTCGGCACAGAAAATATTTTTTTGTGTTTCGCCTTCGTTTATGAGGTCTGTTTGGGATCAGCTGCCACAACTGCGTACCTGTGAACACCTTGACTGTGTGTGTGTGAGTGTGAGTGGGAACACTGTGTTCATTTATAGAGAACAAGAAAACAGCTGTGTGTGTGTCTGAAACCAGCCGCTGGACAGGAAATGGACCCTGACAGGAAGGAAGTGAGGTAACTGCTGAGGAAACCCAATAAACAGGAACACAGACCTGTGTGTGTGTGTGTGTGTGTGTGTGTGTGTGTGTGTGTTCATAGTACCTTTGGTGTTCGGCTGTTTTGCAAATCAGTGACACACTAGAGGCAAAACAAAACAAGCTGTTAGCCAATCTGATTTACACGCTGTGTGTTGTTGGCTAGTTACCACGCAGCAACCTCCGGGTCTGAGAAATGAAGCCTTAAACCTGCGTCCTCTCCAGCAGCCAGCAGGGGGCGACTCCAGCGGCTGCAGAAAGAAGTGTGATTGTATAGAAGTCTCTGAGAAAATGTTTCTACTTGTCAGCTGATTTATTCCCTCAGTAAACACTTTCCTGATGAGTTTATGGTCTCAGTCGCTAGTTTCAAGTCTTCTTCAACACAGCATGAAGTTCATTTAGTAAATTATGGTGGCGATGTTGCAGTGGATAAGACTATGCCTTTGGTGTGAGAGATCCGGGTTCAATCCCTCACCGTGACACGTCCATCTATGACATAAAATAGCAGTTGTAAGTTGTTTTGGATAAATTAGCTAAATTAATAAATGCAAATGGTCCCATTTAGAGGAAAATGGACCAGAAAGCAGGGGAGGCTTTAGGACGGGGCTACCTTGTGACTGACAAGTCGCTACCATGGCGACCTGTCAATCACGTTAGCTCCGCTGGTCATTTTTCCGGTAAGTATGTTTTGTTTTAAGCCTGTTTGTTGCTAGCTAAAATTAGCATCCCAGCTAATATCACTGTTAACTCGACTTATGGAAGCACCTTGCTAACCAAGCTAGCTAGCTCCACCCTCTCGTCCAAATATGGTCACGTCTGGTTCCACAAAAACAAGATGGCGACGGCCAAAATGCCAAAACTAGAGACTTCAGAATGGGAGTCCACAAACCAACGGGTGACATCACGGCTGGTTCGACCACTTCTTCTATAAAGTCATGTTACCACACTTCACATGGGTTTTTGACAGTAGATCAAAACAGATAGCTCCAATGCTAACTGCTGCTAAAACCTTTTTCAATTAACAACATACAACACGTGAATCAGAGTTGGATCTGCTGGACAATAAATATTTTTCTTAATGAGCTAATCTAATAATTTAATAATAATAATTATATATTAATTAATTAATATTTCTCTTTTAATAATCGTTTAATAATAATAACGTATAAACGCGTTGCATACAAATGACTTGGCTTGTTATTTGTGGCTACAGTTTTTAGCCGTTCCTACTACTACAGTCTTTGTGATGCTAAGCTAGGCTAACTGGATCTATCCTTGACACACACACACACACACGATGAAGCTGGCGTCCATCCGACCATGTGACTGTGGAGAAGACAGAAGCCGAGCAGTATGTGTGGTTAGAGATGACTGATCATGTGATGCCTCTCAGCTGCCGTCACCTCTGAAACCAAAATACAGTTCAATACATGTTGTGTGTAAAACCACCACCACACACGCTTGATATCTTTATTTCGAACATGTAAAAGAAAAGAAAAATAGTAATAAAAAAACAAACGAACAACAAAATGAAAACGCCATAATTTCCAGTACTTAAGCACCTCTATTTAGAAGAAGTTAAACTTATGTACCCCTTTATACCATAAATGCCATAATTAACAATAATACAATTTGAGAAATTTATTTATTTCCAGGATAAAAAAACCCTTGAGATACAATACAAAATAATAAATATACAAAAATAATAAATCTATAAGCTGCTGATAACGGGATAATTTCCTCGTGATCTCGAGATAACAAACCGTAGCTGAACACAGGGGTCGGCAGGCGGGTTTCTTTAGGATAATTCCAGGAAAAATTTGCAGTGTCACTGGTTAGCTCAGTTGGTAGAGCACAGGACATGTAATCCAACAAGTGACCCTTCGCTAAGCCACGCCCCAAATACACAGCTGGCCAATCAGCGCAGTAGGACTCGCTCTCACTGAGGTCCGACACTTTCATGGTTGCGCTCCAGTGACTCTAATGCAGAAAGAGTCGTTTTCCAGCTTTTTCTGGCTGGATTTTTCTGAGATCTGGTCAAACGCTGCTCTTGCGGCATCTTGTAATAGTTACAGCAGCTACCCAGAGAGGCTGGAAAGAAAAGGACGATTTTATTCTCTTTCCAAAACCTAAAATAAATTGTCTATTGTTCCTAATGTGGTGTTAGTTAGCTAACGCTAGCTAACCTCCTGCTGAGTGTAACGTAATAAATCCCTGCTTTTTAATGACTGTAATAATGAACAGAGGCCGACCAGCTGTACAGGAACACTGTTGATCCTTAATATCGTTGTCCTCTTTCTTAATAGTCAAGTAATAAGGTGGTTCACTGTGTGATCGGTAGGCTCAAGCTCCTCTCTTTATTTTTTTCATGTCCGTCTGAGTCAGTCTGAGTCTGACAGCCTGACTCAGACGGACATGAAAAAAATAAAGAGATAGACATTGGCAGCGCCGTGATATAAATCCAACTCAGATTCAGGAGAATCCAATCACACATTTCCCGGTGGCTATTTCAAAGGTTCCCAAAAAGCCGTCGGGTGTAACGTTAAATGGATTGATGGGGAAATGAAAAGTACACAGGTTGATGGATGTGGAACAACATTTTCACTTAGGGGTGTCCTCACTTTTGTTGCCAGCGGTTTAGACATTAATGGCTGTGTGATGTGTTATTTTGAGGGGACAGCAGATTTACACTGTTATACAAGCTGCACGCTCACTACTTTACACTGTTATACAAGCTGCACGCTCACTACTTTACACTGTTATACAAGCTGTACGCTCACTACTTTACACTGTTATACAAGCTGCACCTACGCTCACTACTTTACACTGTTATACAAGCTGCACCTACGCTCACTACTTTACACTGTTATACAAACTGCACGCTCACTACTTTACGCTGTTATACAAGCTGTACGCTCACTACTTTACACTGTTATACAAGCTGCACGCTCACCACTTTACACTGTTATACAAGCTGCACGCTCACCACTTTACACTGTTATACAAGCTGCACGCTCACTACTTTACACTGTTATACAAGCTGTACGCACACTACTTTACACTGTTATACAAGCTGCACCTACGCTCACTACTTTACACTGTTATACAAGCTGCACGCTCACTACTTTACACTGTTATACAAGCTGCTCGCTCACTACTTTACACTGTTATACAAGCTGCACGCTCACTACTTTACACTGTTATACAAGCTGCTCGCTCACTACTTTACACTGTTATACAAGCTGCACGCTCACTACTTTACACTGTTATACAAGCTGCTCGCTCACTACTTTACACTGTTATACAAGCTGCACGCTCACTACTTTACACTGTTATACAAGCTGCTCGCTCACTACTTTACACTGTTATACAAGCTGCACGCTCACTACTTTACACTGTTATACAAGCTGCACGCTCACCACTTTACACTGTTATACAAGCTGCACGCTCACTACTTTACACTGTTACACAAGCTGTACGCTCACTACTTTACGCTGTTACACAAGCTGCACGCTCACTACTTTACACTGTTATACAAGCTGCACGCTCACCACTTTACACTGTTATACAAGCTGCACGCTCACTACTTTACACTGTTATACAAGCTGCACGCTCACTACTTTACGCTTTTATACAAGCTGTACGCTCACTACTTTACGCTGTTATACAAGCTGCACGCTCACTACTTTACACTGTTATACAAGCTGCACGCTCACCACTTTACACTGTTATACAAGCTGCACGCTCACTACTTTACACTGTTATACAAGCTGCACGCTCACTACTTTACACTGTTATACAAGCTGCACCTACGCTCACTACTTTACACTGTTATACAAGCTGCACGCTCACTACTTTACACTGTTATACAAGCTGTACGCTCACTACTTTACACTGTTATACAAGCTGCACGCTCACTACTTTACACTGTTATACAAGCTGCACGCTCACTACTTTACACTGTTATACAAGCTGCACGCTCACTACTTTACACTGTTACACAAGCTGTACGCTCACTACTTTACACTGTTATACAAGCTGCACGCTCACTACTTTACACTGTTATACAAGCTGTACGCTCACTACTTTACACTGTTACACAAGCTGCACGCTCACTACTTTACACTGTTATACAAGCTGTACGCTCACTACTTTACACTGTTATACAAGCTGCACGCTCACCACTTTACACTGTTATACAAGCTGCACGCTCACTACTTTACACTGTTACACAAGCTGTACGCTCACTACTTTACGCTGTTCTACAAACTGCACGCTCACTACTTTACGCTGTTATACAAGCTGTACGCTCACTACTTTACACTGTTATACAAGCTGCACGCTCACCACTTTACACTGTTCTACAAGCTGCACGCTCACTACTTTACACTGTTATACAAGCTGCACGCTCACCACTTTACACTGTTATACAAGCTGCACGCTCACTACTTTACACTGTTATACAAGCTGCACGCTCACCACTTTACACTGTTATACAAGCTGCACGCTCACCACTTTACACTGTTATACAAGCTGCACGCTCACTACTTTACACTGTTCTACAAACTGCACGCTCACTACTTTACGCTGTTATACAAGCTGCACGCTCACTACTTTACGCTGTTATACAAGCTGCACGCTCACCACTTTACACTATTATACAAGCTGCACGCTCACTACTTTACACTGTTATACAAGCTGCACGCTCACTACTTTACGCTTTTATACAAGCTGTACGCTCACTACTTTACGCTGTTATACAAGCTGCACGCTCACTACTTTACACTGTTATACAAGCTGCACGCTCACTACTTTACGCTTTTATACAAGCTGTACGCTCACTACTTTACGCTGTTATACAAGCTGCACGCTCACTACTTTACACTGTTATACAAGCTGCACGCTCACTACTTTACACTGTTATACAAGCTGTACGCTCACTACTTTACACTGTTATACAAGCTGCACGTTCACTACTTTAGTATATGTTATCAGTATATGATGTGTGTTTCTACATTTATTCAGCATCATGTTTTGACTGTGTTCTGATTGGATCCCCTGACCCGCTGGTGGAAAGTAACATAGTTTATCCACTCAGTATTGCTACTTTACCCTTCTTGTTAAAACTTTCGTTACAGGCTTTTATATGATTTTACAGGGGAGTTGCATTGTATTTTTTATCTTTGCACCGAGCCATGCTAGCTGTTTCCCCCTGCTTCCAGTCTTTATGCTAAGCTAAGCACGTATCGAACACATCAACCCCTTCTCATCCCATAAAGCGTCACATATCGACAACACCCTGTTTTCTGAGGGGGTGGTAAACGGTGTTGGGACACAACTGCAAGAAAAAACAAAAACACAAGGTAGAGCGGGATGAGTTCACAAAGTTATTTAACAAACAACACAAATGTCCATAATCAGCACGACACAAACGATTTAAAAATACCGACAGGAACGAGCAGAAACACAGACCGAACACACAGACCTGACAGTGTGAGCGTTTCAGGTGGTGATGGAAACACCTCATTACACTGTGTGTGTGTGTGTGTGTGTGTGTGTGTGTGTGTGTGTGTGTGTGTGTGACTCTGTTCCCTTCGCTGCAACATCGTGTTTTATTACAAGCAGCTGTGCAGCGACCGCAGAGCTGCAGTAATGATGGTTAAACTGTGTGTGTGTGTGTCACCATAGAAACCCTCACGCAGCACTGAGGAGGAGGAAACAATGCAAGCAGAAAAATTAAAGATGTGGTCACCGGTGGCTCGTTATGAACTGAGTGTGGGAAACACACATGCTGAATGTGTGTAAACATAAACAGAAGTCTTCCAGTAGATGAGTCACCAGCTGCACCGGGTCAGTCGGCGTCCTCCTCACATGGCTGCTTGCTAACAGGGTGACTAAATGGGAACTGAGTAAACATACAGGAAATGTGCTTTATGAGATAAAAAGTTAAATTTTACCCTCATGTCTGTGGTTTCAGAGCATCAAATAGCTACACTTTGTCACGTCTTTCGGCGCCTGGTACCAACGCACATGGCAGACTTTCGCGTCATAGATCAACGCAGTGGGGGAAGCCCTTTAGCGCAATTGTTCAACACTAAAAGCACTGTTTGGACAACAGAAAAGGTCTGAGTAAGTGTAACAGAAACCAGATGGCTGTGCAGTAAGTAAACTTCAATCCCCAACGCCTTAAGAGATGTACTAGCGACCGACGCCAGTGTCCATGGATTTTAGCCACCTCGCTAGCTCGTCGTGCAGTAGTACTACTTCAGGGAGAACCGTTACATAAGGAGGTGGTTGAGGTGGACGTACGGGACAAAAAACGCATGGTTTTCATTTCCTGTGTGCAACAAAAAGTCAACATTGAATGTTTTTATTGAAGTTACACAAGTAGCATTCTTTAAAGAGGTGGTATTCTGCTTTTTGGCTTTTCCCTCTCCGTTATTGAGTTATATATCTATTTTGTGCATGTAACAGGTTTGCAAAGTGAAAAACACCTAAGTCCAGCCCAACAACTCGTTTGTAGTTCAGCCGCATCCCTTTCATCCCTGTGACGTCACAGGGATATGAGGCGCATTTAGCGTTTTAAACGCGCCTCATATAACGCTCGCCAAGCGGCTACTCCGACACGCCCTCAGAAACAGCGAGCTGCAGCACACAGCTCTCCTCTCCCTTCCAAACACTAGCTACCCTCCAGGCAGTCAGTGGACAGAAAGTTGTTCCTGTGATGTAGAGACAGAGCTCAGTTAAAACTTTATGGATACAGATTAATAACTCACCGCTCTGAAACTCTCGCTCCAGTCCATGTTGCCGAGCCGGTCGGCAACACGTACGGCTGAACCCGAGCTGTTTACCGGCTTCTCGCTGACCCGCCCTACTCTGCTTCTGATTGGCTAGTAGTCCTTAACTAGGAACTGAGCATGTGCAACTCCCAACAAAGATCATTTAGAGACAAGATGTATCACTCCATAGCTAAAACGAAGCCTTCAACACAGGCTGAAAAGAGGAGCTGCAGCAATGTGTAGTATGACAAAAATATAACCATGTAAACCTGTTCTGGTACAACCTCTGAATAAGATGAGGAACCTGAAAATGAGCAGAATAACACCTCTTTAACCAGGAAACCTCTTACAGACCAATCGAGTGTTATATGAGGAGCATTTAAAGGGAAGCGGCTGGACTACAAACGAGCTGTTTTCAGTTCAGAGCAGAGTTTTCTGTGGGAGATGGGAACTCACTTTGGGCTTTTTCACTTTGCAAACCTGTTACAGCACAAAAAAGGAATATAACTCAATAAAGGAGAGGGAAAAAGCCAAAAAGCAGAATACCAACTCTTTAAAGTCATCTCCAGCCTCCACAGCTCTGTGTGTCTCAGGGAGATAAATAAACAACAAACTGTTTCATATGAAGGTTTCTGATCGTCGCTGTGGAATTTCAGGAATTTTCAACACCTGAAGCCATTTTTAAAACAAACAGACACACAAACAGAAGAAACAGCAGATTTATTGTCTGTCAGGAGAAACGTGTTACATAACGAGCACCAACATAAATCTGGATCTATGCGGAGGAGGAGGTTACATAACCACACCAAAACACCACAAAATACAAAAACTAATCATCACACATTCACACAAACAAAACATCTCTGAAAATGCTGTGTGAACAACACCGATGCTTTTTACTGGACGGGCGATTTGAGCTCTGAATGAATCTGAGATTTATTCATGACTTCAAAGATACACTTCCTGATGTTGTTACGACACATCCCAACTCAGTGTTCATGCGTCAGCCAGAGAAACGGCGTACAGGTCGATGGTGCAGCAGCTTATTACGAGACCGATGCGCTTCGTGATTGTTTCCTTTGGCTGGATGAATATTACGCATGATCCATGTAGGCCTACCGCTGCAGCTGGGGGCTCCCGCAGCGCCGCTCAACTTTCTAAATTCTTCCCTCTCACGGTAGAAAAAGAAAGGTCAGGTCGTAAACACGGCCTCCTGGTACGTTCACATTCAGCTCCAGGCCCACACGCTTGCAGCTATTAATGATTTAGCAGTAAGAATCATCAAAGCGAGCTCCCCCGACAGCTATGGTATATTTTCAAAATGCTATTTTATGCATGCAGCCACAAACAGCACAAATGTACGTTTTTATAAACATAATCATGAACCGGATGACGTTACCAGCTGAAAGGTCGGGTAAAAGTGGAAACCAGAAAGTGAGCATGAGCAGCAGGATGTAAAATACACCTGACTGACGAGGCTTGTTAACTACATGATGGTCCCACACATTTATTTATTTACTGTCACTATGCAGTGCTCGTTTCACATCCTGGTAAAACTGTTAATACTATAGTTTAACAGAATGTGCACTGGCCTACTGCGCTTTAACTATGAGCCGTGGTATTTGTGCTGAATGAGGTGCATCATGTCCTGTGACCACCTGTAGCACTCCGCCGCCGCTCTCAGATCTTAAACTGTTGTCGGAAATATGTCAGCGCGTGTTGTTGACTTTGTGCTCTGTGTTGCGAATTTCTGTATTCTAGTAGCTGTATGGATTTAACCTTTTTAGGCCAACATCGGGTTGGTGTTGGGTTTGAAAGTAGGACCGTTTTTGAACCTCATCGTGTCGTTTTGGTGCCTAAACCGAAACCAAACTACCACAGTTTTCCAAGTGTTCAACATCACGTGACTTACGTTACGTACTGAACTGGTACCTGCCAACTCTCGTACATGTCACTTTGGGACATTTGAAATCGGCCTCTTTGGTCGTTCAGATTTGAGAACGTCTTGGACAAATTTGGAGGCGACTAAAACAAAACCAGGAAGTGGACCTTTCATGTCAGGATTGTGGCGTTTTATCAAATTCTTATGAAGCAGCTCTGGAACTTAAAAATTGTATTTTCTCGGCAGATAGGAACCTCGGTCCACTTCTGGACTTCAGGGGCTCTGTAAAGTTCTGACTTCAGTTACTAAACTCAGACTTTTAGAAAATGTCTTGTCATCTTTAAACGTGGACGCAGGTTCATGTTCAGAGTGTTTCTCAAATCTCTCCTGTTGGCAGATTCTCACTGAAACAGCAGGAAGTTCCTCACGTTACGATGTTACATCTGTTTTCGTGCTCATACTTTTCTGGACCACAAACCACAACCAGCGCCACAGCTGAGCGCGACACCTGTCAATCACGCAAACGCGCATTTAATTCACATTAGAAGAAGTGAAATAATGTCCAGAGAGAGTTTTATCACAGCAGCACCTAGTGGACACCAGAGGAACTGCACCTAAACGCACCTGAGCTCAGCTGTGGCGGCTGCTGATTGGTTCATGTGATCCAGATATCAGGGAGCGTAAAATTCTCAAATAATTCTCATTTGACTTTTTCTTCATGAACTCCTGCAGGTTTTGAAAAACATCTGATGATCAATAGTCTTAACAGATACACTCAAACAACACTAACATATATATATATATATATTCAGAAAAAGATACAATAATACAAACACAGTTCAAGAAATCAGCATCTTTGATAAACAACAAAATAAGCATGAACATATTTGATCTTGACTGAACAGGTTCAACAGATGAGAAAACTTCTTCTCTCGTCTCTAAACGTTGCCGTGTGATTTCTGCGCGAGATTAAAAATGACAGCTCCCGAGTGTGGGGGGAGGAAGAGGAAGAGAGGAACTATGGTTGTGATAAACAACAGGGGCCAGACTTTGGCTTCCTGAGAACAGGTCTGAGCAGAGCGGTCGACAACAACAGAAACCCCCGAGAGACGGCGCTGACGTCGGGTTTTGAACTTAACTGTGAAGACGTGAACTCAGTGTTACATAATCAGGGTGTTTCCCTTGTAAACATCAGACCCTGGTTTCAGAAACGCTTCCAGAAACTGTGGCAGGTAAACACCTGATCCAGGTTTCTGATCTGAGCCGGTCGGTACAGACGTGAGACCTGGATACTGTTGTGAAAACACTAATGTGCATTTAAAGATCCTCAATGAAACTAGAGAAACTTACTGGGCTGTGAAGTCCAGTAAGAGGACGTGGTTCAGTACGTGCTACACATACATGGACCTTTTCCACATATGTCGTTTTAAATATTAAAGTTGCTCAGATTGAACCGGTTGGGTTTTTTTCTGCCCAACCCGAACTGCGAATAAAATAATTGCATTGAGCTAATTGTTGCAGAGATGCGTCTTCACCTCATGCGGCGTCGAACAAACCCGTTCTCATCCCAGGGCGTCACGTATGGACGCTTGGTCAAGACCCATCGGCGTTGCTTTTTAACGTCCTGGGTACTTAGATAGACTTTCAAAATAAAAACTAGTGAAGCGTCACAATTGGGTTAGGTTTCGGAAAAGATCACGCTTTGGGTTAAAATAAGTACGCTAGTTACGTAACTAAAAAGAATCAATGTTGACTTTTTGGTTCACACGGGAAACGAGCATTGGTCTCCTGAGTGGAAGTTCGGTTTCTGACTCACCCGTCCACCCAAACAACCTGTTTACACTCACCAACTCGTCACAGATGGATGCGTGGTCAAGATCCATCGGTGTCAGTTTGTAACGCACTGGGGATCCCTGTAGCGTCATAGTTCCACGCAGTCGGGGAAGCCCTGTCTGTCGGGGAAGCGTCAGACTGTGACAGTAAAGGCAGGTATATGATATTTAACAGAAAAGACTGACTAAGGAGGTGGATGGAGGGCCAGGACCCCGACTTTGAACCAGGAGACCGGGGTTCGTGTCCCGTGTGAAACAGAAAGTCAACATTAAATGTTTTTATTGAAGTTACGTTAATTGCGTAATTTACGCAAGTGACGTAAGTGAACTTGCGTGTTAACTGACCTACGTAGTTATTTTAACCCCAACCAGGATCTTTTTCGAACCATAACAAAGTATTTTTGTTGCCTAAACCTGCAATGTTTCATGAGTTTTATAACGTGCCGTTTCAAAATGCCGATGTTTTGAAACGCTAGCGTTTTATTATATAAATTTTTTTTGCATATTTATTGTTGCTAACTTTACCGGACGTTGCATATTTATTGTTGCTAACTTAACGTCTAAAAACGACGCCAAAGGGCCTTGACTAAGCGTCCATATTGTGTTTTTGCATTTACATGCGATCGCGCCACGTCTGAACTTCTCTTCACGTATGAGCACAACTTCAGATTTAAGTCCTGGCTGATTAGGCGCCACCTGTGGTTACTGTTGGTAACCGCGACTGCGTGTTAACAGTTCACACGTCGACCGCTGGGGGCAGCAAACACACGGTGAGACGCTGCTCTGTCAGAAATACAGCAGAAGAAGAACAGATTTGAAAAACTCGCTCAGCCTCTTGACTTTTGGCTCCGTGTTAGAAGCTGTTTACCATCTCTTGTTGACGCTATCAGCTGATCAAACCCACATGACTGAGGGTCACATGGTGTGAAATCAGCATTTTAATTGGCTGGTTGTGGTTTTTAAAGAGTCTTACTCAGTGCAGCTGGTTTTGGAAATGAAACAGAGTCTTTCAGAAAGAGGAGCTGAGGGAGGAGGAAGTGTAAAAACTCCCACGCCCTGAGGAGTCCAGTGAACACACCACGCTGTCCTGAGGGAAACTGAGATGAGCAGCAGCGGCTCAGATTTTCCTTGAATAGACGTTTTGGCCTCTTCAGTCTCAGGCCGCGGGGAGGAAATGGCCGACCGCCATGGCGTGACTCAGCGGTGGTGTAGACAACAGCTGAGGGCTGAATTGCAGTTTGGATGGATTTCCCCCCTTTTGAGTTAATGCTGTTCAGTCTGAGTGGGTCTTTTTATCTGTTTTAATATCTTTTTAATTCTATGTTTAAAAAAGTGGAGCAGAGCAGAATTTGCTGAAAATCAAATCAGCCATTTCTGAAATGCTACCTTGTGTGTGTTATAAGATTAGTTTTGTCCAGCCGGAGACATAAATCACCACAACAGTCCTGTCTGAGTAAAATCTACAGTTTCATCAATAGAAGTCTGGTGCAGGGACGTGGGAACCTCTGAGGAGGTCATGTGCACATATTTCTGTTAAGTAGGGGCAGTTTATTTCAATTCAGTTTTATTTATATAGTGCCAATTCCTAACAGAAGTTATCTTCTAAAGCTCTCTTTGTAATATTTACAGAACAGGCAAGGAAAACCCTCCCTTAATGGGTTTCTTAAAGGTTGCTTTTAATATATTTTAAACTACATATCTATCTTAAAAATACTAAATAAATTAATGGGATTTCATGTTTTTCACTGTGAAATATTTAGACTCTAATATAAGGGGGTGCATAGATGAAATGTATAAATAAAAAGCAAATGTATGTTTAAATACACAGATAATTGCATGGAGTTTGGTTGGTGGATTGGGTTACAGTTTCTTTTAATATAGTGCTGTAATTAAACATTTTTTCTGGAATTTGATTCATTAATAAAAGTTCAAATCAGGTTTCTTTTTGGCATTAAGGCAAAACAAAGCCACTAAAAATTCTTTACTTAACAAAGGATTTCTAAGCCATTTCTTTCCCACGCCCAAGACTCCATACACATATCAGGTGATCCAAATTAAGGCCCAGACCCGAAGGTTGTGACACTCTTGAATTAGCGCACATCTGCCTCACAGTGTCACCTTCACCGCTTTGCTTCCCTGCTTCAGTTAATCGGGATGTTTGATCAGAAAGGACAAAAATAAACAGTGACATCAGAAGCAATCACACAGAAGGTCACCCAAAAAACAGCAGAAATAACGTCTGTGTAAAAAACACGATATAAAGCAGTTACACTCTTAATACTTGATCTTCCCACCAAATGCAGCACGAAATGTTTTAAACAAAAGTCCTGCAAATGTCTCAAGGTGGCCTCCGTAGTGAAAAGCTTCTCAAAATACGTCAGTTTAAGACCCGTTTAGGGCCCCGAACCACAGCTTAAGTAGTCAAAAACAAACAGAAAGATAACTTTTGGCATAAAACATTTTTGCACAAGTGGAAATAAAGAACTTTTACAAAAACGGGTAATTTTCTAATGAGAGTTTTGAACTGTGCGTGCAGTTCCCTCTGAGAGTCGAGGAAGCAACGTTTATATTTAACTTGGTGGAATATTAAGACCATATGACATCAGACACACACACACACAATCAAGGGACTTTCCCATAACCTAAAATAAGAGTCTTTAATCATTCAGCACCAGCAGTGGGGCTGGGCAGAGTGAGGCATCCTGGGAGTTGAAGTCCAATGATGTTGTCACAGAGGCCGGTGGGGTTGGGGTTGGGAAACAGTAAAAAAAACAAGAAAATAAAGGGTGTAATAATTCTTTAGAAGCCGAAGCACAATGAAGCATCCTGGGAAATGAAGTCCAGTGAGGAAGCACTAGGCAGCTGGCGGGGGTGGGTAGGTGGTGAGCGGGGGGGGGGGGGGTGCTTTCCACCAGCATGATGGATTGTGGGATTGTATAACCCTCTGAGCCGCCTGCCTCCTGTAAGGTTTAGAGAGAGCTTCCCTGTGGATGCAGGGAAATGTAGTGTTTTTGTGTTTTGTGACACTTTAAAGCCAAATTTTCCATTTATCGTATATCCCGAACAGAACTGGATTCTGGGAAGTGGAGTCCAGTGGTGTCATCTATGAGTTTGGTTTAATACTGACGGGGGAAACCGCTTCATGTCTGCCGTCTTGGTGGTGAATACAAGAACAACAAGCGGACTTTTTATTTTTCCTCGATCCAATTTTTTTTTTCGTAAAATCCTTAAAAAGGAGATCTGGCTCTTCCGGGTCGGGACAGCGCCCCCTGCAGCTGGCTCGTTAAGAGGAGAATGATGAGGAGGGAAGAGCAGGTCGGTCAGCTGATCGACTTCTGGAAAACAATAAACACACAGGATGAAGTCAGCAACTGTCCTGTCAGCGCCCCCTACAGGCCGCAGAGCTCATTACAGCCACACTGAGGAAACTACAGTATCTAACAAAGTGAGTCCACCCCTCACATTTTTGTATCTGATTATATATCTTTTCATGTGACAACACTGAAGAAATGACACTTTGCTCCAGTGTAAAGTAGTGAGTGCGCAACTTGTTAACGGTGTAAATTTGCTGTCCCCTCAAAATAACCTATGTTACTCTTGACAGGCCCCCGAAGCCAATTACCGTTACCCTAACCAGCACAGGGTGTGTGCCTAAACCCAAGTTACTGATTATATGCATGTCGCCTGCCTCACGGCTGATGTGCTAACAAACAGGGTTTGTGCATTACCACCACCACTCCACTAGATGGCGCTGTCACAAAAGAACTACGGTCCTAGAACTGCGGCCCCAGGACTGCAGCTTTATAATATTGGCCTGAACAGCAGAAGAGATAAACATGCAAAGTGTGTCCTGAAGGTGGGGCTAGAGGAAACAACATGGTGTCACTAGGTGCGTTTGATTCGCAGCACTGACTCAATGTTCCCAGGAAACTTTACTTATTTTTTTTAATTGCTGATGTGCGTTACGCCCACTTGCCCGGCTCACGTTCTGGCGCCCATTCTGGCGCAGCTACCCGCCATCTTTAACCTGCTGGGTACAATAGGCCAGGTACATACCTCTAAATCTTAAATCAAAATATTAAAAATATGCTTTAGGGATGAAACGGTGATGGGGTTAGGCAGGTGGTGGTTAAGGGGGTGTGTTTACTTGTATATGCTACATAGTGAGGACCAAAAAACATGTTTAACCAAGAGAGTGAGGACGTTTTTAGGAAGTGAGGACATTTTGGCTGGTCCTCACAACTTCAAAGGGCTGTTTGAAGGTTAAGACCTTGTTTTAAGGGTTAAGTTAGAATTAGGTTTTGGTTAGGGTCAGAATTGTAGTTGTGAATGCATTATGTAAATGTAAATGCTCCGTACTTGTATAGCGCCTTTCTAGTCTTTTCGACCACTCAAAGCGCTTTTACACTACATCTGCATTCACCAGTCATACACATTCATACACTGAGCCTAAGTGCTCAAACGGAAACTAACATTCACACACATTCATACAGTGGCGGAACAAACCTTCCGATTAACGGCCAACCCGCTCTACCTCCTGAGCCACAGCCGCCCCATGTCAGTGACAGTCCTCACAAAGATAGAAGTACAAGGATGTGTGTGTGTGTGTGTGTGTGTTTACCGGCTATAACAGGCTGTTCCTGCCGTTCATGCTCGGGCCTTTAGACCTCATCTGTTCCTGAACTGGCCCCGACTGTATGTACACACAGACACACACAGAACACGATCAATATACCCGATTGCCTGGAAATACTCAGTACGATCTTTGCCTAAACCAAACCAAATTGTGAGGTTTCACAACGTTAACCACTTGTTTTATTTTGAAAGTCTAACCGGACAATTCTTAATTATTCCTTCTACTTCTGCACATTTTGGAGTGGCCTTTTATTGTGGCCAGCCTAAGGCCTTTTATTGTGGCCAGCGTAAGGCCTTTTATTGTGTCCAGCCTAAGGCCTTTTATTGTGGCCAGCGTAAGGCCTTTTATTGTGTCCAGCCTAAGGCCTTTTATTGTGGCCAGCGTAAGGCCTTTTATTGTGGCCAGCGTAAGGCCTTTTATTGTGTCCAGCCTAAGGCCTTTTATTGTGTCCAGCGTAAGGCCTTTTATTGTGTCCAGCCTAAGGCCTTTTATTGTGTCCAGCCTAAGGCCTTTTATTGTGTCCAGCCTAAGGCCTTTTATTGTGTCCAGCCTAAGGCCTTTTATTGTGTCCAGCCTAAGGCACACCTGTGCAATCCCCATGCTGTCTGATCAGCATCTTGATATGCCACACCTGTGAGGTGGATGGATTATATCGGCAAATTTGGGGATTTTGACAGATTTGTGAACAATATTTGAGAGAAATAAGCCTTTTGTCAACATTTCTTGTGTATCTGTAATGTGTATCTATGGTTTATATTTACCATTGATTATTTAGTTCAGTCAGTTTGTGTGTTTTTAGATTTTCTGTTCATAACTTGAGGAAACGAAGGAGGGAAGCGAGTCGGTGAGGAAGGATACCTGTGACCTTTGACCTCATCAGAGAGGAAGACGACCTCCTGACCAATCATCACACAGATGAGGTCATCAAAGGGCAGCTTTAAGTCTGTAAGTGTCTTTGTGGCTTTATAAGTTTTTATTTGATTTGATTGTGTCAGAACTGCAGCTGAACTCTAACAGACCAGATGAGACGCTGAAATAGAAACAGGAAGGACGCCGCGCTGCGTGACACTTCCTGACACACACACACACACACACACACACACACACACACACACTTCCCGTCTGTGGTGAAGCAGCTGATCCATCAGCGTCTCCTCTGTCTCCATGTCGGACTGATTTCTGCTCTTTACTCTCGCCAGCATCAGGTCCATCAGTAGGTCTTAAGTTAGGCCGTGACCACAGAAGAAGTCAGGTGACGTAGTATAAAGAGTGACAGTCTGTTATGCTGCTTTCACAACAACGCGGCTTTTAAATTCCCGTTATGCTTATCACTTGAGTTTGACCGGTGCACTACTGCGGACACACAACGCGACAACATGAATGAACACAACCCGCCATTACTTCAGCGGCATGAACTCAAAATAAACACTTTGCTTGCAATTTCAACTCACGCGATGTTTCGCAAGGTCGCACACCATCTCATCCTGCGCGCCGCCCGGCAGGAAATTGTGTCCCTCAGTGTCTTTGCATTAACTTTAAGTGAAGTAAACTCAGGAGACTGAAAATCAAAGGTGACGTGTTTTAAGTTAAGTTTTGTAGATGTCTTCAGTCATGTGACTTATTTTAACAGAAACCACCATCTTGTCCTAAACCCGACCAAACTACGACTGTTTCACAGCTTTTACCACGTGATCTGCGTCACATGACTGCGTCGACGTATTTAGTCGTTGAGGTTTGAGGACGTGTCGGAACATTCATGTTCTGCTGCGTTCTGAAACTCAGGCAGATTTACTTCAGGCCACATGGTCATGTGGTCAAAGATGTCTCAGGGAGCATCGGGCTTATCAAAGCATGATGGGATTTGTAGTTTTTCTCTTCTTTAAAATGTCTCGTAACGTCCAGCACAGCAGCGGAAACTCATTTATCTTAAACCGGAAAACTGAAACAAGTTTCGTCAGCTAACCAGTAAGTGAGGCCTTTTGATCTCGCAGTCAAACCAAGTTTAAGCTGCAGCTTCAGCAAGAGAATAAAATGTTCTGAAGAATAAGAATAAAATCACAGCAGCTGATGACATCATCGTGTACGTCTTCATTTAAACCCCGCCTCTTTAAAGGACGACTTAGCTGTTAAATATTTTATACTTATTTTATTAATATTTTATATTTGTTTTAGACAGACAGGTGAACAGACAGACAGGTGAACAGACAGACAGGTGAACACACAGACAGGTGAACAGACAGACAGACAGGTAAACACACAGACAGACAGGTAAACACACAGACAGGTAAACACACAGACAGGTAAACACACAGACAGGTGAACAGACAGACAGGTGAACAGACAGACAGGTAAACAGACAGACAGACAGGTAAACAGACAGACAGACAGGTAAACAGACAGACAGGTAAACAGACAGACAGGTAAACAGACAGACAGACAGGTAAACAGACAGACAGACAGGTAAACAGACAGACAGACAGGTAAACAGACAGACAGGTGAACAGACAGACAGGTAAACAGACAGACAGGTAAACAGACAGACAGACAGGTAAACAGACAGACAGACAGGTAAACAGACAGACAGACAGGTAAACAGACAGACAGGTAAACAGACAGACAGGTAAACACACAGACAGGTGAACAGACAGACAGGTAAAAAGAAAGGTAAACAGACAGACAGGTAAACAGACAGACAGGTGAACACACAGACAGGTAAACAGACAGACAGGTAAAAAGAAAGGTAAACAGACAGACAGGTAAACAGACAGACAGGTAAAAAGAAAGGTAAACAGACAGACAGGTAAAAAGAAAGGTGAACAGACAGACAGGTAAACAGACAGAAAGGTAAACAGACAGACAGGTGAACACACAGACAGGTAAACAGACAGGTAAACAGACAGACAGGTAAACAGACAGACAGGTAAAAAGAAAGGTAAACAGACAGACAGGTAAACAGACAGACAGGTAAACAGACAGACAGGTGAACAGACAGACAGGTGAACAGACAGACAGGTGAACAGACAGACAGGTGAACAGACAGACAGGTGAACAGACAGGTGAACAGACAGGTGAACAGACAGGTGAACAGACAGGTGTGATGTCTCACCGGCTGCAGTCCCTCTGCCATCTCTCCCGAGCCGATGTGTGTGAGGTGGATGAAGTTTGTCGGCTCTCCGATCATGCTGCGATCAATCTTCCTCCTCTTCTTCTTCTACACACACACACACACACACACACACACACACACACACACACACACACACAGGTGATTGGCTGAGAGGTTAGTCAGTGTGTCATACAGGTGTGTGCTGCTCACGTCTCTGCACGTCCTCGTGCTCAGAGACTCACGTCATCGTTCAGTTTCTAACATGTTAAAATGATTCTGCTGCCACAGCGTCACACAGTTTATACCATGTTTAATTAGATTTCAGGATCAATAACTGCATAACATAGTAGTATCGTAGTATCGTAGTAACAAAGTAGTATCTGTTATTATTACTGGCAGCAGCAGAACAGCAGTACAGAAGTACTTCTAGTATTGGCAGTACTAGTAGCTTTAGTTTCTTTAGCAGTAGCTTTACAGGTTCAGTCCAAGAACACGACCACATGACTGAACAGCAGAGAGGCTTTAATGAAGTTATGAATCCTCGTCCTCAGCGGCTCTCCGTGCTGCGTTCAGGGACACGCTGAGCTCTGGCAAACAGCCAGCGAACGCCTCATTAAAACCCCATTCTGCTCCCAGAGTCCAGATAATCCTGCTGTGAGGAAACGAGAGCTGATCCAGAACACATCTGAGCCACAATCAGAACAGTTTAGATCTGATCTAAGAGGCTTACGTTCCTCAGGATTAATGAGCTCTTACGTAACCACAGCAGGACTGAAGCGAAGGGGGGGCGGCGACCCGGGTCAGGACCACAAGTCTGGCTCTGTTAGATCACAAGACGTTTAGTATGCAGATGTTCTTAGAATGTTTACTGCTCACAGACTGGTTTCATGTCGAGAGTCTGACCCATCAGGCTCAGCGGTGCTGGAGGTATTTGCTGGCAAACATCTGCACTGCCGTCCAATCAGCAGCAACCAGCTATGTAAACAGGAAGTCAGTGTAGAATCACAAGCTCGCATAGCTTAAGATAAATCTTTAAATTTCCTGATGAGTTTCTGGTCTCAGTCTCTAGTTTCAAGTCTTCTTCAACACAGCATGATGTTCATTTAGTAAATTATGGTCCCATTTAGAGGAACAGAGACCAGGAAGCAGGGGAGGCTTTAGGGCGGGGCTACAAGCTGACTGACAACCTGTCAGTCAGGATAGAGGCGACTCGTATCCGCTGCTCTGTGACATTTAACCAGCGCCGCTGAAAAAGCTCATCAGGAGTCGGCTGCTCATTTTCCAGGTAAGAACGTTTTGAGGCCGCTCAGCCAGATCATCACAAAGACCAGATACAGATAGCGGTTCTGAAGAGGAACGAGCATCAGTCACCTCCTCTACATGGGTGACTCCAAGCTGTGTGCCAGGAATGAGCGAACATCGACTCACCGATCCAAACTACCAGGATCTACAGCAACGACAGGGTTTCCAGACTTTCCCATGACTCTCCAAACCTAGTTTGGATTGTCTCCATGACCTCAAACTTTTCCTCCTGACTGTCTCTTTGTTTCAGTCTGAAAAACATCTGACTAAGTTTAAGTCTCGCTGCTCCTCGCTGCCTGGGATTCCCTGATATTCCAGGATTTCCCTGACTGATCTGGAGTTGTTGTTTCACAGCTGATGCAGCTCATGATGACGGGAAGACGGACGGACACTCGGACTGATCTGAGAGCAGTAACATAACGTAACGCCGAGGCCGACGACCACGAGGGATTAAAAACAGCTGATCATCATTATCATCATCATTATGTCATCAGTGAGTCACCAAATCAGGGAACAGGCTGGACCTTCAAAATAAGAGCGGCAGGGGAAGGATGTAAAAGTACAAATACCACACAGTAAAAATACTGTATAATAATAAAAATAAATACAAGTATTTTTACAACTAAAAGTCCTTCATTGATCTGCTGTACAAGTATGTGAGTAAGTACTAAAGCAGTAAAAGTATGTGATTATAATCAGGCCTGCGGGTATTTAAGCAGTACAGTGTCCCTGTTGTACTATGATGTATCCTCCCATCAGATTATTATTCCTCATCATTAATGTAAAGCACAAGTAGAAAGACTCAAGCCAAGTACAAGTACCTCAAATGTGTACTTAAGTACAGTGAGTAAATGTTATAGAGGCGGTTACATCATATCTCCGCCCGAGCCTTCACAAAGGAGCTCAGTTTAACTTCCTGAGTCGCTGTGTGTTTATTAAAAGTGTATTGTTGCAGAACAAACAGAAAACTATAAATACAGACGGCTTCACTCCCTGCAGCTCAGAGAGGAGAAACCTTTTTTATTTCTGTCGATTACTTTTCAGATTATTCATCCCCTTCCTGTCCAGAGAAAACGGGGACATTAGCCAGATTAGCATTGCTGCAGTTTAAAGTACCAAACCGGTTATAAAGGAGTTAAAACGCACATTAATGCAGCGGGAACATCAGACAGACAACATTTTACTGCAACAGGAGTACTTTTACTGCGACAATACATACTTTTACTTCAGTAAGGTTTTGAATGCAGGACTTTTACTTTTCACAGTGTGGTATTAGTACTTTTACTGCAGTACTTCTTCCACCGCTGGCGTACCAAGTGTTAAATGACCACAGGACTAACAGTGAGACCTGAGCAGCGACTCACACTGCAGAAACTGAGCTCTCAAAAACAAGGAAAAAAGCAATAAAATGGGGGAAATATTACTTAAAAATGATCTGCCAACAGAACAAGAACATTTAACTCGCTACTTAAGGACAAAACAACTTGAAACAAGTGAAATTCTCGAACGTAAAAGCCGCCTGGTAAGAAAAAACATCTTGTCAGACAAAAAACAAGCATGTTTTGCCTTCAATTAAGATAATTAATCTTGTTAAGATTTAGTGCCACTTTCTGTTAAAAACAAAAAGTTCTCAGATCATTTATCATGCAAGTAAAACAACAGGCATCGCCCGCCGTCGGTATCCGGCCGGTCCACCAAAACAGGCGCCCTCACCCGTGTAACTCCTCCCACAGCTTTATATATATATATATATATATATATATATATATATATATATATATTAGCTCTTAACTCTGTGCATGTCTTTGCTTCATGCTTGTTTTTATTCCGTGTGAGTTGAGTCACAGAATATTTGTGATGAACATTAAAGTTTTTTCTGTTCTCAGAAGCCGGCGACAAACTGCGTTCCCCTGACTGGCTGACAGCAGAAACGGCAGCCATCTTGGCGACGCCTCCGGGCAGCTATTTCAGACTAACCACACCAGGCTGCTGTCTGAATGAATGGGGAGAGAGCCAGAACGGCGTAGCCACGACGTCTCTGAAGCCTCTTCGCCATCTTGGTTTTTTGGAACCAGACGTGACCATATTTGGACGAGAGGGTGTAGCTAGTTAGCTTTGTTGTAATTTATGTTAACTGTTATGTTAGCTGGGATGCTAATTTTAGTTAGCGACAAACAGCCTGAAAACAAAATGTACTTCCTGGAAAAATGAGCAGCGACTCCTGATGAGGTTTTTCTGCGGCGCTGGTTAAAATGTACGCAGAGCGGCGGATACGAGTCGCCTCTATCCTGATTGACAGGTTGTCAGTCAGCTTGTAGCCCCGCCCTAAAGCCTCCCCTGCTTCCTGGTCTCTGTTCCTCTAAATGGGACCATAATTTACTAAATGAACATCATGCTGTGTTGAAGAAGACTTGAAACTAGCGACTGAGACCAGAAACTCATCAGGAAAGTGTTTACTGAGGGAATAAATCAGCTGACAAGTAGAAACATTTTCTCACAGACTTCTATAGAGTCGCCCCCTGCTGGCTGCTGGAGAGGACGCAGGTTTAAGGCGCTTCAGCTCTCGGAGCCGGAGCCCCCTGCTGGCCGCTAGAGAGGACGCAGGTTTAAGTCGCCCCCTGCTGGCCGCTAGAGAGGACGCAGGTTTAAGTCGCCCCCTGCTGGCCGCTAGAGAGGACGCAGGTTTAAGTCGCCCCCTGCTGGCCGCTAGAGAGGACGCAGGTTTAAGTCGCCCCCTGCTGGCCGCTAGAGAGGACGCAGGTTTAAGTCGCCCCCTGCTGGCCGCTAGAGAGGACGCAGGTTTAAGTCGCCCCCTGCTGGCCGCTAGAGAGGACGCAGGTTTAAGTCGCCCCCTGCTGGCCGCTAGAGAGGACGCAGGTTTAAGTCGCCCCCTGCTGGCCGCTAGAGAGGACGCAGGTTTAAGTCGCCCCCTGCTGGCCGTTGGAGAGGACGCAGGTTTAAGTCGCCCCCTGCTGGCCGTTGGAGAGGACGCAGGTTTAAGTCGCCCCCTGCTGGCTGCTGGAGAGGACGCAGGTTTAAGTCGCCCCCTGCTGGCTGCTGGAGAGAGAGCAGGTTTAAGTCGCCCCCTGCTGGCTGCTAGAGAGGACGCAGGTTTAAGTCGCCCCCTGCTGGCTGCTGGAGAGGACGCAGGTTTAAGTCGCCCCCTGCTGGCTGCTAGAGAGGACGCAGGTTTAAGTCGCCCCCTGCTGGCCGATAGAGAGGACGCAGGTTTAAGTCGCCCCCTGCTGGCCGATAGAGAGGACGCAGGTTTAAGTCGCCCCCTGCTGGCTGCTAGAGAGGACGCAGGTTTAAGTCGCCCCCTGCTGGCTGCTAGAGAGGACGCAGGTTTAAGTCGCCCCCTGCTGGCCGATAGAGAGGACGCAGGTTTAAGTCGCCCCCTGCTGGCCGATAGAGAGGACGCAGGTTTAAGTCGCCCCCTGCTGGCCGATAGAGAGGACGCAGGTTTAAGTCGCCCCCTGCTGGCTGCTAGAGAGGACGCAGGTTTAAGTCGCCCCCTGCTGGCTGCTGGAGAGGACGCAGGTTTAAGTCGCCCCTGCTGGCTGCTAGAGAGGACGCAGGTTTAAGTCGCCCCCTGCTGGCTGCTAGAGAGGACGCAGGTTTAAGTCGCCCCCTGCTGGCTGCTAGAGAGGACGCAGGTTTAAGTCGCCCCCTGCTGGCTGCTAGAGAGGACGCAGGTTTAAGTCGCCCCCTGCTGGCCGCTGGAGAGGACGCAGGTTTAAGTCGCCCCCTGCTGGCTGCTGGAGAGGACGCAGGTTTAAGTCGCCCCCTGCTGGCCGATAGAGAGGACGCAGGTTTAAGTCGCCCCCTGCTGGCCGATAGAGAGGACGCAGGTTTAAGTCGCCCCCTGCTGGCTGCTAGAGAGGACGCAGGTTTAAGTCGCCCCCTGCTGGCTGCTGGAGAGGACGCAGGTTTAAGTCGCCCCCTGCTGGCTGCTAGAGAGGACGCAGGTTTAAGTCGCCCCCTGCTGGCTGCTAGAGAGGACGCAGGTTTAAGTCGCCCCCTGCTGGCTGCTAGAGAGGACGCAGGTTTCAGGCTTCACTATTGGCTTCACCTGTTTGATGCTCTAAGAACAAACGTCTTATTAGTGCATCGCGTCACCCAAATTACAAATTAAATCCTTTCTCTCCTCGTTCTGGTGGCGTAAATAAGTTCATAAATAATAAGGTCTCCAGGTCAAAATCACTGACGGTGAATGTGATTCATGAAATACGACATCACATTAACGGGAACACGTCTCCTCAGAAACAGTTTCCAAACAAACAAAGTGTTTGTGACATTATGTGGCCAGAGGGCGTCGGCCTGCAGCAGGTCGGGGTTCACGGTGAAACAGGAAGAGGAAGTTCTGCCGCCTGTTTCCTCTTGAGTAAAATCCAGCAGTTGAGAGAGTTTTCCCTCACTGACACTTCAGATTATCTGATTCACAGGAGGAAAAACACAAACGCTGGCCAGCTGCCCTCTGAACTCAGTGAAAACCACGTTCAGTAACTGAAGCTTCTGTAGGTGAAGATCATCTCAGGTTTTTTAATCTCATGAATAATCTGATTCAGCCTGTGTTTTTAATGTCCGTGAGTTCAGATCTGACTGAGAAGCGGTGCGATTTTTGACAGAAATCTTGCAGCAGTCTGGCGCAAACGCTTCCTGCTGACTGTGTTGATAAGCGGTCGAATCAGCAGCCAAACTGTTTTTGGTTTGAAACCCTCTGAATTACCCTTTAGCGTCGCTTTAGCTCGTGTAGGGCTAAAGTTAGCAACAATAAATATGCAACATCTGGTTAGACTTTCAAAATAAAACTAGTGGTTAACAATGTGAAACATCGTAATTTGGTTATGTTTGTGAAAAGATCATGGTTTAGCTTAAAATAACTACATTACTTATGTCTTAAAGTAACGTTACTTACGTACGTTGTGTAAGTCACGTAACTTATGTACATTATGTAATAGGGCTGCACAATATTGGAATAAACTTTCTATTCTGAGATATATTGTGAGATGAAAAAAATGTAGGAATTTTCACCAGGTGACTTAAATTGCTCTATTTGAAAAGAATTAAGCATCCTGGAATTATTGGGATGTTTTTGTAGGGAAATGCATAGAAAATAAGGTAAACATTAAATTTTCTCTTTTTTTGAGTGCAAACCATCCTTTCTACAGCTTTAATGCAGTAAACATTTTAAACAAAATGCTAAAAATATCAGCCCCCTGAGGGCTTTACAAAAGTCTTTTTGGTTTTCTCCTGTTCCTCCCTTATTTTCAAGTTGTGGTCGACAACTAACGGGGACAACTGATCAATAACTATGGAGCCTGCTTGTCTTTAAATCAGAGTAAATTATGTTCCATCGCTCGTCTCTTGTAGATCAGTCATGGAAAACGAGAACTGTCTGAGTTTTCCTTTGTATCAAGCAGCAACAAAGTTTAGGTGTTTCACACATCCTGCGATGTGATTATTACGCACGGCCACATTGCGATGACGATGCTGAAACGATATATTGTGCAGCCCTCTTTTGTAAGTGATATATAAACTCTTCTTTCTCTCAGGTAACAAACGCCAGTCTCCTGAGTGAAAGTCCAGCTTTTGTCCCACCCGTCCGCCTCAAACACCTCTTTACTTTTCTGTTATTCACAGAAGCACTTTTAGCGTTGAACAAGGCGCTGAAGGCGGCCGTGTGTGTTTGTACCAGACGCCGACTGACGGGATGAAGCAACACCTTCTCACCTCTGACTCCTCACATATTGACGCTTGGTCGAGGCCCTTTAGCGTCATTTTTTTAGACGTTTAAGGCTCCGCAACAACAAATATGCAACATCTGGTTAGACTTTCAAAATAAAATGCTAATGTTTCGAAACATCGACATTTTGAAACGGCACGTTATTAAAGTCAGAAAACGCTGCAGTTTGGTTCAGTTTAGGCACAAAAAGTACTCGGTTTGGGTCAAACGTAGGTCAATTAACAAGCTCACCAACGTCACCTGCGGAACTTACGCAATTTACATAACTTAAATAAAAATATGTAATGTTGACTTTCTGTTTCACGCGGAACCTGAACCCTGGTCTCCCGGTTCAAAGTCGGGGTTCTGGCCCTCCATCCACCTTCTTACTCTTTTCTGTTAAACATCATCTACCTGCCTTTACCGTCACAAACCGACGCTACAGGGCTCCCCCCCCCACTGCGTTCAACTGTGACGCTACAGGGATCCCCAGTGCGTTACAAACTGAAGCTGATGGCTCTTGACTTCGCGTCCATATGTGACGAGTCGGGAGGGAGGACGGGTTGAACTTTTAGGTTATGGTTAGTTTACTCACCGGCGGTGGTTTAGCCACCACGCAGCAGCCCATTTTGTGCCAGAAGTCGCTCATGCCGACGCTCCGTGTGTCCAGCGGCCGGCCGCCGCTCTCTGCTGCCGCCCTGCAGGCCGGGGGGGGGACTGCAGCCTGTGGGTAATCCTGTGGCATTCAGACAAAAACTGCAGACCCAAAACCCCAAAATGTGCCCCGCGTCAGGCTGAAAGCTGTCCGGAGAAGAAAATACAAAAATAAAAACTGGATATCCAGAAGAAGCTCTGAGAGGAACGTGTAAAATGAACTGGGTCCTCCGTGTTAATGGATCCAAAATCTGTTGAATCCAAACGTCTCCTGAGCTGCAGCTTCAGGTTTGATCTGTGGAGGAAAAAACAAACAAGTTACAGACACATTTTCACAAGTTTCTGTCTTTTATTCAGACTTCTGCCCAGATGAAGGACGTCCACAGATCTGTGGCGAAACCTGCAGCTGCTTGTGTAACTTCATCTTTTGCAATCAGACGTTTGTTTTTTTTTCCCTCACTAGTGAACATTTTTATCTGTCAGAGATTCATTTCATCGCCTCGCTGGTTTTCTGTCTGAACAAGTCTGAAACACGAACCGCCTCGTGTCATCCTGAGCTGCGATTGGTTCGTTGACACACAGATCCAGTTCTGTGTAAAAGAGCAACTCTTTTATAAATGTTCACTTGCTTTGTTACACTGGAGACCAGAACAAAGTAAAAACCCGTGATGTTCTCCTGCAAATAAACTCAGACATGGTCGAGACTTTTGGGTCACAGTTTGAGAAATAAAAATCTTGGCAGCAACATTTGGACCGACTGAAGCAGGTCAGGTTTGTTTGCTCATGAATTAAAGTTTTTTAATTTGGAGAGAAAGAGGGTTCTTCTCTTGGATGTAAAGATAATCAATAACAGGTCTGGGCTCGTGGAAACAGTTTCGAACACACACAGACGCCTTTATTTAACCACATTCATTTCCTGACCAACGGTGATGCAGTTTGAGTCATTTCTGTGTTATTTTGCTCTAAATTGCTGCAACATTTAAAAAGTCAACAGGAAATAAATGACAACAACCCAATTAGCTGCAGTTAAAAAGGTCCTTTGGTTCAGATAGTAAAAGAAAGGAGGAGAGTTTTTCAGCAAGAGATCCTGAATGTGCAGCTTTTATTAAAAACTGAAATTATTCAGTTAACAGTTCTAATCAGAAAGTTTATCATTACTTTTTAAATGAGTAATAAGTCGTTGATTACACTTTTCAGTATCGTGCCAAACACTGACCTCAACTCCCAAACAGCCAAATAAAACGTCCTGAAACTCAAACGTAGTCCTCACAAAGACAGAAGAACCAGAATCCTCTCTCTCACTGAGCTGCATGGGAACCAAACCTCAGAGAGACGTCAGCACAGCGAACACATTAAGCATGACTAAACACCGGGTGTGGTCCAAACACAACGCAACACACACTCTCACACACACCTACACACACTGACACAACGCACACTGACACAACGCACACTGACACAACGCACACTGACACAACGCACACTGACACAACGCACACTGACACAACGCACACTGACACAACGCACACACTCGGGCTTGTAAAACTGAAATGAAAGAGTGTTTCTGGATGTTTTGTTCTTGTTGTTTCCAGATGAAACTGATCCTGAGACAGGACACGTTGGTCTGTCAGCGCTGAGGCCACTTTATTATAAAACTCTTCCTCCGGTCTGTAACCTCACCTCCAAAACGCTTCAGACGAGTCTCAAAAGAAGCTCGTTGCAACAAAACACCACATCTTTGAGCTCTGAATGATGTTTCACATACATCCGTACTTCACTGTACTGACTGGACTAAAGGATACGTAGCCACAATGTTATTTCTCTACATCCAAGGAGGTTAAACTCAGCTCGACTGTTAGACCCTCTTAGGCCGAGAGGCTTCTTCAGTTCTGACGGGCTGGCAGGAACCGGCGTTATCACATGAGGCCGAATGTGAGTGTTTGTTGCAACCTGTTCTCATCGCAGGGCTTCACATACGGACGCTTGGTCAAGACACCTTGGCGTCGCTTGTTAACGCCCTGCATACCCTTAAGGGTCGTTTTTGGACGTGTAGGGCTCCGCGGTGAAGTCATCAAGAATAAATAAGCAACATCTGGTTAGACTTTCAAAATAAAACAAGTTTTTTTAATGTTGTTAAACGTTGCAATTTAGTTAAGGTTTAGGACAAGATCATGGTTTGGGTTAAAATAACAGTACGTGACTTAACTTACGTTACTTGCATAACCTAAATAAAACATTGAATGTTTCACATGGGAAACGAGTACCGGTCTCCTGGGGGAAAGTCCGGTTTTGCCCCATCCACCTACTTAGTCGGACTTCACTGTTAAATATCCTACAGCTACTTTTAGCGTTCATAACCGACGCTACAGGGCTTCGGTGTGTTGAACCATGGCGCTAAGGGGATCCCCAGTGCGTCACAAACTGACGCTGGAGTTGGAGTGAGAACAGGCCGTTTGTTTCCTGGGAACACAGAACGCTCACGTCTGGCCTTGGGTGGGAGCACCTTGTTTATCTCTATCGTAAGCTTGTTTATCCCTCTATCGTAAGCTTGTTTATCCCTCTATCGTAAGCTTGTTTATCTCTTTCA